GGAGAGTCATCCGCCGATCTACATATAGCTCATGCAAGCCAACGTGGTTACCCCTCTCGTGGTAGGGTTTACTGTATATAAGATCAGTAGGGGGACGGGAAAGAGGGCCCCCCAAGAAACAGTCTCTGTTACAATCGGACTTAGTGCTTTGCTCTCCTACCTAGTTGACAGGCTTTCTACCCTGCAAGTAGACTATCTTTACAGTAACACCTGGCCTATTACCCCTCTATCCTTACAAGTAGACTATCTGAATTAACCTTCTACTACTTAATTCTTCTATCTAATTAGCTAATTATATTCTATCCTAATTAGTCTCTCTTCTATAATTATAGTACTAAGATTAGTATACACGAACGATTTCTATTACGGTTTTATATACTAGACGTATTACTAATAAAATATTATACTAAAACTAGCTACTAAATTTAAGAGTATTCCTATATCTAAAATACTTAAAATACTAGTAAAATAATATATAAGTTATATAGTCACGGGGTTAAGCGCTATTTACACTATTTAGCAGAGTTTAGGGGCCTATATAGGCCCTATACATAGAGAAGGCCTAAAGCCTATCATTTGATTTGGCCTTCTGTGTATCTTCTTCGGCTATGCCAAGGGTGTTTTTCACCACCCTAATCTCCTCATAATCGCCCACTTCTCTCGCGTCTCGACCTGTCTGTTCCGCCCAGACTGCCATTGCGCACCCCCTCGTTTACTAGTTATTTACACGATTGAATGATTTTCTGACTCTGCATCTGCTGTTGGTTTGCTCATTTGGTGGGATACTTGATCTCTAGCATTCGCGGTCAGAACTTCCTTTCTATCAAGAATAGAATTGGAACGGTCGTCACTGGAATCCGTATCCTCTTCATTCTGAGCCTATACAGCCCTTGCCTGAGTTCTTTGGCTATCTTGTCTCACCATGGACGTGGCCGTTATCATATAAACTGGGTGAGCGCCTATTTTGTCGCTTGTGGTCCCTGACTCCTCGGACATCTATGTTAAATGGACGAAGGAAGTGAACACACTCTATAATAACCTGACGGGGATCTCTAATCCAGACTCTCTTAGTGTGGCATCCGAACAGCAACCCCCTATACTTCCAGCTATGTAGCGGTGAGAAGAAGACGGGGCAAGACTTGCCTTGAAAACATGACACAAGGCGAATCAAGGAATTCGAGATGGGTAGCACTCTACCTACAGTACCACGAAGCTTCCCCTACTCCATATCTATATTCATGAAATACTCACCAAGCACGGCCTCTCGTATGCACCATGATGCCCTCGTCCAGGCCAGCCCTGTCCGATCCAACCAAGCTCCTCCTCCAGAAAATAGATCTTCAGGGGCCACCCGCGTGCAAAATTCCCCAACACGGCAAAGCCCAAACCTACAACAGGGATACCATCAGAAAAGCGACCAAACACATCCTCGCAACCCAATCCCAGCCGCAGCCAGATCGGTGTCACCAGCCAGATCCATCTCAGGCACCGTACGACCCTCCCGAACCCCTCGCCCAAGCGAAATCCAGCAATAGGCTGGCTGGCACTGTATGAGCCGCCCCTTTTTTTTCAGATCAATCTACGTGTACAAGACTACAGGTCCAGGGGTGATAGGTCGCCTCAATCCAGGATGTCGTCGGGCTATGTATCAGGGCATAGGTCTGAGCGTCGTGGCAGGACAGGGGGGCAGACAATAATGAATGCATCAACACGAAGGCGGAAAAAAGGGGGCGCGGAAAGTACGAGCTGATTGATGATGGACAGGGGGGTTTGTTTATGGTAGGTGGAAAGGGGGCGGGAGACAAAAAAAGAACAGCGAAACAAAGCATAGCATAGCATAGGATGTTTTCTGTGGTTTTGATTTGCGCTGCTAGGAGCGGTTGGTGGTTTGGTGTATCCCTTGGTGCAGGACAGACGGTCAACCTTTGGGTATTCCTAATTTCTTATATGGCTGCGCCTACGGGGTGACCGGCCTAGTAGTATACATACGTTATTCTATGGCGTGGGTCTCTACCCCGGATTCGCTGCAGGATACAAAGAACAAGACTGACTATATAATAATACTATGGAGACAGAAAAAAAAAAACAAACCAGGTGGATACTGTTCGGGCCGGCGAGTATTCCCCAGAAGAAAGTGGGCAAGAAGGATGAAAAGGGGGGCGATAAGGCCAGGAGGGCCCCATACAAATCGACTGGGGCGCATCAAGATGATCCACCCCCAGACTCCTAATTTCAACTCCAGAACAAGAGCCAGACCTAAGGTTCTCCTAAATAAAACCAGCACAGTACTCAGAACCAAGAGCTTACCGTTTACGCACCACCAAGGGTACCACCAAGAGAAACCACAAACGATAACTCGATAAAAATCTCGATGACCTCGTCGCGACGTCAACGACACCTCCCGTTCCAACTAGTGGCCACACTCCGAAAAAAAAAAAAACGCCACCGGCAACAAAAAAGGGCAAGAATTCGACAAATTAGAGACCCCGCCAAACTCTGTTTTAAAAATTTGTCTCGCTTCCAGAAGGGCCGCATGGCCCAAAGCATGCAGACTATCGCCGGGCGAATCTCCGGGAATCTCGGATGCGCCAAATGCAAATGCAAATGCAAATGCGTAAAGTTTAGTAGACTTTCTTTCCCGCTGCTGGCGAGTCGAATTGGATCAAATCAATCACGGAGCGTCCGATGTCTGCGGCTACGGCTACGGCTACGGCAGGTCCGGGCTCGGGACTGTAGGTACGGAGTAGTGTAAGGGGGAAATTTACGGCGGTAGGGAAATAGGGAGTTGAGCCGTGGACTATCGCTATTGACCATTGAAACGAGGCCCAAGTTCGGCACGGAGATGACTTTTTTTTTTCTTTCGCTAGGTACTTCGTACAGATAGGTCTACCGTTATGATAATGTACCCCCAGTAGCTCCATTTCGAGGACCATCTCCGACTCGACACAGAAACAAACCCCGAAACCAGACAGCAAGGGCCCGAATCCTGGGACGCTATTACTTCATACTCCTACTGTACGTAGGTGGTCAGTAGTAATAATCTTGCGTTCGCAGGAATTTCCAGACCTACCTTTTTGACTTTTCCCGACCCGCTGGCACACGCTGGTCCTTCGACCCGATCGATTTTCGCCACCGGGTACTTTTCGCGGGGGATAAGGGTAAGGAATGATAATGAGATTATCGGACTGGATGATTTTGGACTTTTCAGGTCGATGGTCCCGGGTTTACTTCGGACGGACTCGGTCGGGAGAGAACAAGATTTATTTTCCATCTATAGTTAGCAGTGTAAATGGTCCATTGTCGCAAGGTTTCTTGCAGGAAGATAAAGGGAAAAAAAAAAATCCCCTTTTTTTTTCTGGATGTAACTGTCCAACCCGCGATAAGCGATAAGCAGGAAGCGGTGAGCAGCCGTCAACTGGCGGTGTTGGAAGTATACCGGGGCATCTCTGGCTAGGACTGCTGTATACTCGGTATATGTTGGAATGATATACGGGACACTGACTTCTTGTTGCCATAACCATTGGCAGTACGTATATACCCCTGGATACCAGTCTTTAGTTGATCCAGAGTACATACCTCGGCATGTCCCTGTGCTGATGATCGAGATCCATCACCCCTGAAATCACGATGTACATTCTTCTGATCTGGGAGTGCAGATTCCGCTACCCGCACTCCTTTTATCGATAATACAGTATTAAATTATTATCTTTATATGATTACTTATGTCAGAGATCCGATGCTGACTTGGAGTCTTGGACCCGTAACTCTAGCTGACCACCTACCCATCCGGGGATCGGAATCATCATTTCGATCGCAGCGGATCCAAAACGAGAATCATAGTACATACATAGTCAGCCCTTTCGGGACATGTAGGCAATGTGGTTCTACGCAACTCTAAAAATAATATGTTCAGCCTGCCCTGCTTCTTACATTTTTGTGTTTTCTCTTTTTGTTCTCGAAAAAAGAAAACTCTCGATCTCGGGATGGGTTGATTGGATGCTCCAACGGCCGGGAAAAGGGCTGCGCCACCGGGTCATGAGAGTGGCGACTGGCACGCCTCAAGACTCTCTCGCGTTAGGAATACTGTAGTACCCCGTAAGAACTAACTAACTATAGGGCGATGGACTGGTGGGTAATCATAGAAAATACAATAGTAGTCTACTGACTATACTCCAGATTGTAATTGCCGTTTCATCACCCCGGATTTGTCCACCCCCCCTAGCACAATCTAGGCTGATGCTGCATGTGCTGCGGTCCTGCGGACTGCACCTCGAGCCGTCTGAGAGCCGCCCTGAAAGAAAAATTTTTTGGATGATCTCCGATAGTCACTATAGTAACAAGTTCACCCCAGCAGCAAAAAAAAAAAAAAAGTTCAGTCTGGACGATCATAGTGATAAGGGACGTCATACTCCTCCCAGGCAGGAATTGATGCCTTGGAGAGTCTCCTCAGGCAGCCCTTCCAGCCTGGTCAGTCTTGCTGAGTTTCGCTGTCCGTAGACTTTTTGGTGATTTTTCGTGATTTTTTTTTTGTTTGATTGTCCCAGCCAAGGCAGCCCACCAATGACCAGGCCGGGATTCGGGAGGCCGCCCTGGCTGGACCAATGAGATCCCCCCATTTGAGACGGCAGTACTCCATCAATTGCACTGCACCCGAAACGAACTAGCGTGACCGCAACAGCAAAAAAAAAAATTTCTGCGGTTGGGCGGCGAGGGGCCACACGATAAATATCTCGCCCCCCCTTCTAATCGTCTGCCCCTCCTCCTTCTCCCATCCTCTCTCCCCCATCTTTTTTCTTGGGTTCCTTTCTTTCCTGTTTTCTCTTTTCTGCCTTTAGACAGAAAAGAACCAAAAGTTTAGACTCGCTCTCTCTGCAAAGAGCGTTTGCTGCGTCCTGGACAGCCGACGCAGTTTGGGCCACCCACAGCTCACCCGAGATACCCCCATAGAAAAATCTCTTTCTTTACTCTAATTTCCCCCAACCGCCAAAATTTCCTCCAAAATGCCTGCCGTCGACGTTTCCTCCGTTCCTGCCGTCTCCGGCAAGGAGATCGCTCAGTCGATCGCCGTCCTCGAGGACCTCATCAAGAACCTCAACATCTCCACCTCTGCCGACGAGGTTAACGCCGCCGGCAACAACCTGGCCACTCTCTTCAGCGGTCCCATCGCGGAGCAGGCCCCTTCCCCTGAAGGCCGTCGAGACCTTCAAGAAGCAGCTCTCCAACAAGAAGGATGCCGTGGCCCGCGAGCGTGCCTGCGAGGGCATCCGCGCCATCGCCTCCCACACCACCATCGCTCCCGGTGTTGAGCCCCACCTTGTGTCTCTCCTTGGCCCCGTTCTGAACGCCGTCGGTGACAAGATGGTCCCCGTCAAGGAGGCCGCTCAGTCTGCCGCCGCTGCCATCGTTCAGGCTGTCACCGGCAACGCCGTCAAGGCCGTTGTCACCCCTATCCTCGACTCTCTCCAGAATGCCCAGAAGTGGCCCGAAAAGATGGCCGCTCTCAAGTGCCTGGATGCCCTCGTTGAGACTGCCCCCGCCCAGCTGTCCTTCCAGGTGCCCCGTCTGATCCCCGTCGTCTCCGAGGCCATGTGGGACACCAAGGCCGACATCAAGAAGGCCGCCTACTCCACCATGGAGAAGGTTTGCGGCCTGATCGTCAACAAGGATATCGAGCGTTTCATTCCCGAGCTCATCAAGTGTATCGCCAAGCCTGAGAACGTCCCCGAGACCGTTCACTTGCTCGGTGCCACCACTTTCGTTTCCGACGTGACCAGCCCTACCCTGGCCATCATGGTCCCCCTGCTGGACCGTGGTCTGGTTGAGCGCGAGACTGCCATCAAGCGTAAGTCCGCCGTCATCGTCGACAACATGTGTAAGCTCGTGGAGGACCCCCAGCTGGTCGCTCCCTTCTTGCCCAAGATGTTGCCCGCTCTGAACAAGAACTTTGAGATTCTCGCCGACCCCGAGGCCCGTGAGAAGACCAAGCAGGCCCTGGACACCCTCACCCGTGTCGGTGATGTCAAGGACGGCAAGATCCCCGAGGTCTCCACCGCCGGTGACATCCAGACCGTCGCTGGTATCCTCAAGGATATCCTCAAGGAGAACAAGTTCGAGGACCGCATCGCCTCCTCCGAGGCTGTCATCAACTACGTTGGTGCCATCGCCGGTCAGCTCGTTGACGAGAAGGACGCCGACAACACCACCTGGACTCAGAACGCCGTCCCTTACATCGTCGCCATCGTCGGTGAGGAGGCCGCCAAGCCCATTGCCGAGACCCTCCGCAAGCGTGCCTCTCCCGATGCCGCCGCTGCCGATGAGGTCCCCTCCGACGAGGAGGAGGGTGAGGATCTGTGCAACTGCACCTTCTCCCTGGCCTACGGTGCCAAGATTCTGCTGAACCAGACCCACCTGCGCCTCAAGCGTGGTCAGCGTTATGGTCTCCTCGGCCCCAACGGTTCCGGCAAGACCACCCTCATGCGCGCCATCAACAACGAGCAGCTCGAGGGTTTCCCCAAGAAGGATGAGGTCAAGACCGTCTACGTCGAGCACGACTTGGACGCTGCCGATACCGAGCTGACTGTCATTGGCTGGACCGTCAAGAAGCTGAACGAGGTTGGCCTGAACCCCGTCGACGCCGACGTCCGTGACAAGCTCGTCAATGAGTTCGGTTTCCTCGAGACCCAGCTCGATGGCTCCATCGGTGCCCTGTCCGGTGGTTGGAAGATGAAGCTCGCCCTGTGCCGTGCCGTCTTCGAGAACCCCGATATCCTGCTGCTCGACGAGCCCACCAACCACTTGGACGTCAAGAACGTTGAGTGGCTCGAGAACTACCTCAAGTCCTCCCCTTGCACTTCCATCATGGTCTCTCACGACTCCGGTTTCCTGGACCGTGTCATCCAGCACGTTGTCCACTACGAGCGCTTCAAGCTGAAGCGTTACCGTGGTACCCTCTCCGAGTTCGTCAAGCGCGTGCCTTCTGCCCGCTCCTACTACGAGCTCGGTGCCTCCGAGATGGAGTTCAAGTTCCCCGAGCCCGGTTTCCTTGAGGGTGTCAAGACCAAGTCCAAGGCCATCGTCCGTGTCAGCAACATGTCCTTCCAGTACCCCAACACCCCCAGCCCCAGATTCGCGACGTCACTTTCCAGGTCTCCCTGGGCTCCCGTATCGCCGTTATCGGTCCCAACGGTGCTGGCAAGTCTACTCTCGTTAACGTCCTGACTGGCGAGCTTATCCCTACCGCCGGTGATGTTTACCAGCACGAGAACATCCGTATTGCCTACATTAAGCAGCACGCCTTCGCTCATATCGATAACCACCTCGACTCCACTCCCTCCGAGTACATCCAGTGGCGTTTCCAGACCGGTGAGGACCGTGAGACCATGGACCGCGCCAACAAGATCGTCACCGAGGATGACGAGAAGGCCATGGACAAGATCTACAAGGTCGAGGGTACCCTCCGTCGCGTCGTCGGCATCCACTCTCGTCGCAAGTTCAAGAACACCTACGAGTACGAAATCTCTTGGGCTCTTGGTGACAACGTCGGCATGAAGTCCGAGAAGTGGACTCCCATGATGTCCAACGACAACACCTGGTTGCCTCGCTCTGAGATTATCTCGTCTCACTCCAAGCAGGTCGCCGAGGTTGACCAGAAGGAGGCCCTCGCCTCCGGTCAGTTCCGCCCTCTCGTCCGTAAGGAGATTGAGCAGCACTGCGCCAACTTCGGTCTCGATGCCGAGCTGGTCTCTCACTCCCGCATGCGCGGTCTGTCCGGTGGTCAGCGTGTCAAGGTCGTCCTGGCCGCTTGCTCTTGGCAGCGCCCCCACGTCATCGTCCTTGACGAGCCCACCAACTACCTCGACCGTGACTCCCTCGGTGCCCTCTCCAAGGCCATCAAGTCCTTCGAGGGTGGTGTTGTCATCATTACTCACTCTCGTGAGTTCACTGAGCACCTCACTGAGGAAGTCTGGGCCGTCAACCACGGTATCATGACTCCCTCCGGTCACAACTGGGTTCAGGGCCAGGGCTCCGGTCCCCGTCTCGACCAGAAGGGTGATGATGAGGAGGACAAGTTCGACGCCATGGGTAACAAGATTGTCGTCGAGAAGAAGAAGAAGCTTACTGGTAAGTTGTCAATCCCATCCCATCTCAAAAGACAGTTTCCATTCTATTCGTCTTGAATTTCAGATTAACTAACATGTCTTTTTTCCCTTTTTTACAGGCTCTGAGCTCCGCAAGAAGAAGAAGGAGCGTGCTGCCCGCCGTAAGCGTGGTGAGGAGGTCTTCTCTGATGAGGATGACTTCTAGGTCCGATAGACTGGGATGGGTTACTCTCATTATGGAGTTTTTGATGATTATGAATTTTCTTAGTGTAGTTCTTTGCTGAGGACAAAATACATTCAAAGCTGTTCAGAACAAATCGGTTTTTTGGTGTTGATTGTAGATGGAGATTGTTCATCGTGGACTTGTCGGTAGAGCTTGTGTAGAGCTGATGACTGCGTCTCACATTGGAGGAATATTGGACCTGAAGAATTCTCGTAGTGGATGGACTATGCGGTTTACTTGTATCCTCTCCTTAACGATTTATCTTAGCTAGGTCTTTTTTGGTCGTGTACTACGTTCCGTACTATTGAAGCTACCAGCTCTCCAGTCAGCCATGCAACCACGTTCCTCATGATAAAGTGTAACAGGGCTAGTCTGGAGCCTAGTCTTTTGAGAGACACTACTCGAAAAGCCCTTTGTAATGCGATGGTATTCCCTGTTTATCTTCCTATTCATTTCTTTCCTGGATCGCTTTTAATTCATGAGATGGGGCTTACCGCTGTATACCTCTGCTAGTCTAACCCTCAACCTTGAGTGTGCCATCTACAGGTGTTCGGCTCATGATGAATCCAGGGAAACGTTGACCCGAGGCAACGGGCATTGGAATGAGCTTAATAGCTTATAACTCCCAAACACCTGGGTTCCGGTTCCAGGGGAAGTTCCACCCAAAACCGGGGGGTATGAGTGTCAATCAACCAGGTACACAGTGTAGGTCATCCACCATATTTGTAGCAATGGTTCTAACTTCGATATCTTCAAGGGACGAAATTATGTAAAACTGTTCACTAACTATCCTAACGGAGTTCACGAGTTATCATAAGGGGGCTTACGGCTGACAAGCAGAACCGGAGGACGCCGATGGGGGTTGCTCTGATAGTGGGGTCAGTTGTTGGGGTCAGTTGGAGGTCCATTTCTTAACTACTTGTCGCCGTTCTCTGAAGCTGAAGCTCGGGTATCCTGATTTATACGGGTTCAACCTCGGGAGGAATACCGGATGATTGAAGAATCCGGTGTGTTTGAGTCTGGCTTGCGAACCGCTGACAGCCGCGCGATGGCTGCACGAACGGGTAAATCCTCCACAACAGACGACACAGGTTTACCCCCAGAAGAAGGCTTTCAAGGGTGGTCCTGTGTCGGCGGCGCCTTTCTCGGCCTCTTCTGTACATTTGGATTCCTCAATGCGTGAGCCATAACCAACAAAAGCACCAACCCCCTCCAAATCACTAAACTAATGCACCCTCCGTCCCCCCAGCATCGGCGTATTCCAAACTATCTATCAAAAGACCACACTCGCCAGTTACTCTTCATCAGCCATATCCTGGATCTTCGCCGTCCAAATATGCTTGATGTGGGCCTTAGGCCCGCTCTACGGCCGCATCCTGGATACCTACGGCCCGGCCCCAGTCCTCTACCCCTGCAGCGTCCTCTGCGTCTTCTCGCTCTGCATGACCAGCCTTACGGACAAGTACTATCAAATATTCCTAGCGCAGGGCCTGGGCTTCGGCATCGGCGCGGGTGGAGTGTTTACGTCGGCGATGGTATGTGTTGGACAGTGGTTTGGGCGGAGACGCGGGTTGGCACTTGGGATTTCGAGTTGTGGTGCTAGTGTGGGCGGCGTTGTGTTTCCTGTGTTTTTTGACAGGATTATCCAGATTGAGAGTGTGGGCTTTTATGGGGCTATCAGGTATACGGCGTTGTTGGTGGGTGTGCTCCTGGCAGGGGCTTGTTGGTTGATTAAATCAAGGTTGCCCAGGAAGAAGTGGAATCGGGAGGTGGCTTGGTTTGATGCGAAGTTGTTTAAGGAGAAGCAATTTGCGTTTTATACTTTTGGGTCGTATATGGTTATGTTCGTCTCGCTCTTTTTCTATTCTGATATCCTGGATCTGGGGGTTGGGAAACACGAGGAAAGAGTGACAAAAAAAAGCAAGATTTTGCGGCTGACGCTTTTGCACAGGTGGGGTCTTTGGGGACCGTTTGATTTCCTTTCCAGCATGGCTGAAGCTAAAGGGTTCTCGTCGAATCTGGCCCTGTATTTGATATCGATCATCAAGTACGTTCGAGGCCTGAGCTGTCGTCCATCATTGTTTGTGAAAGATCTTCGCTCATCAACTTGTTTAGTGCGACTTCCATCTTTGGTCGGATCATCCCAGCACACGTCGCCGATCATATCGGCCATTTCAACGTGTTTACCACCTGCTCGCTGTTTACTGGAGGCTCCATGCTTTGTCTCTGGCTTCCATTCAACTACCACCCCTCCCATGCAGGGATCATTGTGTTCGCGCTCGTGTACGGCTTCGTCAGCGGTGCAGTGGTATCTTTGGTCATGCCATGTGTAGCAAAGACTGGGAGTCTAGACACACTCGGCCAGCGATTTGGAACGTTCCAAATAGTGATATCAGTCAGGTAGGTTGTTTTATTCCATCGTCGTTTTTATCTCTCCGAATATCTGGCTGCATGACTCGTCCCTTTTTTCTACTTTCTTTTTTTTCCCGGCTGAAACTGTGCTTTAGTTGCCTCACTGGCCTACCCATCATGGGAGACATCTTAACCCGACAATCTGGGACGAACTTTTCAGGGCTACAAATCTTTTCCGCGGTGACTGCGTTGTTCGGCGCGGGTTGTCTGATGGTTTCGACATACCTCCTGTCTCGATCGCACGGGACGTGGAAAGTGTGAAGGGGAAGAGGGAAGAGAGGGCCGATCCGTTCTCCCGGGCCTATTTAGTGCTGATACGGTCCTCGTGGAGGGACAAGAAAGATGGCGATTTCCCACTTCACCCTCACACCCGACGACCACTTTTTATATTGGCCAATAGGATGTGGTCTAAGCGCTGTGTTTCTGGGGCTATTGCTCCTAGTTCCCGTGTGGACATGCAACTCGAGCATTTCTTGGGAATTGGAAATGTTGCGCCTTCCTTGCCGAGGGGCATATCGGCCAATCTCTGTTGTACTACAAGCTGTGTGCAGTGTTCCAAGCTTCCTCCACAAAAGGTAGCCAGGTACATCCCTGTAGAATAGTTGGGGCGGAGAGATTTAGGTAGAAATTGGGTGCGGCTAGGGTAGCCATATCTACCTCTAGTTTCGATTCTAGTTGGATAGGAATTGTTTAACTTTTGCCTAGCTTCAAGTCGAACCACCACATAGTTTGCACACGGACAATTCGGCAGTTGTCTAGCCCCTCCGTAGCTCCGTAGTGAAGTGAACTCGGCCCTATGCAGCCCCTCCCCGCAAAGACGTTGTTTAAAAACCCCTAAACTGCAAGCCATACGACTGCGATACTATCTGCAAATGGATGCGTGCAGTTTTGCAACTCTTTCCTCGACCTGTCACAGTCAACAAAAGTACCAAAATTACCACCACGTTCACGGGGTTCCGGAGTATAAATTCGGATTGCCACCCCCAAGATATCTCCTTCATTGCTTGCCTAGGTCTCTTGGGTTTGTCTACGTTTGACCTTGGTTTGAGCTGAAGTGCCATCATGGCCCCGTCTACTCTTGTAGAGAATCCGAGGCCGGACCCTCTCAATTCAGAGCATGTCAATGCAGAACCTGTCCATGCAGAGCATGCCAACGGGAGCCTTGACAACTCGGAGCCTGCAAATCCAGAACCTACTAACGATGAGCCTGCGCGACCACTTGGTGCCACAACGCAGTCGGCAGAGGCTGCTGAAGCGCCGCAAAACACAATGGCACCCATCCAAGTTGACGACGTCAGCGTATGATTTATGATCGTCATTGCTTGTTTCATAATACTGAGTGTCTGAGCAGACCGACGGCAGTGACTTTGAAAGTGACTTTTCCGACCTGACTTCGTTGTCTTCGAGTGTTCTGGACTACGAGTATGAGAATGGTCGGCGGTACTCGAGCAATCGACACGTAAGTATTTGTGTGCGTTGGTTCCATAGCCGAGTCTAATACTACCCATCCAATTAGACCCAGAATATGTATGATCTACACTCGACTCGACGGTGAGAGGCCTCCCGCTAATAGACTATAGTATGCCAAATGATGAACAGGAACTAGACCGCCTGGATTTGGTATGGCTTTCGACTTCTGAGAAATTTGACCAAAATTCTAACTTTTATATAGTGCCACCACATGTTAAGAAAACAGATTCATCTAGTTGGCTCATGTTGCTGAAAGGAGAACCTTTCAAAGCGCCCGTCAAGAATCCGCAAAAGATTTTGGATCTCGGCACAGGAACTGGAATTTGGGCCATGGATTGCGCAGAGTAAGCATTCCATCCTGAATAGAAAGCCATCTAGCAGTAATACTGATGCTTTTGAAGGAAATATCCAGAAGCCCATATCATTGGCAACGACATCAGTGCTATCCAGCCGAACTGGGTTTGCCCAAACGTAGAATTCATCGTGGAAGACTACGAGGCAGAATGGCTGTACAAAGCTGAAAGCTTCGACCTTATCCACGCACGGTTGTTGGCAGGGTATGTATTTCTCCTTCCTTGTAAGTCTTGTAAGTCTTCGGTCCATACTTACTTCCCTGTAGGTGTGTTGCAAACTGGCCCCAGCTCCTGCGGCGTTGCTACGATGCCCTCAAGCCAGGCAGCTACAGCGAACTCCACGAAAGCGCTTTCTGGGCCTACAGCGATGACGGGACCTGTCCCGACGATTCCCCTCTCAACCAATACCTAAGCGCACTCATCACAGCATCAGCCGCGAGTGGAAAACCGTACAATATCCAAGCATTTTTGAAAGGCTGGCTCATTGACGCTGGTTTCGAGGATGTCACACAACTCACGTATTTCCTGCCGTACTCGCCCTGGCCAAAAGATCCTTATCTCAAGGAGCTTGGAAAGTATCAGCAGGTGATGTCGCAGCAAGCTGTCGAGGCTTATGGTCTCAGGCTGTGCACTCAGGTTTTGGGTTGGGGTGTGGATGTTTCGAAGATTTTCCAGGCTCAGTGCAGAAAGCAGATTGGAGATAGGAATGTGCATGCTTACGTGAAAGAGTAAGTTGATTCTTCAGGTATATTTTGGGTACCGTGCGCTAACTGGTTATCAGGTACGTCTTTTATGGGAGGAAGCCTTTCCGGTGAATGCTAGGGCTGAGGTGGTCGACGGAGGATTTTTTTTTCCTATTCTTTTGACTTTGACTGTTATGTGACAATTTCTTTTCGGGGCCACAAGGTTAGTCTCAATAGCCTAATTTCAAACGTTACAAGCCTTTTGTAGTAGTGTACTCACAGAATTCAAGAAGATATCTTTGTCGATAGATAGCAGATAAGCAGTTACTTCGTCATCAAAAATTCCCCGTAAAATAATGTATTGAGTATGAAATCAAAGAGATTAGATCTTTGAATGGTAGTATTGTACAATTTGGCCATGTTGGCCTACTCTCCTCGGTTAATCAGCCCTCCACAGGCCCAACCTTGACATTAGTCCTCCTGTGCAGCTCTTCAAACTCAGTGATAGCCTTTTCTCTCCGCTCAGCCTTGCGCTGTTGAACTTCAATGCTCTTGAACCGCTTCTTGCCCCCAAACTTCAGCTTTGTGATCATATCAGCCGCTTGACCCCTCGTCAGGTCCTGGGGCCGTAATTTGCCCTCCCGTATGCGAGCTTTGTTCAACAACTGAATCTGTCCAGGAGTGGCCGGATTCTGCCTCCAGGGCTTCCATGATGCAATGTATCGCTCGTCAAACTTGCTGCTGGCGTAGGTGTCTGCGGCGCGGACGGCTGTTTCTAGGTCGGTGCCTGATGCGATTCGTCGGGGTCGTGTGAATTGTGGTGTTTCAGTCATTGGATTGGTGAATTTCATCACGTGATATACGTTGTACATATCTTTTTCTTTCTCCAGGGTCAGCCAGCCTGATGATTCCGACAGTAGGTACTTTTCATCGCCGACTCGAACCCAGGAATTTGGACTAAGAGAACGGATGTGTTTCTCAGAGCGTGTGTCGTCCAATAGATCGTAGATACTGTCGTATTTGGTGAATTGTAGATTGACGTCACCGTCTTGAGCTGCCTCTGGATCTTCTGATGACTTTGGCAGGTTATCTTCTGCGCGGCCTTCCCGTATATCTTTCACCGACGATTCGTTCAAGACTTCGTCTGGGTGAAGGCCGAACAATGTTGGCGTTGACAAAACACCCGTTGCCAATGATGCAACCATGTCAATGATATGACAGTCCTCTTTCCCGGGAAACAGGCGCAGTCCACGTCCGATCATCTGGATAAGCAGGTTTCTGGATCTGGTCGGACGCGCCAAGAGCACGCAATCAATGTTGGGAATATCAGTGCCCTCGGTAAACAGACCACAATTCAACAGAACCGGGAATTCTTGGTTCTTGAAAGCCTCTAATTGCTCTGAGCGCACATTCTTATGAGTGGTGGCAGTTATGTACCGAGCATCAACGCCGTGTTCCCGAAACGTCGCTGTGAGCTGTTTGGCATGCTCGACATCCACGCAAAAGACGAGAGTGGATTTCCGGTCTTTCGCATTGGCCATCCAGGCACGCACTGTAATGTTGTTGGTGTTCGTCGTGTTAACCGCCTCTGAAAGCGAACTCAGCGCAAAATCGCCAAACTTGTCCTTTTTGACATTGGACAGATTGGCTTCTGATTTCACGGTCGTAAATACTGCATTGGCAAGCCATTTCTCGCCAATCATATCCACATAGTCTTTATGGTAGACAATATGATCAATTGCGGCGCCGAGTTTCAGCCCGTCAAATCGCGCAAAGGTAGCCGAGACACCAACGAGCACCGGTGCATTTGGGGATGGATCGTTGAGACGAAAATGCCCCAAGGCTTCACGGTATGATCTTGCTACAATATGATGCGCCTCATCCACAAGGATCAACTTGAAGAGCTTCGGGTCGAACTTGTGAATGCGTCCACGAGCAAGAGTCTGCACGGATGCAATGATGATATCCCCATGTCCTGTCGCAACATTGTTTCCCATCTCGATCTCCACAATCTTGTCCGGATATGCAAGGCGGCAATGCTTCGCTGCTTGTTCGACGAGTTCGCGTCGGTGGACGATGATCATCGTCTTCGTAGCTTCCGCATCGCGTGGTGGGATTCGGCTGATAAGCTGTGTGAAGATAACCTGCGGAGGTTAGCAGATATTCGGACCTATCCGTATACACAAGCATACTGTCTTTCCAGCTCCAGTTGCTAAGGATATTCCTAGCCTCCGGTGGCCCTCGTCCAGGTAGTTGAGCACTGATTGAATGCATTCTTCTTGGTAATCGCGCAGCACAATACTGGAAGAGCCGGGCAATGGCGGTACTGTAGAGTTGAGACGAGCATTACGCCAGCCATGCGACGCTAATAGTCTCCTCGGAGGCCTCCTCCAAGAGTGCGAAATCGCCAACAACCCAAATCTGCGAACGAACTCCATACTCTAAAGAAGAGAGCAGCTCGGCGGACTGAAAAGCGGCCACAAACAGTGCAAACATTCTTATCGGCCGCGCGATAACGTCGGTCAGTCTGACCTGAAGAGCTCAGCTTTTTTTATTGCTCTCTCTTTCTTCAAATACCTTCTCAACTCACAGGCGCAGCTGTGATGTCCTCGCCTTCGGTCTCTCCGAATGCGCTGGCAGTCTGCAAGCCTGCATGATGAGCAGTTCCGAGTCGTCCTTTGCGCCTGACGAAAATTCCGACTCCGACTCCGAGTTTAGTCTCGATGAACAACCCGAGCAGACGCGTAGTCGGCGCTCTTCTTCACGAATCGAAGTGGTGGATAACTCATCAGACGATGGTGATAAAGATGGAGATGAAGATCTGAACTCCGACTTAGAGTCAGGCGCAGACTTGAACGTCCGCGATAACCAATTCGAAATTCTTTATGCTCGCATTCAGCATCTGTCGCCGGAAATCCTCGACGCCTACTCTTCGCTCGTAACGGAGGTCGAAAACGATATCATTTTATCGGCAACTCGAGAAGATGAGGAGATTCATAACGTCCATCAACATGGAGCGGTGATTTGGACTGCAACCGAAAAGGAAATTTTATACAATGTGCTTGACAGGAAAGGCAGGAATGGCATCAAAGAGATTGCCTCTGCCATTGGAACCAAGTCGGAACTCGAAGTCATGGATCATCTCCGGCTCCTCCATCGCGGTTTGGAGAGCCAGCATCTCCTTGAGCGGCACATCAAAACGATCATCATGGGTGACGTTCCCGCAGCCGCCGAGATCAGCGAGCAATGTTGCGCCAAGTTAGACGAGTATGCCCGGGGTCTGAGAGCCAAAGAAGATCTCGCTGCCGTACCGGCTGCACGGATGCGATACGGTGATAATTGGACTGTCAGTAGTACCCAGGCGCAACAACTACTAGCGGCTGAAATGGATGTTCCGTTACGTGGTGACATTCACCTTCCTGCCAACCTGCTCAACATTTCAACATGGATCGAGCTCGAACAACGGTTTTTCATGAATTTCGGGGGCTCGCAAGCGGAGGATAACTGGGTGAATATCGCCCAGTCGAAAAACGAGTCTCCCTCCATCAGCGGCGATGCGCTGATGGACTTTTACGCTTTGACTGTTAGCATCACACGTCGCTTGATACAGTCGACTCAATTCGTAGCCATGAGCAGAATACGAAGTCAGCGCCTGTACGGCCGTGAGCGCGCTAATGCCGTTCGCAGGAAAGATGTCAAGGCCGCTGTCAACATTCTGAACATGAAGCCAAAGCGAACGGACTTCCTGCTCAGACTTGCCCGCCGAAACGAACTAGTTATCGAAGACAGACACAAAAGAAAGGGCTGGAAGACCCGAACATTCGACTATGACGAGGCGGAGAAGATTCTCAACGGGGAAGCAGATTACTTCAAACGCGTCAGGGACGCAACCGTCACCAACACAGCAGATGCCGACGATGAAGTCGAAGAAGAAGATGAGAACGACCTCGACAATTTCGACGGCGAAGACTCACGTCATCCTTCAAGAATGACCTCCCAGCAACCGACCGAACATTCTACTTCCCCCGCATCTTCAGACGAAGAGCAAGACCCCCTTGACTCAGAAGAAGAACACGCCAACGCCGTCGACCTCGAACATAATCGTCACGAAGAACTCGCTCTATGGCGCCTCCTTGAAAACCCCGCACCACCACACCTCGAACCCCCCATCCGAACAGAACAAGACGACAAAGATGTCTCGCGCAAACCACCCGCGGAGCGCAAAGCGCCCCAAGACATGGTCGAATGGCGCGATCGAGTCCTCTACCGCGGTGAATGGGAGGAATACGGTTATAACATTGGCGATGTGGAGGAGGCGGTGGTTGAGAACCGGCGGAAAAGGCGCCGTATTGATGAGCCTTTATCTGCTTCTGTGGTTAACAGTGAGGATGATGCGGAGGAGGAGGAAGGGCCACAGCTTGGCGCGGAGGAACATACGCGAGTTGAGCCTCCCAGGTATGGTTCAGCTGGTTGGGATGCCTTTTTGCAATCGTTTTTGACGACGGGGCAAGGCCAACCCGGTGAGAGGAATTCCTAGACCTCGAGGCGCCGGCGATCATGGGAGCTGGTTGGCTTTTGTCTACCTTGATGTAAAGAAACTACAAGATACCATAAAACAATTCAAAGATTTACTCAAAATGTTGATTCTGGAGGTCTACCAAACTCATAAAACACGAAAGATTCCATCACGAACATTTGATTAGAAAAAAAAAGGATAAACACATCCAAAAGAAGTTAGAAAATGAACAGAAAGCATCCAAGCCCCCTGATTTCATCCCCAATCACCAAAATAAGATCACTCGATGAGGATCTTCTCCAGGGACGAAATCGAAATCGACTCAAACTCCCAAGGGATAATCAAGATACTGCGCCTTTTCCTAACCAAGCAGATAGACAAGTTCAAACAAGAAAATTCATAACACCACCAGAATCCGGCAGTCTCCAATCACCATCACCGCTCGGCCTTCTTGCCTCCTTCAAAACATCCATGGGATATCATACACATATAGGCGAAAGCTCAGCTCACAGGTCGAGCGACTTGAAATCGGCACCGGCCTCAGCGCTCAAGGGCTGAGCACCCGGTTGAGTCTCGCCAGCTTGAGGCTGGAAGCCGTAGTTGTTGCCGATACCAGCCGTGGCGGCACTGGCGAGCATGGCGTTGGTGTGCTCGTTGGGACCCTGGTCGCTGACAACCTTCAGGGCTTCCTGGGCTTCCATGACACGCTTCTTGAAAGCCATCCGGTCCAGGAAGAGCTGTCGGCGGGCCTGCTCAAGTTCCCGGCGCTCGGCTTCAATGATCTCCTCCATCTCGTTGAACTGCTGTAGCTTGATCTCAAACTTTTGCAGAGTCACGTTGACAGCAGCGCCAACCAGACGAGTCATTTCACGCTCTTCGTGAGAGGCAAGAGCTCCTGCGCGTGCTGCTGAAGCCGCCAAGGCAACGGTTGACAGGGACTCCTTGGGCTTCTGGGTCTGCTGCTCACCCTCGCGAACGGTATCAACATCCATGGAATCCTCTGCCTTGACAGCCTCCTTGCTCTTACCATCACCCTTCTCCAGTTGGCTGCGGAGCTCTTTCCGGATCTCCTCAACAGAGCGACCTGCGGCGGCTGCGGCTACTGACGGCTCGGCCATCTGGGCAAGGAAAGCAACCACAGACAGGACGGGGTTCTCTGACTGGCTGATGGGATCGCGTGCAGCGCCAGACCGCAGCTCAGGGATATCCTCAACATATTTATCCTCAATCTCTAGAGACAAGAACTTCATCACACACTCTTCGCGTGTCCGCGTGCCGACGTGGTTCGCGATCTGTTCCCAGTTGTCATCAAAGTTCTCCAACCCCTCCAGAAGTAGGACAAGCTCTGAATCGGACCACGGGGCGTCCTTGTCGGGCACATGAGAGTGGCTCTTGTCTTCAAGCTTCACAAAGTCCGAAGCGTTGTGGCTAGAAGGCATGCGACCCTGGAGGAAGCAGTTCGGGCACAGGTCGTACTTGGTGTCAGGGGTGTTGGCGTTGGCTGATGTGGGGGCCGATTTGGCGTAGTGGAAACGAAGGCGTGTGCAGTCGATACCACAGGAGAAGCAGTGCGACTTTTTCTTGGGCTCTGAGGGCTCAATGCCGTTTGTGGCTTCGCCATTGGTATGCTTCTCCTTATCCTCGGCCGGTGTTACGTCCTTGCCCTTCTCGTCATAGATGTTGCGGCGCAGTTCGAGGTTGACATCACCCTTTGCGGGGGTCGCCGAGGCAGCACGGTCGGTGGAGGGAAGAGACTTGCCAGAGGTAACTGTGGGGTGCGGTCCGGGCTGGAAGGGCTGCAGGCCTCGCGGGGTATCGGCAATAACTCGGAAGTGGCCAGTGAAGGGAGGCCCAATGTTGGAGGGTCGGGATTGGGGGTCAACCTGAAAGGGTTAATTCGGATACATGGCCAAAGCCTTATCGTCTGGACTCACCTGGTAGTTGATCAAGCCCCACTGCTCAAGGAAAGAGTGAATACGCATGATGGCACAAACATCGCCAGCCAGATTGCGACGGCAAGCAGTGACGGTTAGGTATTCGATGGGGTTCAGGCGGTAGGTGTTGATCATGAAATCGCGGTAGTCCTTGTAGGTGGCCGGGGTCTTGCTGCGATTGCGGCCGTTGAAGAACTCCGCCAGAGCCTTTTTTTCGATGGCATTGATGGTATTCATGTCGAACCAGGTGGCGTAGCTAGGGAGGATGATTGCGTGGGTTTGAGTGACGAGTTGGTCGCGTGCTTTGCCTTCCAAAGCCGACTTGCTCGGTGCTGGCTGATCCTCTCCGACTGCATCCTCCAGACCTTCCGTAGCCGTCTCGGGGGGCTGTGACTCCCCAACTGCATCCTCCAGACCCTCAGTATCAGGCTTGGCATCGGTCTCAGTACCACCCATCTCCTCGTCTTCCGGTTCGGCATCACCAATCTGGCGCTTGGGGGAGGCAGGTGCATCAAGAGGGTTATCTAACCCGGCAGAAGACTCTGCCTTCTTCTCGGGCGACTCCTGGCGCGATTGCGCCGCTGTTCGTCAGGTCAGCATTGACGTGACTGGGTAGATAAGGTGGCTGGAGCGGACGTACCTGAAGTGTTGGCTGCATCCGCAGCACCCTCTGTGCCAGTCATGGTATGCAAGTTGTCTGCGGCAGCTGGATTGACGGAGTTTCCATCCATGATGTTTTAGCCGAAGGAAAGCTGCTGTCGCGGGCGACAGAAGATCGACTCCTTGCCCTGTCGTTTGTTTCCTGAACCTTGCGCAGCGCAATTGATTACGCGCTATAAGAGCGAAATATCAGACGAGATGAGTTAGACAAGGCGAAAGATGGCCCACTTCGATGAGAATCTAGGCTAGGGAGGGATGATTGGACGGGTGCTTGATCAATGGGGGGAGGTGGATGTCGCGACACGGAAAACTCGCGGTCGCTGCGCCAAGACTGTAATCGACGCTAGTCCAAAAACGGGCTAGCGTTCTCTAGCAGCAGTCAACTGTCGAACTGCATCAACTTCTGTAAAGAATCTATGGATTGTTGTCTTGTCGCTATTACAACGACCTTTTATAGACTGTCACCAGGAGACAGTCTGTTTTCTAGGAATTTCTCTAGACTGATGGCAAGCATTATTCATGATTGGACTCCGAGACTATCTTCTCAAGATCTTACAATGGGCCATCTTTCCAGGATTGCACATCAAAATCATATATTTTTGGAGTTTTCCCTTTCTGAACAACCAGGTACACATTAACAGAGCAGCTATTTGGTTCAAAAACAACTCATCACATCAACAAGGCCCCAATTTAGTGTGCCGCGATGGCTTCACTGCGAAGCTTCAAGGCCTTCTCAACAGCCGGACGAGCCTTCTGGCGTTTCAACCACGAATCAACATTAGGGAATTCCTTGGCCAGATCAACATCAAACATAGTAACAACACCAAACCAAGGAATAAAAGCCAGATCAACATAGCTGAGCTTATCACCAACAAGATACTCTTTATCAGCCAAGAATTTGTCCAGCACGCCCGAAACACGGCGAATCTCCTTCACGTAGCGCTCCTTGGCGCTCTCAATCTTCTCCGGATGGGAGCGGGTGAACCACACAGCCTGGCCGAAGTAAGGACCCTGGCCGGACATCTGATAGTGCAGCCATTGTTTGGCAAGGAAGTAGTCCTTAGACCCGGCATCAAAGCTGATGGTATGGTCCTTGTCGTAGGTCTCGACCAGATACTCGAGGATAGCGCCGGACTCCCACAGCGTAATGCCGGTGTTTGGGTCTTCGATAGCGGGGACGCGGCCATTCGGATTGACAGATACATAAGGTTCTTTCTTCATATCCGCAAAGTCAACCACGGTGTTGACGTAGGGGATGTTGAGCTCCTCGAAGACCATGACGACCTTCCAGGGATTAGGGCCGGGGCCGTGGCCGTAGAGCTTGATTGGCTTAAGCGACATCTTTGTATGTTTGTTTAAGATTGAACCTTAGAATAAGGATGTAAGAACCAAGAGTTGATGCAAAGCCGGTTGGTTGAAAATGGCACAATTTGCAGATATCAAGACGAACTCTGGATATCCGTTACTTCTTTAAATACACCATACCTTCCATTCAACCAAATACAAGGCGCTAATTCTCCCAACATTTTGCGTGTCATTCAAATCCGTTCGGCATCGGCGTCTTGATTACCCCTTGCCGAGTCGCTGACAAATTGCCCAAATGCAAGCTTGACGCGTTCGTGAAATCCTGATATACGCGTTGTTTACCCACCATTGGCTATATCTAGGAATCAGCTGGTGAATTTCCCATGGATATATATCTCGTATAGTGGTATGACCTCATTGGCGACTCGTATCTGCACGGTTTGTGATGTTGAGTTCAAGCTTGGTCCCGCGAAGCTGGGATTTCTTCGGCATTGTTTAGTAATCAGGCTAATATCCCGTCATTGATAGGTCAGATCGATAGAGATGTTTTTGTAATGATGCTCAATACGAATTTTTGCCTATGAGGCGGTGCTAAGGGGGACCAGGGCAGTTGAGCAAAGCTCCAAGTTGGAGTGTGAGGTTGAGGTGTTTGTCAGCAAAAGGTTGGGATAAGCTTAGATACAGTGGCAGTTCAAAAGTCTGAAACAAGAGACCAAGCGAAAAGACCATCTAAATATGCTTCGACTTTACATTTTTATCAGATCTTTCTGAATATCTTTTGAACCCTCTTTCTAGATATTCCCGGCAGTTTTATTCAACTTGCCTTTTAAAGTATAGCTGATGAGAGGGGGTTGAACTTTCCCGGGTGTTGCAAACTTATGGAACGCCACTGTATAGAGCAGTCGTATGTCTGGGACACAAAGTTGACAAAGTACCGAGGAGGACCATTTTGCCTTTGACGGGCGAATAACAACATGCTTCACTCACTGAAGGTAATTAAGCACGTCCATTCCCCGGATTCAAGGAGGAACTGGTTATTTCAATCTCCTCGCTTAACAATAGTTCCCTAGACTGCAGGCTGTCACAGGGAATGACTCTCGCCTCTGAGCAAAAAAGGTATCTAGTACCGACGCCCTTGCCAGCGCACATTCGAGTCATTGGCACGGTATTATAAAGCATCTTCGTGAAAACGGGCACATAGTGGAGATGGACATGATCCAAGACTGAAGGGCGCAGTCTAGTAATGAACAATGGTGCCGCGGTATCGGACCGCGTTGGGGCTCGTATTTGAGGGAAATAAACTTGTTTGATGAGATGGGCAAAGAGAAGGCTCATTGATGGTGGAGAGATCACTCGGTGAAGATGATATATACTTTATGTTTGATATCTGATGAGACCAGGGCGACATAAGCCAATCCCATCGCCCATAGTATGAGCCTATCGTGCGGAGGAGTATTCCTGGATTAGCAGTCGAGTGCGAGTCCTCGGAGTAGACGATTTCCAGGCTCGCAGCAGCATAACAAATGCCTCGCATCAATAATATTCTGGAATGAAAAGATCCATCAAAATGTCTCCTCGGACTAAAAAAATTCTTATATCCTATTCGCCTCAATCAAGTAGTATCGCTAATTCACCTCTGAGGGTCCTCGGACTAAGGCTCGGAGTAAAATTTCATTCGTCGGACTAACACCTACCAGGTTCGGATTAAATCTGACTAGAAGCACCAGGAACCACCATTTAACCGCCATCACGCCATCTTTTCGTTCAAAAGAATGAAGAGAGATCTTGAAACAAGATTATAGAAGAAACATCATTGATGGGATTTCAAAGCAAAGTACATGTGCTCGGCTACGCCCTTGGATGATGCTTTTCCATGATTTAGTTGAATTGATTGGCTTATTCGACCCCGCATTGACTCGTATTGAGTCACCTTCAAGCCACACTTCGTACGGCGCGACCATGAACCAAACAAAATGGAGAAAGAGCTTGGTTTGCTTGGAAATCAAACATCGCGTCAATCAAACAATACGATCAAGAGTTCCTTCGTATGTGCTGGTTTCATTGGCTGAGATTCATTTAGAAAGACATGCTTGGTTTGCACGATTTGCACATTTGAACTTGTCTTAGAACATATGCATGTTAGTCTTGCTAGAGATCGCCGCTGATAGCCGTAAGGCTCTACTCCGTAGCCAGTTTCGCGGCCTCGCCAGGTCGAAATGCTCCATTTGACTCCGTTTCGGGACCCCGAGCCCGCTAAGAATACAAAAAATGGCGGCGGGAAGTGGAGCCATTCGGATGTGGGTGTTCTGGGTAAATTCGGTCCCGCGACTTGAAGGTCTGATTTGATGGACACTGGACAGCATCATAGCCATACCCGAGCCTTGCTGTAGTGTCGATAGATACTCATTTCAGCGTTTCGGGCATCCAGTCGTCAAGGCAGCAACGAGGTCTAGATTGGGCCTCAGGCCGTGACTCAGGCTCAGATGGATGCGGATGCAGAGCCGTATACGAACGAGTTCCAACATTTGATGAGGAAGCCTTGATCATCCACACGCCCTGTCGTACTTGGCTATCCCGCATCCAGGAAAGTCGGGGGTCCAGATCCACAGAGACACAAAGGAGACGGTCAAGATCCGAAAGTTACGCGTTAGGATAGACTTGGATCCCTTTGGAATAGAAGCCCATTAAGGCATAGGCTGCGAGATGTCTTGTCGGCATCATGATTATCTGATACACGCGACGTGTCAGCGGATGCGCCCTTTAATCGGGGCGTTGACATGTGCTCGTGTATATTGGTCATCTGCGATCCACTGCCAGGGTTGGCACTGGCTGTGTTTAGCGTCTATTTGAACTCCGATGGCTACTCCGAACACCGCGGCGGAGTACTTTTCAGCCTAGTCGAGACCCACAAGAGGCATCTGGCTCTGACGTATTTTTTTCTGTTGCGACACACTCGTTACTGTAGTTTATTCGAGCCTCGACTCATTTTTCATGGCTGAGTGGTGGGGCAATGGCTTTGAGAATTCTATTTTTTTCTAGATTTTAATAGATTTTTTTCTTGTATCGGAGTGAGAACGGATTGACATTTTGGATGTACTTCGCGCTGGAACCAAGTATATAAGACCCTGGGAATCCCCGTGTGAAAAGATCATTCTCAATTCCATTGCATTCAAACAAATCAATCTACATTGCAAAGAACCTTCAAGACATTCTTCCAATCAACCGAAAGACAAGAACATTCCTCATCTTCTCATCAATACTTTCCATCTCATCAACATCACCATCAACCACTATACTTGACCAGCCCAACCACCAGTCAACCACCACTATAACCACCAACACTCAAACCACCATTACAAACACTCCATCCAAAATGTCCAGCTTCACCTCCTCCAAGAGCTCTTCCAAGACCATGTCCTCTGACGCCGCCTCCACACATTCCACCGTCTCCACCGCAACAACGCTAAAGGGCACCGACTCCCCCATCAAGAAGAAGTGGTACTCCCTGAGCTCCAAGTCTGAGCCTCAGCACGTCAACAAGTCGGACGCTTTCTATGCCAAGCAAGCTATTCACAATGAGGCTGTTGCTAGCTACTTCAGCATGCGGTAGACAGGCATACGAACATACTGGATGTAACGACACCAGCCAAGGACTGAATCAATTGGACATAACATGTCGCAATTGATTTAACTATGCTTGTTTCTGTGGTTTTCTCGCTTGTTTTTGTTTTTGTTCTTCTTTGGGCTTGCTTGATTTGATACCACTGCCTTTTCGATGAAGCCGCTCTTGCGACGATGGAATGACCCTGGATACCATTACTTTTTTCTAATACTCACCTCGATGTCTAGCTTTGTGGCTGGATTTTTGTTTCTTTATGTTCTAATTGCGTTGTTTACTTGTGCGTGGAGTTTATTGATTGTTGAACTAGATTGTTCTGTTTTCTGTTGTCTTTAGAATATACGGATTGGCCTCCATTTCATTGCAATGAAAGTTAATTGATCAAACATGATGTGATTCTTCGTACGAGTACGGTATACTTGCATGTAGTATTAACAAGAGCTAGATTCTAGGTAATCATGACATGGATATATGCTCAATGTGCAACGAGAATAAAACAACAAACGAAAATATGATGACGCTTAAAAATGCCTTGTGATTTCATCACAGCCCTGCCAACAACTCCCCCAGAGAGATAGGCTTGCGAACCGCATTTGAGAACCCTTCGTGATAAGTCACCCACACCTTCCGGCCAGCTTTGGAAGTCTCGTCCGAGTGGTTACCGCTCTCGGTTTCCTTGGTCTCCCCGATAGGCTCTTGAATGACCCGTCCAAAGAAATCCCGTTTAAGAGCGGCATCGCCAGTGACTTTATGACTAGCACCACCTTGCTGCTCTTTTACGGATTGACCATTAAGAGACTTACCGCTGGCGGCATTCTTGGCATCAGATTGCTTGCGCATCATCTCCTTGCGATACTCCTGGTCAAGAACTTGACGGACTGCATAACGAACAGGCGCAGAGCCCGATGCTGAAGAACTCCCTGTCATCTTGGAGAAAGCCACCAGCGAATCGAGTGACCTGTGGGGCATTAGTTCTCATTCGTCAAACGCACCAGAGAATAAGGGTCTCACTTACGGCTCCATTCTGTAGGCCCAGCCACCGTGACTTCCGCCTTCATGCTCTACTCGGACTTTCTCAAACGTAACACCCATACCAGACATGACCCGCACGGCCGACTGGACGAGGGCACGCTCGCTTTCTTTGCGAACGCTGGCTGTACTCCTCTGCTCACCGCCGCCACGCACAATGACGGGTTTAACGTCAGGGGACAGCATTCGAATCAAATGCGGAATAAGATCCGTGACAACGCTATCGGCGGACCTGAACATGCGAATCATGGGTGCCGGTAAAGATGACTGGAATCCGTTCAAGATAGAGCGGTTCTCCTTTTGTGCTTCGAATACAAGGAAGTCTGCTTTGGGTCCTGAGAAAGGATGCTCGTCCTCGGCGTTCTCATCCTCGTTGTCGCGATCATTCATCTCAACCTTGCCAGCAGCCGAGGCGAAAAGATGATGGAATGCAAGCGTGGACTGGCTCAGATACGCGCCCAATTCCCACTCCTGAGACTGATGTACTCTCGAGGAGATCGAGTCATGGAAATGAAGCCAGTCGTAAGCGGCAGTGGGCTTTGAGAGGAAATTGTCATCCCGGTATTGCTGGTTCGGGTATGCAGCAAAACAGTCGGTGACACACCGGTCATGCTCACCACTAGCATCTATCATCTCCCGTAGGCGATTGATAGCGTGTCGTTTGCGCAAGTCTGCTACTCCCACTGGAACACGGCTATTAGAGCTGTCGAATTTGCCCTGGAAAGACATGCCAGCTGGAGCATCAGTGAACCCCGCCCCTTCGCTGAAAACCCGATTCACAATCTCACGGACACCGCCACGGCTCATCTCTTTGAAAAAGGAGCCGCCTTCAGTGGACGTGCCGAGCACTCGTGACTCCAACCAGTTTCGAGTCAGTCTCAAAGACGAAGAGCCTTCATTTCGAAGCTTATGTGCTACCCACTCAGCAGCAACAAGCACGCTTCGGATATCACCCTCGGCGGACCCGTTATTCTTAGAACCCCGTTTCCTTCGAGGTTCTAATCCCCAAGCCGCTTCGCATAGCCTTCGGGCTCCATCACCATCACATGGAATACCTTCTCTGCTGAAAATGTTCTTCACACGCTGGATCACATTCTCCAATGGCGCTTGTCGAACGTGAATCATCTCTGCAATCGTAGAGGCTCGCAGAGGGCGAAGACTGGGGTGATACAGATCATTGCATACCAGGATCAACGGCCGCAGGAAGCGGAAGTTATCACCCTTGCGCTTCTTGCCGGATTTGCCGCCATGCTCAGCGACATAACGCGCATTGCGTTGATCGAGCATAACCAAATCAATCAAGGCTTTCATGAAACCACCTTCACCACCGCTGCCAGCTCCTCCGACAACGCCGTCAACCTCGTCAACAACGACACATACTGGCCTGGCAGCCCGACGGACCTTGTTCTCACCAATCTCAACGTTGGCACCTTTGACATTCTCCGTCCCTAGCGCATCACGGATGCGGCCCTTAACCACATCTCTGCTGCGCTCATCACTGGCATTGATTTCGAGGACCTCGTAACCGGCCTGTTTGGCACATACATGTGCCAACGTAGTTTTGCCAAGACCAGGGGGGCCACTTAGCAGAAGCACCTTGCGATGCATCCGCTCCTCATCCTCATCACCCTGACCGGCTTTCTTTGATCGAGAAGACTTGACCAAGCCGGGGAAGACAATTGGCTCCCACCCCTTCAACCAGCGAAGCACCGCACGGTGTGTACGCTCATCGCCAATGAGGTCGGTGAATTTGCGAGCACGGTACTTTTCTGTCCACATCATCGAGTCAATCTTCTTCTGCTTTGGGTCTCCTTCTATCCGTTCGATGGACTCTTGCACCGCAGGTCGGGGTGCTGCCTTGGTGGCTTTTGCCTCCTTTGCAGCCTCGTCCAGCAATTTGTGAATCTCAATTCCATAGTAACTCCTTTTGGCTCGTCCGGCCTCGGTCTCAGATCGGCTTGCGATCATACGCTCGTAAGAAACGGGAGCACTGGTCTTGCGAAGCGGGATATGGTGTGTTTTGCCGCTGCACGTTTTGATCTGGATCTTGTTCGGTGGGATTGGAGCATGTCGAGATGCAATTGTGGTTTGTATTCTTGAGATCGTAGGCGTGTCTTCATTTTGTGGAGTGGAAAATGCGTTGTTCTGCGGTTCTTCCAGAATGCTAGGGAGGTTTGACGGTACTGATTCGGGATTCTCTTGTAGCTCGAATTGGCTCTTGAGCTGCTCGTCTTGCAGTGCAGCGACTTCATCGTCTTCTTCGTCATCGTCGTCGTCAACAAATCCTCCGAGGAACTTCTGTCGCTTAGGTTCGGCCTGCGAGGAGTTCTCTTCAACATCGGTGGCCTTGCGCTTCTGCACATTACCATCAGAGTCGCCGAGCACTGCTGCCCCTGGTTGTGCTATGAATGGCATATCTGAGATCGGAGGTGAGGACGGAAGAAAAGATAGATATTGTGCCCGAGTCAGCGCGTTTTGACGCGGTGTATCGGTGTAGTCCTTCGTCGGGGTGTCTGCATTGAAAATTAAAATTAGGGTCGAGACAGAGCAGATATGCGCAAGGGTCTAACCTGGTCTTATATCGTCGTCACTGCGAAAGACATCAGACAAATTCCAGGCTCGGTGTTGAATCACAACTTTATTGCGGGTTTGTTCGAGGCGATGCAGGTGGATTGCCTCGATGTCGTCGGAGAAGGACTCGGAAGGGAGGTTGGGGGCGTTGGTAGGATCTTCGGAATGGAGATGGAGGGCCGGATCGAATGATGAGAGGAAATTGGGCGACGACGGAATCATTCAAGCGTCTCGGTCATATCAATGTCAATGATCGGTCTTTGGACAATTGGGCGGAGGTTCCCCTCTGACTGGGAGACGCGCCGACGCGTGCGGGTAAACGCGCTAGTCCCGTTTTGGTAATCTACTTTCACATAGTCTGGATAAGTCATGGGCTTGCATCGTGTTGTATAGATAATATGCGATATAACCTCTAGAAGAATGAAAACTGACGAAAGATTTTCAGTTGATTCTTGGTCATATCTACTTTTAAATGAAATGAAGATTCACCAATATTCTATTCTGTCAGTGCCAGTACAAACCGTCTACTTCAAGTATTCGGAAATTAATGAAGAGCAAGCCGTGCTAGTCACCTCAAATTCCAGATAATTTCCTAGAGAAGGAATATATGGGAGACTTGCTTGATTGTGAAAATAAATTCGATAACAACTCTCGATCATGGACACCACACACTATAGTACGGAGTACTCCGGACTGTATATGCCACGAAGGAGCTATGTTTGAGTATCCCCGTGGCTCATACTATTAGCCCAACAGAGCTGTGCCAAAGGAGGAAGAATACGATGAGAATCTAATTTTGCACATTCAGCATAAACTTTCCCAATGTTTTGCTATGACTCGCGCTATATAGTTGGAGGCGAACGAGGGCCCAAGTGATGAGGTGAATGTAGCCGAGCGGCAAGACAAGCCTTCCCGCCCCCCCCGGCGGCACTGGAAGAGAAAAAAGCAGAGCTCACTGCTTGTCTACTATTACGGAGACCCCGAACCCCTTTGATCCCCTTCTTCCGAAAATTGACATCCTTTTAGGCCGATCTAAGCGAACCTAATGGAGGCTCTTCCTGGTTTGCCACTGGTTCCTGGCCCTGGAGAGCGAGTTCCTGGGACCTGGGCCCAGGGTCTCCATAGTGCCACTTTAATAGTGCGCGCCACCCCATCGCCTCTTGTGGCTGCTTTTGGGACGAACGACTCGAAGCTTGACTATACGCAGACTAGGTTCCACCAGAGGATGACCGTTTCGCTTATGGCCTAAGTCAGGGCCTATGGCATTCCCTCGCCAGCTCGCTTTGAGATGTATCTTTTGAAAGAGTTCTCCCGAAACTGCACTTTTCGGGAATTTTGGCCGCCATGCTTACGCACATCGAGCCCCACGAGGCCCCAGAAGGCCTCGCGCTGGTCAATAATATGAATATAAAGCCATCTCTCGAACAACACGGGTCCGGATTTACCAGACACTGCCTTCGTCACGTCTTGTCAAATTGTGAGGGCTCGCCATGATGTGGAAGTTATCATTGTGGTTGGCGTTCGCATACGCTGCCACCACTTCAGCTCTGCCTTCTCCCCAACCTTCGGAGAATCATGGTGATTCTTGTCCCGTCAACCACGACTCGTCACCCAATTGGCATGAGGGGCCTTTCAAAGAAATCATTCGTTTGATTGAAGGGTGCCCCGATGGCCGTCCTTTCTGTCGCGACCTCATTCACAAGTCCTATGACATTATCACCAAGACCAAGACGGTGACTCCAGTGCCAACTACCGTCAAGGTCACTGAAACTATCACCGATCATCTTCGTCAAGTCACAAGGACCACCACACAGGACGTCACCTCGACACTTGTGAACTCTCCGTTGACCACCACTCTTTATGCAACTTCGACTTTGACCCAGACCGTGCCCTTGACTATCACGGATGTATCCACCTTTACCACTCTGGATGTTTCCACCGTCTTCCTGACGTCGCCGGACTATGAAACCATCACAAGGCCGGTGACTAGCTTCATCACGAACACGGCCACGCAGGTTATCACTGATGATTCGACCACCACCCTCACTGAGTATTTCACGGACACGTCTACTCAAACATTCACCAATACTATCACAGACTATGCGACAGTCTTCGTTACATCATTTATCACAGACTATGCGACCAACTACGTCACCAATCTTTACACGGATATTCAAACCGATACAATCACAAACTATCACACCGAGACCACCACTATTTCCTTTACTGATACCGCCACTGTAACGACCACTCAGACAATCCCATCTACTACCACTCAGGAACTGGACGTCACTACGACTGATACTCAGTATCTGACTACTATCCAGACTGATTTCATTACCTCTACCAACACACTCTCTGCCACAGAGACCGACTATACTACGGCCACAATCACTTCCGTCCAAACTGACGGCATAACCGTCACTACGAGCGTGGTGACCACTGTGGCTCCGGCCAAGAGGGACTCGATCAATGAGCTCAATGGACGTGCTGCACTCCCCACTCCATCCGCTTTGAGAGGCATTCACGACACTCATCTGTCCAGCGCATGCTCTATCCTCTGGACTGAGAAGTGGGTCTCAACGACGTATACCACCACGACAGTCCCCAAGCCTACAGTACGCTCTATGCCGATGGAAAAACATGAAGACCATATACTAATGGATCGAATAGGTTACTAAGACCATCACCACTCACACAATGGCCCCTGGCATCAATACTATCTACGTGACCAAGCTTACGACCGAGTTTGTGACCAGCACGCCCAGTCTCTTCACTACAATTTTGACAAACACCGTCACTACCGATATCACAAGCACTTTGACTATTGAAGAAACATCAACCGCCACGTCCTCGTCTACTACGACTGCCACCGATATTGACACATTGTTTGTGACATTGGATATTCCAACCACCGAGACCGACCTCGTCACTGCCACGTTGACGACCGACTTGACATTCTCGACAACCTTGGATATTACATCGCAAGAAACTGCCTCGGTGACAGATATCGTCACGGCAGACGAGACCAACACTGCAACGACTGATCTCACAACGATTCAAACCAACACGGAGACGATTGATATCACATCCAGCCAGACAGTCACCCAAACTGCGGATATTACTGCCACCGAAACGGCCTCTCTAACAACCACGGAGACGGCAACAACGACTATTGATATTACTGAAGTTGCAACGATAACCTCAACTTCTTTCTTTGGCGTCACCACCTCTGTCCCAGTCACGCTCCAAAGCACAGTTGTTAATTCAGTCGATATCACCAACACTGAATTTACTACTTCAACCATCGATATAACGATCACGAATACAGTCTCAACGACCACAACTACCACAATCTTTTCAACAGTCACCAGCTCCCCGACCTGCGGGGTGAACCGCGTCTCGAACCCCACCTTCGACGGCCCTTCTCTCCCTCCCTGGACATGGACCGGCATCGGTAGCGGATTCTACAGATATGTCCCCGGGACAGGCAGCACCTACGCACTTGGTCTCTACACAAACACTGGCGGCTTAAGCCAATCTTACATCAAACAGTCGCTCGCCACTACCGCTGGGCAAACGTACACGGTCTCATTCTCCTATTTTGCATTGAATGGAAACGGCGCAACCTACTTGCAGTGCTCATTCGACAACAGCGCTGGAACATCATACAATATCAATTACAATGGAATCACAAGGGGCGTTTGGAAGACTTTCCAGAATACTTTCGTGGCGAGCTCATCATCTACCATGATCACCTTGAAGCTGGTTACTTCGACTGTCGCGTCGGCTTATCTTGATCAGATTTCGGTTGTCACACCGTGTTAATCGAGGGAAGGGCTATGCTTTTTGCTAGGCTCTTGCTTTGCTTTTTGTTGTTTTGTACATAATTAATTTGAATTGATTATTCTTGAATGAAGCTTTCTTCATGTCACCTAGTGGTTTCAATTAATAAGACATGAGTGGAACTATAATGAGAAAGCAGGCCATGATGTATCGTATAGGCAAGCAGAGGAGTCAACATGAAAGAATAGAGTAATTGGACAACAACATTCGGTGGCCATCCACTGGTAGAATCTTGCCCTACGTTCAACTCCTCGATGAACTTATGTCTGGACCTTTCTGGCTTCTTCCTGATGAATCTCTATAGGATGCCGTCTTTGTTCGATGGCTTATATAGGCCTTGCTTTCCTTCCCGGCTTTATGTTTTCCTTCTTTTTCTTAGCTAGAGCTAGATTCCTATAATGCTAGAGATTGGCAGATTTCCTCTCCAGAGCTGCTTCCTTTCCTTTCTGTGTGCGACGTAGATAGACCTCTGCAGATGCCAGACATGCTGAGGGTCATCATCTTCTGCTGTATGCCAGAACTTGGGCATCTTGATGTGAAACCCTCTTGGAAGGAATTTCGCAGTCTCAACTTTATCAATGGTGAAATCTTCCGGCAACCCCACTTGAAGGCCTTTATGTTCTATTGTGGCGTGCCTATAGCTACCTTGGAAGTTTACTCGGTCTGCCTCCTTAAGTATTGGATGTCTAGCATTATAAATATCACCCTCGCTCTTCTTATAAATTAGTTCTTTCGGTTCTTCCCTCTTCACCTTTTTGTGCTTTCCCTCTCCATCACCACGACATTTCACTCCATCACCCTAAAGTCCGTAAATTGGAACTGAACTGAGAGCGACCTCACAAGTTTCATACTGGAGCTTCTTTGGGCTCATATCTCTCTAGCGAACCGATCTCACCATAAAGTGAGAGAAGTCATGCTTTACGCCGATGAATATGAGGACCCCGATTCTCCGGAAGACATGGGGGGTCAGATGTTGGTCAACGACGGCGCGGGTTGGGAGATTCTTGGTGATGACAATGCGTAAACATTTGACGGGTATCGAGATGGCTCTGGCGATGAGACTCGAGTTTCTTGATCTTATCGTTCACTTTTGCCATCTCTGCACGAATATCACGCATTTCCGCAAGAAAGCAGAAGCCCCGCAACAGATTGGCATTCCTAGCGGTGACCCCTGTCACTCATGCAGGGTGGGCTCCAGTGACCCTCTGCATGACATCTGGGCCCCTTTGAGTGGTCTTTTTTTATCGTTCGCAATGTCATTGATCATGGAGGAAGCTATCAATGTCGACGACCCCCTTCAACCTTGAATCTGCCCCAGGCTTGGTGGTATATCATCAATCGCAAAAGAGGAGACTATTGGAATCAATTATCGATCAACTACTTGCCCAAATCAACCATCGGGTATCTCTAAAGGATACGGGCCGAGTGGCTGTGATGAACTTTGACGAGAGAATTTGCCAGATAGTCTATCCCTACAGAAAGATTCATGCAACAAAATGATATCCGTGCCTTTCTGCCCACCCAAAGCGCTTCCCGCTTTGGGTGCGCCCGGTGTTATGGCCAATTTTCATAGAAATCGTCAAATTTACCACCCAACTAGCTAATTATCAATAAAAAAAAGCTCTCCCGCCCGTCTAGCCGCTTCCTCATTAGCAATTGCCCGCTGGATAGATTCCTCCGATCGCTGTGTGGGCTCGTAGCCATAAATCTTCTTGAACTGCTTGGCTAGCTTCCTTTCCTGCTTGGCCAATTCCTCCTTCTTCCTAGTATCAATCGATCGATTCGCATCGCGTGTAGTTAATATACCAGTCTGGCTAAGTGGCTTAACCTGTCGCTTGGTGTATTTTCGACGTACTGGGGCCTGCGCGGCCCTAATACGCTGAATTGTATCCCGCGTCATCGAAAGCTCCTCCGCTATCTCCCGCTGGTGCGCTATCAACCTCGATAGATTTCGCTGCATCTTATCTAATAGATCCTCGAGGTGTTTGGTAATCTTCGCCTGGTTCTTATATAGTGCTTCAATAGATTTTGGAGGGCTATTTTCAACACTAGAAGACGAGAGATTAGGTGGTGGTGGTGATGGTGTATGCGAGCCCTATGAGCGAAGATCTGGTGCGTATAGATCAGGAATCACTAGTTCTTTAGCAAGATCGTCAACAACCTTAGTACTATTAACTGGATAGATTCCGCGATCACTAAAGGATTCGCGGATAATTCGCTGCGTAAACGCCTTCTTGCGAATTGGCCCGATAATCGCGAGGAAATCTGATTTCCCATATAGCTGGCTACCCCAGAAAGCTAGTTCATTATTTATTAAGCGAAATTGCTGCTTATAATTCAAGAAGGGCTTTCCGTCAAGTGGCTGGCAAAGATGGGTTGAATGCGGTACGAATGCAAAAGGGATAATCGCATTATCCTCGCAAAGTTGAAGAAATTCGAGTGTAAGATACGCGCTATAGCCATCGAATATAAGAACGCGCTTTTCGCCCCGTTTCACACGATAAGCTGTCAATTGAATAAAATAGCCTAGCCAGGCTAGGGCTAATTTATCAGAAATCCAGCTATTACAGTAAAACCTGGTTATAACGAACCTCTATATAACGAATTCCTGGGTTAACGAATCGAAAACCCGTGCAGAATTAGATTTCCCATACACATAACGAATTCCCGGCTTACTACGAATTCGTTAGGTTTCTGGCCAAAATTCGTTATATTACTAAGCATACTAAGCCTAATTAGGAAGTAGGCTAGCCTATATAGGTAATTATATCACGTGTGGTAGTCTCATGCTAAAGCTCTCCAGTCGCAAGAATTCGCTACATGCCTATCTCGCATACCAATCTTTATACTAATCTTTATACCAATCTTGCTGCCAATCTTGCTGCTAATCTTGCTGCCAATATGCCTCCCTCTCGCACTCGCACCAGTGTCCCTATCGATCGCAAGAAGGCCCTCCGCCAATTCAAGTGTACCAATCCTACAATCAGCAATCTCGCTATACGCGAATGGTTCAAAACCACCTACCAGCAAGATCTTGCGCCCTCTACCGTATCTGAGATATTATCAAAGCGATATGCCTACCTTGACGATGCCTATCACCAATCTCTCGCGAATCAGCAGCGTAGCCGCTCTGAGCGGTGGCCAGAGCTTGAATCTGCCCTATTCCAGTGGATACAACGCGCTGAATCGCAGATTCCTATTACTAGGGCTGTCCTGCGTGAGAAAGCCGATTTCTTCTAGCGATCGCTGCTAGCCTACCAAAGCTAGAAGGTTCCTACCTTTAGTAACGGCTGGCTACAGGGCTTCCAAGCCCGCCATCAAATTAAAAGCCGCTACAAATATGGCGAACTAGCTAGCGCGGCTAGTAGCGAGGACGAAATACGTATAATTCAGCAAGCTATCGCTGCCTATCCGCCGCAGGATATCTTTAATTGCGATGAGACTGGTCTATTTTGGAAGCATACGCCAGAGCGAGGTCTTGCTACCCGCAACGTTCCTAGGCGTAAGATAGAGAAGGCTAGGGTTATATTCTATTTCTGCGCAAACTCCGATAGGTCTGAGAAGCTACTAATATGGGTTATTAGCGTAGTAGCTAAGCCTAGATGCTTTGTAAGGGCTAATATCAATCTTGCTGCCCTCGATATCTACTAGCGCTATAATAAGACGGCTTGGATAACGGCTCTAATCTTCGAGGATTAGGTACGCTGGTTTGATTATCGAATAGCTGGGCGAAAGGTAGTGCTTTTGATAGATAACTTCTCTGCGCATAAAGCTGCCATTAAGACTATCAAGAAATCTTGCTATCTACTACAAAATACTATGATTATCTGGCTGCCAGCGAATACAACTAGCAAATTTCAACCGCTTGACCAAGGGATTATTAATACTTGGAAGGTTTACTAGCGCTATCAGTGGATTCGCTATATACTATAGGAATTTGATACTGGTAGAGACCTATTGAAAACAGTGGATATCTTGAAGGCTATACGATAGGGTTTAAAAGCCTGGGAATTTGATCTATCTACATCGGTAATAACTAATTGCTTCCGCAAAGGGTTATATCATAAATCGTTGAATCAATCGGCCGAAGCAGATCCTATAGCTACACTACGCAGAGATATATCTCTACAGATTAAGCGGCTACCAATTCGCGAAGCAATAGATATTGATCAATTCCTAAATCCTGCTACCGAAGAGGTTACTGATTCATTCGATTCAATCGATTCTATCGTGCTATCTCAGTTCCCAGGCCCTACAGCAGATTGCGATGAGATCGATGAGATCGAGGACGATTTAGTAGAGGAGGAGATATAGCCGCTGATTAAGCCGACCGAGGCTATTCACCACACACAAGGGCTTCTAGCCTATTTGGAGCAGCAGGAATCGATCGATCTCGCTTTTATTAAGCGGCTGCGGCAGGAAGAGATAAATATACAGAGGAATGAGGTGAATAATAGGCGCCAGAGCGATATTCGTGGCTATTTTGGGGGGAATTAGGGGGTTATTGGATATAGCGAATTTCACTTTATAACGAATTGGGTAGCTGAAAACAATAGTTCGTTATAACCAGGTTTTACTGTAGGAGAAATAGCCGTCATCGTGTCTGGTAAGAGGGTTTCGCTACCGTAGAACTAGGCCTCTATAAGATTTTTGCCAGTTCCCTTGAATATAAAGAGAGGGTCCATCTGCTAGCCGTCCGCAGCAATATACTCTAATGCAGCAATATTTTCGCCTTTCTCGGTCTTAGCAAGGCCAGGGCAAGATGATTTAGCACCAATAACGTTTCGTGATCGCCCTTGACCAGGTTGAAACCCGTATTTATCGAAGTTGTATACTAGCCGGGCAGGGACGTTATGGAGGACCCGTTCTAGCTGGTCGTGCTGAAGAAGGCCTGCATCTTCCGATTGGATTCGCTTTAGTTCCTTGGTCTTTTGCTTCACAGGGCCTAGGCCAAGGTTTTTTGGTAGGCGCTTTATAAAGCCGTACGCCCAGTTTTTACCAACCTGCCTATCTGGCTGATCTGTTCGCGCCAGTGCGCGATTTGCCTATGCACCTACTACCGCAGGGGTAGGTGGGAGATTCCAGCCATGCATTTGGACTATCCAGCTAATCAAGGCTTTCTCCTGGTATGGCTCTAGGGCGTTTCTCAGCGATTTGGTAGGTGTAGTAGGCGATTTAGCTATTTCGACGCGATCGGCCAAGGTCTTGCGAGCCACGCCGAATTCACGCGCAATCTTAGAAAAATTCGGTTTTTTGCTGGATAAGGCCACTTGGCAGGCCTCGACCAGGCGAGATTCATCAAAATTGATAGATTTAGGCATCGTTGGTGGTTGAATTAGCTAGTAGAAGGCTACTGGTAGAAAATTGGCCATAACACCGGAATGGCCATAACACCGGGCGCACCCAAACCGGGAAGCGGTTTGGGTGGGCAGTAAGGCACGGATACTGCTTTTTTATTACAATTATCCCAGTCGAGTATTAATTCGCTGATCATCGAATGTGATTGCAACGCTCCAGGCCCTCGAACACAGGCGCTCGGAATGTTGCATCGTCGAGTAGAATGGCTCGCACAGCTGTATAGCCACTCTGTCCTCATGCTCTGCCCCTCCCCCAATTACATCACTTACAATATTCAGGAATTGATGCAATTGGACCCGGCGGCTAATCTCTTTCCAACCAGTTGCTGAAGAGGGGTCTCCAATGTCATACGGTCGGAGTTAACGGCGTCAAGATAGAAGGACCCGCTCTGCAGTCAGCCAGAAGCATAATGTCCGTCCCATACATCTCGTATAAAGGCAGCCTACCAACACCATTCCATTAGAGAAACATTCACAAAATAACTCAAATTCGAATATACGAATCGACAGCAAAAATGGTCAAGACGCTTCCGTTTGGTGATCTCCAAGTTCCATCGCCTGGTTTCGGCGCGATGGGCTTGAGCTTCGGTTTGGGAAGTAATTTGAATCTTGAGGAGGCGGAGCCGGTCTTGTTGAAGGCCATTGAGCTTGGTTGTACTTTCTGGGACACTGCCGTGAGTTGACACACGTTGATTGAATCTAATGCTACAAGTTTCTAACATTTGATACAAAGGTCATCTATCAAGCTGGCGTAAATGAGAAGCTTCTCGGCGACTTTATTCGGAAGCACAATGTTCGCGACAAAATTTTCAGTCAGTCACAGTCATCTCATATATCGATATGTCCTTGAAGCTGACAGTTCACTACAGTTGCTTCGAAATGTGGCATAGTCGCCTTCGGAGGTGAGCGGGGAGTTACCAATTCCGCCTCGCATATCAAGGAGTATATCGAAGGCACGATTGAGCGACTCGGTTTTACTCCCGATTTGTATTATCTTCATCGGATTGACCCCAGTATGTCTGAAGCAAAAGACTCCCAGTGAGTAGCCGCTCATTCTCTTACAGATACCCCTCTCGAGGAGTCTATCCCTGCCCTTGATGAAATCCGCCAGGCCGGCAAGACCAAGTACATCGGTCTATCAGAGTGCTCTGCCGCAACATTGCGCAAGGCCAACTCCAGTAGGTTTTTTCCATCTCCACTGACTGTTGTCATTCTCGCTGACAATAGGTAGTTGCCAAGATCGATGCCCTTCAGGCAGAGTACTCAGCCTTCGAGACGCTCCACGAGACAGACGGCTTGATCGAAACGGCAAAGGAATTGGGCGTCGCCTATGTCGCTTATAGTCCTCTGGGCCACGGTTGGCTAGTAGATAACTTTGACTACAAGACGCCCGATGATTTTGCGCCGGATGATTTCCGTCGCAGCTGTAAGTTTTCATCAATATGATCAGCATTTGAGAGTGGTATCATATACTAACGCGTTTTCCTTCACACAGCGCCGAAATTCCAGGGTGAGAACTTCTTCAAGAACAAGGCTATTGTTGAGGAGATTAAGAAGCTGGCTGTTCGTAAGGGTTGCACTATCAGTCAGATCGCACTCGCTTGGGTTGCCGCCCAGGGTATGATTGCTATTCCTGGTACGACTAAGGTGAAGCGGCTGGAGGAGAACTGGACATCCCGAGATATTGACTTGACGGAAGAGGAGAAGAAAGAGTTCCGCAAGATTATTGACGCTGCTAAGCCCCATGGCAACAGGTACTCTCCTGCGCATCAGACGATGGTTGGGCACTAGCATAGTAGCTTGATAGCCAATCAATTTGTCTGGGACTTGCCCTACTCCAGCTGTTCAGAGTCCACTCGGAATCTACATACTCGGAGAGACATAACTCTTGTCTTATGATAATTTGCAGAGAGTAAGAATGCAGTTATGGAAGATGTTATATTGCAAAGTGAACGGGCCGGAATCCGGACTCCAATCCTCTAATCAGTGGTATACTGTACGGTTCATGTGACACAAAGAAGAAAAACAAGCTCGCAACCTGCTCAATAGGTCGTCGCAAAAGAAAATGACAAAAAAATACACCTCGCGGCCGGCCACCCTCAATCTCTTTTTATTTAAGCGCTCTTCAGCTTCTCAGTCAGCTCGGGCACCTTCTCGAACAGATCACCAACGAGACCGACATCCGCGATCTGGAAGATGGGGGCCTCGGGGTCCTTGTTAATGGCAGCAATGACCTTGCTATCCTTCATACCAGCCAAGTGCTGGATAGCACCGGAGATACCAGCGCAGAGGTAAAGCTGAGGAGCCACGTTCTTACCAGTCTGGCCAACCTGCAGACTGTTATCGGCGAAGCCGCTGTCAACAGCGGCACGGGAGGCACCAATGGCAGCGCCGAGGGAGTCAGCAAGAGGCTGCATAATGCGGTCAAAGTCCTCCTTGGACTTCAGACCACGGCCACCGGAAACAACACGGGTAGCGGTTGCGAGGTCGGGGCGCTCAGACTTGGCGAGCTCCTCGGACACCCACTCGGTCTGGGCCGGGGCGTTGGAGTCCACGCCGTCGACAATCTCGGCGGAGCCGCCCTCGGTCTCGATACCCTGGAAGGCGGTGCCTCGCACGGTGATAACCTTGATGTTGTCGGTCGACTGGACGGTCAGGATGGCGTTACCGGCGTAGATGGGGCGCACAAAAGCTAGAAAGCGAGTTAGTTAGGTCGGTCGGTTGTCGGTCACATGTCAATTTTCCACCACGCTCGGTTTTGCACGTACTGTCTTCGCTTTCGATGCCGGTGATATCGGAGACCTGCTGCACATCCAGGAGAGCAGCGACGCGGGGCAGAAGACTCTTGCCAAAGGCCGAGTGGCCGGCAATGATGTGAGTGTATTCGCCCTTCTTGATGTTCTCGACGAGGAGAGGGGCGTAGTTCTCGGGAAGGCCCTAGATGAATAGAATCGAGAAATGTCAGCCATTTTCTGCGGATTACAAAGGGAACTCAGGGTCTCATGTGTACCTTCTCGTAGGCATCGCTCTCCACGGCAACGACCTTGTCAAGGCCCTTGATCTTCGCCGCCTCGGCGGCGGAGGTACCCTTGACACCAGTACCAGCCAAAAAGGCCGTTACTGGGCCACCGAGCTTCTGAGCCGCAGCGATTGCGGAGAGGGAAGAGTTCTGCAGCTTGCCATCGCGCTGCTCGAGAACGGCAAGGGTCGAGAGAAGACGGGCGAGCGCCGAGGAAGTGGGAGACGTCACAGTGCGGGCAGTGTAGATCTGCGAGCGGGCAGCCCTCAGGACGGAGGACCGGGCGATTGGGATCATGGCGACTGTTCGTGATGAAGTGAATTGGTGATGTTGCTTCTCCCACGAGGACCTGGAGGGGGAGAGTTCAAAGTTGAAGCTCGGCGATCGGCGGTGATGTGAAGATGTGGTTATCGTCGGGATGCCAAGACCCGCCCGCCCGAGGTCGGACTCGGCTAATGCAGGCATTATAAAGGCTGATTCTTTTCAGGCCGACTTATGACGCGACAATAGACGGTGTTTCTGGTTTTGAAGGGCATTGATGGTCTATGTACTACTATTCCATCTCAAGCAAGCTCGCACCAAGTATGTAGCTTTTAAAATGTAGATAATCCATATATTGACGAAAGAAAATGACACACGTGATATTTTGTACGCCGAGAATACCTTTACATGCAGAACATTATAACGAGGCAAAACTGAACCCGACTATGAAGTCGACTTTCTCTTCTTCTTGCCCGCCTTCGGGGCTTCGGTCACCACGGCCTCACCATCCTCGAGAGCCTTGGCCTTCTGCTTCTGGAGCTTCTCTTTCCTGGCCGCAGCAGACTCGTCCTCGTCCTCGTCCTCGGCAGACTTGGTCTTCTTGGTCTTCTTGCCCTCCAACAGCTTCTCATCACCAATAGACTTGCGCTTCTTGCCGGCCTTGGCGCCGTCTTCGATAGCCGCAGTCTGATCCTTCTCCACCACGTCGGCGTCTTCCACCCACAGCTCATTGGCCAGCCAAATAGGGAGAGCCATGGTGTTCGCGCCCTTGACGTGGACTGCCTTGATGTTCCTCCAGCCCTTGTTGATAAACTTCTCAGCCATCCCGTTGACAACAGCAGCGATGTTCTCGGACAACTGCTCGGCGGTGAAATTGGACGAGCCGACTCGGACAGCGGACGAGGTAGAGGGTGCCAGATGGATAGCGGCACAGTTCAGGGTGCGCTCAATCTCCTTGGCACAGATCAGAGGTGCAGCGAAAGATGCGCTCTTCTCCTCCTTAGAGGGCTTCTTCTTGGGGTCTTTCTTGACACGCTTACCATCCACCTTCTCAATCTCTGCGATGCGAATAGGGATGGGGCGCTTGCTCGACTTGTAGAAAATCTTTCCAAGGGTAGGAATCAGGCGAGTGATGATCCGGTCATCGGCCAGGAAGACGTCATGCTCGGAGAACAATTGGCGACGGCTCTCGAAACTCTGGTAGCGGGCCTTCAGCTTGGAGAAGCCAATGACCTTCTCAATGCGCGAGGAAAGTTCTTGGGGGAAAGCGGGGTCGGCGACGACATCCTTGAAGCCGCGCTGGGGGTCGGCAGTGATCACGCAGATGCTGAGCGAGGGCGACGAGTTGAGAGAGTGCGGGACAGTGATCTTGCCGGGCTTCAGGCGGTTCTTATCCACGACGTGCTTCTTGGTGGTGAGGAGCAACCACACGGCCTCGTTGTTGAGAGGAGTGTCCTCGTCATCGGAGTCATTGTCACCGATCAGGGTCTTCTTGGTCGCCGACTTTTCCTTCTCTTGCTGGGCAGACTTGATATGGCGCAGCAGGGCGGTGGAAGCTTTGACAACCTGCGCGAAAATGAGATTAGTATGCGCGGTGGAATATTTTCATACTGTAGACAGCGTTACATACCTGAGGGTTGTCCAGCTGGTATGGTGAGCCAGAGGCCACCTTGGTTGTAAGAGTAGTAGAAGACGGCATTTTGGCGAATTGCGGTCTCAAACTCGACTCCAATTTTTCGGCGATGATATCGAGATAAAAAAAAATTCTCGGGGTCGGAAGGCGGTGGCAGTTTGTCCGGGCTTGGCAGACCAACCCCAGAATCTCGATGCCTGAGGCATTCACTCTTATCATGGAAGCTTGTACCCTAAGACGGAGGTCGTTGGTGTTATTCACATACGATATTAATTATGATGAATTAATTGAGGATTGTAGGCTCATTTGAAGACTGCTTTTTCCAACGAATTGCCCTTGTCCGAGATAGTGGGATTGAATGAACCTCCATGAATCCGCTACCCATCTATTTTTTCAGGTGTTGTACACATTGTTCTGCACCAAATTGGTATCTCATATTGCACGAGGCGGCCTTGTTCCAATTTCGTTTCAGTCTCGGGCTTCATGCATATTGGATTTGTACATAGTTATCGTGTCCTCCGGCGTTAGAAATTGGGAGGCTTCTAGTCCGTCAATAGACTGGTTTTACTGAATGCACAGATATATATCATACGAAGCTGTGTATATTCGCAGTCGACATCCGCCCGAATAATGGTCCAGAGACATAATCTTCTAAAAATGAAACCAAAAAATCATGAACACGATAATCATCGATTCGGGCTTAATTCAAATATCTAGCGACCTTTAAACCTCTATGATAGCATAGATATGGACTCGATGACTGCACTTCTCATTCCCGAACGTGAAGTGCGGGATGGCCTCCGCCCGCCCCTAGGTACCTCCACTTTGCCTACACTGACCACATCGTAGGCGTTTCAGATACCCAGCCGCCAGCACAAGCTCAAGTACCACCGTCTGAAAATGTCTCGGACCCTTAAAAATAGCCATCCTCGCCTCCTGGCCCCAGCATGGTGACGGGTTCTCTCTAGGCGACGAGGCGGCCAAGAAAGTAGCGCTACGCTTAGCGTACTATGAATAGTACGACAGTGCTTTTCGAAGTCGGAGCATCCACTGGCTGAGAACTCCCTCGGCTTGTCTTATTGGAGCAGACAGCGATACTTTAATTCAGTAGGCCAAGCCTTAAGGACGTCATGGAAGATACAGTATCGACGGGATAAAGTGACCGTGTACGGAGAGTACTGTATGTATGTAAGGAAAGACTGTTTTGTTTGTTTGTTTTGTGAAGACTTTACGCTGCATACGCACGTAGAGCTCCTGCAATGTACAAGACAGCGGTGAAAGCACTCTGCCGATCGCCTACGCGTCATTCGATATGGAAAGCCTCGGAAAAAGCAGAGGGAAGTGAAGGAAAAGGGAGGAGTAGCTCATTGAGATCGTGAGTTGTGACTACTGTATTGCGCACTAAACACGTGCCAGTCAGGGGTGACTTCGGACCTGGATCCGATTGTACCGCTACTCCAGTTCCAAGTGATAGTGATCAGATAGGCGCTCTCTCCAGAGTGCCACGGCGACGTTAGAGGTAATACTACCAGACAATGCCTTACACTACATCGTCCTCCGTATGCAGTCAGCAAAAGGAGATAGGGTGCGTCAACTACCGCTAGTATAGTACGCCGCGCAAGCAGGTGGTCTCCACGGCCCCGGATAGGAACCCCAAGGAGTTCGAGCAGTGTTTGGTTTAGGGGCTCGCGCCAGGTCTGTGGATAATGGATATCGGTGGAGGTTAAGTATCGCCTGGTTGTACGAAATGCACATGTGCTCTATATGTTCCAAGTGTTGGATTGTCATGTCTGGCAGTGTAGTCTGAGTCAGGATTCAGGAGTAGGAACCAATCACCATCTATTTCCCCTCATATGTATTGTAGGGCTGACAGGAACATGATGACACCAGAGGCTTAGAGAATAAAACAAAGGTCGTACTGTAAGTCAGGAGTAGGGATTAATGTCCTCGCACTGGAGGTACGAAGGCTACAAGATTAATATTCGAAACACTGCAAGTCAGAAGGTCATGACGCGGACGACTCAGATAGCAGCGGATCGACCAGCCTAGCGCCTATCGCTATTGGGAAGGCGACAGCACTTGAATTCGATCAGCAAACAGCAACCACAGTAGCAACCAAGACTTGGTTGTCCACTTGGCCATGCAAGTCCTTTGCATGCGCAGGAGGAGTGACCAGGCTGGGCAAGGGGTTCTGGAGAAAGCACGGGCAGATTTAATTAAACAGTCGTTCGAACTCGTCATCCTGTGGACCGCTACATGGTTGCTGTATGGGATGATTGGGAGCAGAGTTAGCAGCAGCCGAATCAAGCGCAATATCCGATTTCCCGGCTGCAATTGGTCGAGCAGTGGAGGAGGTAATTAACCAATTCCAAGTTGACAAATCAAAAGAGAAGAGTTTCATTAGCTAGTTAGCTATGTACAGTAAAACCTGGTTATAACGAACTATTGTTTTCAGCTACCCAATTCGTTATAAAGTGAAATTCGCTATATCCAATAACCCCCTAATTCCCCCCAAAATAGCCACGAATATCGCTCTGGCGCCTATTATTCACCTCATTCCTCTGTATATTTATCTCTTCCTGCCGCAGCCGCTTAATAAAAGCGAGATCGATCGATTCCTGCTGCTCCAAATAGGCTAGAAGCCCTTGTGTGTGGTGAATAGCCTCGGTCGGCTTAATCAGCGGCTATATCTCCTCCTCTACTAAATCGTCCTCGATCTCATCGATCTCATCGCAATCTGCTGTAGGGCCTGGGAACTGAGATAGCACGATAGAATCGATTGAATCGAATGAATCAGTAACCTCTTCGGTAGCAGGATTTAGGAATTGATCAATATCTATTGCTTCGCGAATTGGTAGCCGCTTAATCTGTAGAGATATATCTCTGCGTAGTGTAGCTATAGGATCTGCTTCGGCCGATTGATTCAACGATTTATGATATAACCCTTTGCGGAAGCAATTAGTTATTACCGATGTAGATAGATCAAATTCCCAGGCTTTTGTGACGAACGTGACGAACGAGGACGGACTGGAGCAGAAGGGTCGAGTAGCGAACTGACCAACTGGTGTTTGGAGTTTGATGGAAGGTTCCTTTAGCCTACAACAAAAAGGCTTCCACGCGATAGATAGAACTTCTTCTTCTTTTCTCCTCTAGATTTAGTTGCTTCGTTGAATGCACCGATTTGAACCCCTTTATCTCGCCTGGCTGTAACATACAACTAAATCTCTTCATCTTTATCTCTTTCTAGTTGACTGGCCGAGCGAGGAAACGCGTACATACGCGATCTCCTGCTACCCGGCAACTCCCTTTTCAACCAGAACCGATTTGACAAACCGATCGACCCTGAAGAATCCGAACCGACAGAAGCAAGATGTCGCCGACTAAACGTACCGGCTCCCGCCGGCGAAGAGAAACTAAACGACGAACCTCCTTGACAATCCCTGCACAGGAAGGTGTGGCAGAGGATATTGAAATCGAAACCGTGGACCAGCTGATTGAGTGGATCCGCGCCGAACCAGAGACTGCATAGCGAATCATCACGAAGCGTCAAGCTACTATTAAAGAGCTAAAGACCACGATCGAGAACCTGCGTGTCGAATACGCTGATAAAGTGATCCGTTTGAAGGAATAGGCAACTACCGCCCTTAAACGCGAAACACCGTCTACCTATAACCAGCAGATGGAGGAAGAATACGCCCGCCTTCGCGAAGAGCTGAATAAGACTCGTCGTGAGAGAGATAGACTCGTTATCGCGATACGCCTAGTAGGACCTACTTCTACTCGAGAATCCCCAGCCCTATTAGTCACTAGCAAGAAATCGACTAAGATGCCTGATCCTCACCTGCTTAGTGATAGTAAGCTAGTCAAGTTTAAGGACTAGAGGACTAAGATAAAGCAGAAGCTCCTTTTAAACGAAGACTATTACCCGACTGCTATATATCAGCTTGCGTATATAAGCGACTGCTATAAAGGAAAGGCTCTAAGACATATCAATCCCCGGATGTAGGAGGACGCAACTAACGCCTATTAGACAGTACAGGATATCTTTAACTATCTATAGACCATTTTCCACGACCCGAATCACTAGCAGGTCTCTCGAGATAAGTACCTCACTCTTAAAATAGACCTAAAGCAGGATTTTAGTGATTTTCTCGCAGAATTCACTTACCTTATAGAGGAATCGGACTAGCTAGCTAATCTTAGGAAGCGCGATCTATATCGAAAGCTCCCTTCCCTACTCTAGAACCAAGTAATGATTAACGCGGGTAATAAAGCAGTATCCCTAGACTAATTCGTTCGCAGATACCAGATCGCCGCCTGCTTGATCTCACAGCAGATTACTAATCGATCCCGTAACTCGAACCCGAACCGAACTAGTATAAATACCCCGAACAAGAATAAGAATAGCTCGCAGACCCCGAATATCTCGAACCATCCTGACGATATAGAGAAGACAGCCTTACTAAAGGAAGGCTATTACTTCGTATACCGCGAGCAAGGTTATATATCTCGCAACTATCTAACTAAGAACCAGACGACCGCTACCGCCGCTATAACCGAACCCACCAACAAGGATCGGAAGAGGAAGCGTAAGGAGGATCTCTCGGCCGTAGAGGAAAGCGATTCGGGAAAAGAATAAACCTAGGCTAAGTCTCCTTCCTAGGTTCGATAGTATCAAAGGTGGATTTACGGAAGCTATTATCCTCCGCCAAGGATAGCTTGACTTTTAGAGCTAGAGTAGCTATCAATAGACGAACAGTAGATATTTCTTGCCTTACGGATACCGGAGTAGATAGATATATTTTTGTGGATTATAATCTCGTAAGCGCGATGATTAGAGGCCTAGGCCTATAAACGAGAAGACTCCCCCGGGAGTACCCGATCACTAGGTTCGACGGAGCTTTACGAGACCTAATCACCTATATAGTAAAGCTCACGCTTATAATCAACGAACGCGTACAGCAGCGATAGCCTATACTAGTGACGGAGCTAGGGAACCATGACCTAATACTTAGAAGAATATAGTTTAAAGCCTATAGGGTCCTTCCAGATTGCAAAAATCGGAGACTCCTATAGCTAGATCAACCCTCTCTACGAGAAGAAGTCTAGATCGATATAGTCAAGCCGATCCCCCGAAAAATCCTAAAACTACCGAAAGCAGACGAATCCTACTAGAAAGACGCGGATCGCCGAGACTAGTTAATAGCGTAGTAAGACGCGCGTAAGAAGAAGATCCGGAAGGTATACAGTCACTCTTATTAGGGGGATACGATAGACAAGATAAGCCGATCCCTACAAGATGAACTAATTCCGCTACCGCGCGAGAAGAAGGCGAGTATTACTAACGATCTACCACGAAAAAGTATCAAGATCGCCGCGGTTAGTAGCGTTAGCTTCTATCGGCATATAATACGAGAAGGAACAGAAACTTTCGTGACCTTGCTAGCACAGATCGACCGAATCCTGGAAGAAATACATAGTCCGGAGCACTCGTTTAAGGCTAGAGAGATACGCGCTCGAATTCCTAAAGCTTACCACTAGTTCGTCGACGTATTCTCGAAGATTGATTCGAATACGCTTCCGCTACTAAGGGGAGTACCCGATTATCGGATTAAGCTAGACGGAGCCGTGCGCTTAGGCTACTACCCGCTATACAAAATAAGTAAAGAGGAATTGCGTTTTACGAAGGACTATATTATACAAAATTTAGCGAAAGGTTTTATTATTCCGTCGACCGCTCCCTATGCCTCACCGATCCTAATAGCCGCGAAACTAGGCGGAGGTTTACGATTCTGCGTGGATTACTAGAAGTTAAACGAATTAACGAAGAAAGACTGTTACCCGATCCCTCTAATTAATAAGCTACTATAGAGAGTTAGCAAAGCAAAGTTCTTCACGAAGCTCGATATCCAACAAGGATTCTATAGGATCCGAATATACCCTGATTCTAAGGATTTAACGACCTTCCGCACGCGATATAGAGCATACAAGTATAAGGTAATGCCCTTTAGGCTAACGAATAGACCTGCAACCTTTCAGCGCTACATAAACTATGCTCTCGGAGACTATCTAGACGATTTCTGTATAGTATTTATTAACGATATCCTGATCTACACGGACGGCGACGAGAGATAGTATATAGACTATATTAAGAAGGTTCTTACAAGATTACGAGCTGCCGGCTTACAGGTTACGGTTTAGAAATACGAATTCTATATAACCGAGACGAAATTCCTTAGATTCATAATCGGCACTAAGGGCATTCGCGTCGATCCGGCAAAGATCGAAGTAATCGAAGTATAGCAGCAGCCGAATATAGTAAGAGGGATACAATCGTTCCTAGGTATATACAATTTTTACCGCCGATTTATTAAGAACTACAGCAAGATCGCGAAGCCGCTATACTACCTCACGCGAAAGGAGGTACCCTTTAAATAGGATAAACAATACGAACAGTCATTCTAGGAGCTAAAGCGAAGATTAACGAGTACACCCGTCCTAGCCTATTATAACCCTACCGCTTTAACGCAGATCGAGACCGATACCTCCGACGGCTACTTAGGAGCTATACTATCGTAAATAGGCCCGGATAGACAATTCTACCTAGTAGTATTCTTCTCGAAGATGATAAATCTAGCGGAGCAAGGTTATTATACCCACGATAAGGAGATACTAGCGATTATACGTGCCTTAGAGGAGTAGCAGGCAGAACTAGAAGGCCTCTAACGAATAGATCGAATTGATATCTAGACTAACTATTATTTATTACAATACTTCATAACTAGCCGAATCCTGAATACCTGCTAAGCCTGCTAGGGAGAGTTTCTTTCTCGATTTTGCTTCCGGATCCGCTATCGTCCAGGTCGACGGAACGCGGTAGCTAACGCACTCTCACGAAAGGAGAAGCCTAAGAACTAACGAAACGAGCAGACCCTCCTATCCCGAGAGGTGCTAGAGCACGGAACCTACCCAGAAGACCCAGAACCCGACCGAATAGATACGATCGCTCTTTCACCTATCTCCGTTTCGCAGATTATCGACCGAGCGATATCCGTAAATCGTACAAGCAAAAGCCTACAGGAACAGCGAGAGCAGGCCACGATAGATCAAGACCTAGTCAAGTAGACGATTAAGGATAGACTGCTTTTATACGAGGGAAGATTAGTAGTACCGAATAACGGGGACCTTCGGGCAAGATTGCTCGACGAAATTCATCGACAACCCTCTATAGCTCACCTAGGCTAGGAAAAGACGAAGCGAATACTTATATCCAGGTACTATTAGCCAGGACTAGCGAACGATATAAGGCGGTACGTAGATAACTACTAGATTTATAAGCGTACTAAGGCATAGAGAGATCGCGTGCTAGGTCTCCTCTAGCCGCTACCGATCCCGGACCGACTATAGTAGCATATTACGATAGACTTCCGCTCGTTCCCGAGAGACCGTTATAGGTTCGACGTAGTATACGTATTTGTTAATAGGCTAACAAAACGGCTAGTCTCGGTACCTTATCACAAAGAAATCGATACGAAAGGAACCGCCCGGTTATTCGTGGACCACGTCTATTGCTAGGTAGGACTACCCGAATCGATTGTGTTAGACCGAGGGCTATAGTTCGTGTCAAGTTTTTAGAAGGAGTTCTATCGAATCCTCGACGTCGACCGGAAGCTTTCGACTACGTACCATCCTTAGACCGACGGCCAAAGTGAGATTATAAATCAATATATAGCGCAGAGATTAAGGCCTTTCGTGAGTTACTACCAGGACGATTAGTTAGAGTATCTCGCGATAGTAGATTTCGCATTCGTAGCTTTGCCGTATAAAGTAACAGGACTTTCACCCTTCTTCGTAGAACGAGGATACGAACCGCGTATATTATTCGACTAGAAACCGACGGAAGTATCTAACTAGGTAAGCCGAATCACCCCGAAGCCGAGCGAGGAGATATTACCAGGAACCGAGGAGGCGCGCGCCTATATAAGCGAATTGCAGCAGATTTAGGAGGAAGCGTAGCGGAACGCCACGAAAGCTCAAGAAAGGCAGCGCTAGCAGGCCGATCGCCACCGGAGAGAAGAGGATTTCGACGTAGGCGATCAAGTATACGTAACAACAAGGAATTAGAAGACGGATCGACCAGGAAGGAAGCTTACGGACTAGGCAAGCAGGCCCTACAAGATTATTAAGAAGATTAGCTATACATATAAGCTAGACTTGCCCGGTTCAATTCGAGTACACCTAGTGTTTTCAGTAGAAAAGTTACGATTAGCTACACGAACCGAACCCCTACGTAGATAGATAGCGGATCCTCCGCCGCTAATGATAGTAAACGAGGAACAGGAATAGGAGGTAGAAGAAGTCATCGCTACAAGGCTACACTACCGGAAGCTTCAATACTGCGTGAAATAGGCCGGGCAGGGCGATGAGATTAACGAAACGTGGTACCCAGCGAGGAATCTTAAGAATACGCCCGAAAAGCTACTACGATTTTACCGAACGAACCCGAATCAGCCAGGACCACCGAAGCGATTAGATATCTGGGCAGAAGCAGCGCTTTTAGACCGTTTTAAGCCCGATCACCTAGATGATAATCAAGCGCTCTGATTAGCCAGATCAAAATTCAAGATTTGATACAGCAGACCTGGTGGGCCAGGTCCTTTTAAAGAAGGGGGCAATATAACGAACGTGACGAACGAGGACGGACTGGAGCAGAAGGGTCGAGTAGCGAACTGACTAACTAGTGTTTGGAGTTTGATAGAAGGTTCCTTTAGCCTACAACAAAAAGGCTTCCACGCGATAGATAGAACTTCTTCTTCTTTTCTCCTCTAGATTTAGTTGCTTCGTTGAATGCACCGATTTGAACCCCTTCATCTCGCCTGGCTGTAACAGCTTTTAAACCCTATCGTATAGCCTTCAAGATATCCACTGTTTTCAATAGGTCTCTACTAGTATCAAATTCCTATAGTATATAGCGAATCCACTAATAGCGCCAGTAAACCTTCCAAGTATTAATAATCCCTTGGTCAAGCGGTTGAAATTTGCTAGTTGTATTCGCTGGCAGCCAGATAATCATAGTATTTTACAGTAGATAGCAAGATTTCTTGATAGTCTCAATAGCAGCTTTGTGCGCAGAGAAGTTATCTATTAAAAGCACTACCTTTCGCCTAGCCATTCGATAATCAAACCAGCGTACCCAATCCTCGAAGATTAGAGCCGTTATCCAAGCCGTCTTATTATAGCGCTAGTAGATATCGAGGGCAGCAAGATTGATATTAGCCCTTACAAAGCATCTAGGCTTAGCTACTACGCTAATAACCTATATTAGTAGCTTCTCAGACCTATCGGAGTTTGCGCAGAAATAGAATGTAACCCTAGCCTTCTCTATCTTACGCCTAGGAACGTTGCGGGTAGCAAGACCTCGCTCTAGCGTACGCTTCCAAAATAGACCAGTCTCATCGCAATTAAAGATATCCTACGGCGGATAGGCAGCGATAGCTTGCTGAATTATACGCATTTCGTCCTCGCTACTAGCCGCGCTAGCTAGTTCGCTATATTTGTAGCAGCTTTTAATTTGATAGCAGGCTTGGAAGCCCTGTAGCCAGCCGTTACTAAAGGTAGGAACCTTCTAGCTTTAGTAGGCTAGCAGCGATCGCCAGAAGAAATCGGCTTTCTCACGCAGGACAGCCCCAGTAATAGGAATCTGCGATTCAGCGCGTTGTATCCACTAGAATAGGGCAGATTCAAGCTCTGGCCACCGCTCAGAGCGGCTACGCTGCTGATTCGCGAGAGATTGGTGATAGGCATCGTCAAGGTAGGCATATCGCTTTGATAATATCTCAGATACGGTAGAGGGCGCAAGATCTTGCTGGTAGGTGGTTTTGAACTATTCGCGTATAGCGAGATTGCTGATTGTAGGATTGGTACACTTGAATTGGCGGAGGGCCTTCTTGCAATCGATAGGGACACTGGTGCGAGTGCGAGAGGGAGGTATATTGGCAGCAAGATTAGCAGCAAGATTGGCAGCAAGATTGGTATAAAGATTAGTATAAAGATTGGTATGCGAGATAGGCATGTAGCGAATTCTTGCGACTGGAGAGCTTTGGCATGAGACTGCCACACGTGATATAATTACCTATATAGGCTAGCCTACTTCCTAATTAGGCTTAGTATGCTTAGTAATATAACGAATTTTGGCCAGAAACCTAACGAATTCGTAGTAAGCCGGGAATTCGTTATGTGTATGGGAAATCTAATTCTGCACGGGTTTTCGATTCGTTAACCCAGGAATTCGTTATATAGAGGTTCGTTATAACCAGGTTTTACTGTATGTACATGTTGGCCTGGCCCCAAGAGTTGCCCGGTCCGTTGAAATTTGGGACTGGAAATTGGGCGGATTTATAGAGTCATTTATACTGTACTCCACACATACGGGCTTGAGGTTGCGCACCGTGCCATACACAGCCTCAAGCCCTCGGTAGTTTAATCATTAGTTCATTTGTACGGAGTACATGATCATTCGAAGGAGGACTATGCGAGCATGCTGGACTCAATCTTCCAAGCCTTCTAGACCATGTATGTAGGGCATCTGTTTGCATCTCATCCCCTGCGGCAGATCACAGGTCGGGGCCACCTTCCAGGGGGAAGATCGCAGTGATCATCATGCAGAGGATTAAGAGAGTGTCCGTCCTGTTAGCGCCCCTGGCGTGCGATGATCACGAGTGCAGGATTAACCTTGCGGAGCATTAATTAGGGAGGACTTGGGGGGGGAGACACTCCGTAACGGTTTCCCCCTTGGCATGACTGGACCGCGATCGGCATCGGAAGCAGACCAAGTCACCGTTCGGAAAACCCAGTAGTCAGGACTCACGGCTGGTAAGGTTCAAATAATATATGGAGTACTGTCCATTCGTAACTCCATAAGGCCATAGCCAAGGCCTTGGGGGCTTGGGGGAGGCTGCTGGCGTGGCAAATCTCCCTTCTGTAGCCATGCGAGATGAGAAAGTGACCAAAGTCGGGAAGAAAAGGGAAAATACCAGACAGTACCCATGGATACGAGAGGCATTTCGGCAGCCTCGGCGGGATCTGATTGGTGTGCCTGGCCAAGTATGGAGCCTTATCCCCTGGCAGCCGTGCCATGGAGTGTGCTGATTGGACACCCCCTGGCGCATGGTCATTTCGTTTGGGCGCCAAGCTCTAATGAACAAAAAAAAGGTAAACAGAGGATGAAAAAAATCCATTTGAGGACCCACGGTGGGCGATCGATAGCGTGGAGGACGCGGCGAGGCCCAATTGCCAAGAGGGACGGAGGCAGTCGAGGCTTGAAGAGAATTGGAAAGAATGGAGTTCATGGAGTTCATGGAGGATGAGAGAGAGGACGAGGCTGAAGGGGTGAAACAGAAATCGCGGTAACTGACTGAGTGGCGTACAGCCAAAATGGTTTAAGGAGGATTGAGTCGACGCTGTGGTACTCAATACGGTCAGATAATACGGGACAAGGTGTGACTGCCCCCTTTTTTCTCCTCGTTGCCTGGTTTGGTCTGGTATTGGCCTTACCAGCCTGGCCCAGTCAAACCGACCCCCCCTCCTTTCCCAAGCCGCCCCTGTTTGTCCTCCTTCCTCTTTCTTCTCCCTTTCACTTCTTCCTTCCCCAGCCTCAGTCTCTTCGAGTTTTCCCATCCGACCAGAGGGATTCGTTCTCTCTACCACGTTCATTTAGGAAAACCTGTCACTCTCTCGACTTCCCAACCGATTCGATTTCCCACCCCCCTTTGTGTACAGCCCTCTACGAAAGCGCGCGACTGGCTTGCCGTTGATGTACGTGAGAGAATGCGCTCGAATGGATTGCGAAAGGCGTCTCTGGTTACAAGTGCTGGTGAACCTGATTCATGGCGAGAAGCGGTCCGGAGATCCTTCAGCGCGTTGTCCTCAATGACTCGAACCAACTCGAGTCGTTATGCGATGGTGCGATCAAAGCCTCCTGAGACTGGTTCGGCGCAGACACACCATATGAATCAGGGTCATCCTTCACTAGACCAAAGACGCCTTGCCTCCCTGAACGAAAGATACTGCCAAAACCCGAACATGATTAACTGACATCTTCTGTCCCCTCCAACTACAGATCCGCAATTTGAATTCCTGAAATCGCAATGAAGTTCTCCAACTCCGTTGCCGTGACTCTCGCCACGGCGGGCTCCCTGGTGGCCGCCCACGGCCACGGCCACGCTCACTTCCACCAGCGCGCCGTCGAGACTGAGACCGAGACTGCCGTCACCCCCGGTCCTACCGTCTACGACTTCGTTGTCCTGGATCCCAGCAAGTCTGGATCCCCTGAGTCCATCAGCGAGGAGGAGGCCTGCGCCCTTCTGGCCAAGCACGAGCTCGAGTGGCTGGGTTCCGCTATCCCCAATGCTTGCCCGTCCAGCACCAGCACCAGCACCCCCGTGAGCACTTCGACTCCCGCTCCCACCACTTCCACCGTCCCTGCCCAGGTCCTCCTGGAGACCTCCGCTACCATCATCCCCAGCACCTCCAGCAGCACCACGGTCCCCACCACCAGCGCTGTCAGCTCTACCAACTCCGCCGCTGCTCCTGGCTCCTCCAGCACTGCCACTGGTATCGACGCTGAGTTCCCCGACGGACAGATCGACTGTGGTACCTTCCCCTCAGACTACGGTGCCGTCGCCCTCAACTACCTCGGTCTCGGCGGTTACTCCGGTATCCAGTACGTCACCATCGCTGAGGCTGTGGTCAGCGAGATCGTGACCGCCGTCACCGGTGATGCCTGCACCAGCGGTGCCATGTGCTCGTACGCTTGCCCTGCCGGTTACCAGAAGTCCCAGTGGCCCGACACCCAGGGCGCCACTGGCCAGTCTGTCGGTGGTCTTGAGTGCAAGAACGGCAAGCTCTACCTCACCAACTCCGAGTACAAGACTCTCTGCATTGCCGGTACTGGTGGTGTCAACGTCCGCAACCAGCTCGACGACCAGGTCGCCGTTTGCCGTACCGACTACCCCGGTACCGAGTCCGAGACTATTCCCCTCGCCGCTCTGGCTGGTGCGGAGCACCCTGACCTGCCCCAACGGTGCCACCTACTTCAAATGGGAGGGCAAGACCACCTCCGCTCAGTACTACGTCAACAACAAGGGCGTTTCCACCGAGAAGGGTTGCCAGTGGGGTGATGGCTCCGAGCCCATCGGTAACTTCGCCCCCATGAATCTCGGTGTTGGCTACTCTTCCGGCGCCACCTGGTTGTCCATGTTCAAGAACGAGCCTACCACTAGTGCCAACCTTGACTTCAAGATCAAGCTTATCGGTGATGACCTGAGCGACAACTGCCGCTATGACGGAGCCGGAAACTTCTACAACAACGCCGGCCTGATCACCTCCGGCAACGGCTGCACTGTAAGTTTTAGCTGCCCTCTCAAATCTCCCCCAGTATTCGAGGCAAGACGATCCACAGTGTACTAACCATAATGCACTCTATGTAGGCCAGCTCCTCCTCCGGCAACGCCTACTTCGTCTTCTACGAATAAGCGCCTCCCCAAACCCACTGGGTCCCGTTCCGAACCTCGACCCAAGAAAATACAAAGCCCAACGGTCTTGGATGATGCTTAGTTTTTCATTTTGTTTTTCACCTTCTATCTCAACCATGCTAGCAGTGGATTGGCCAAAGGGGATAGGGTGGGGTTCGGGTCGTTCCCAGTCCATCTTGTTCCTTTTTCTCTTTCCACTACCAGTGCTTCTGTCCATATCACGGTTTGTTACTTGAGGGGTAGTCTTATTCTGTGTATCTTAACTTTTTTATGTGTTTGATCAGGGCCTTTGTGGAGGGCAATTCAATCTTTGTTATTTTTTTCCCTTTCAAATGCCGTTGAGCGTCTTGTATGCGCTATATACGAATGGACCTACTGGCGCTCATGGTTTACCCATAGACTTACCTCAGTTCCTCATGTACAGCCAATTTTGACCTCTACCTAAACCCACTGGATATTGAATATCTGGACCTTGTCTTTCAATATCGATTGGTCAGCTGCATTCCCCTGAATTCTCGTCATCACAGCACACTGGCGTGAGGGTGGCTTCATGCAGCTCATGGACATGCATGTACAGCTACGTACATCATATCAAAATTACCAGATCTGCTCTGTTCGGTATATCCTCATTGAATGAGAAAATGCTTCTTACATTTCAATGACCTATACATACCCTACTTCCCTGCAATACTGAGTCCGACCAAATCCTGAAATGTAGAATGAACTCGGACCTGGAGAGCAGAGCTTATCGCGGATTTCCATTCCTGTGGCGCAACAGGGCTTCCTTCCAATCAATCCATTGGAACCTGAGTGAGACATTCCTGCATCGTTGCACCCGGAAGTAATTCGAAGGATTTCCAAGATTTTGGTCTGTTCTGCTGTTTGTAACTTGATTTCTTATTCACAGGCTTGGATGCAGAGTTATGAGGGTGGATATTTCGTGTATAGGGCTGTTATTGAGGACTACGGTATTGCAGACTACAGATGTTCTCATGACAGAATTCCCACGACTATCTTGCAGGTGCTTCCCATTTTTTGCCTATTCAGATGGGCTAAAGGGTAATTGGTATTTACTCATTGAAGAGCCTCAGACCGCGCGGTCTTCGAACTGGGCGTTGACCATGTACACAACCCAGGATCTAATAGTGGTTCACAGATAAGCCAGAGCCAGAGCTATAGCTTGGGATATAAGTAAAGATATCCCCTTTACGCTCCAAGCTCGATGTCATGTGCTCACGACATAACCAAGAGATCAAGATCACTCTCGTATCAGAAGTATGCTATTTGCTGCTATCAGAGGCTGTATACAGTGTTGGTATGCGGTATATTGTGAAATAATAGGGTAATGGTAGTTGCGAGTATTCGTTATCTCCAAGGTAACCACGTTTCCTCAGATCCTTGGAATGTGAGCTATACTTACTACTTTGGTCAGTTGGAGGGAGCCTCCACATGCCAATGGTATAGGGCGTTATGACATCATTTTTCCTTAAGATGCTTGATTAGGTATATGGTAGGGTGGAGTTTTGATCTTTTGGCTGACATATACAGTAGTAATGATAGTGATACCCTAGAAAACGAATTCCAGCGTGAGTAGTGTAGTGATGCTGTACCTAATCGAGAAGTTCTCATTAATGCGATGCAAAATGATCTCGAAATTGAGATTGACTGCCGACTTGATACGACCTAACCATGCTACCATAAGGAGCGACGCAAATATATAGTGCTCGGGTGAGAACATGTGGTAGATATTGGGCTGATTTGCGATATTCTTCAATTACGATGGTCGTGGGCAGAATGGCAACCTTCCCAGGGCTTATGCATCGGAAGAGGGAAAATGACGAGAAACTGCCAAACCAAGGATATGAAACAAGCTTTGCTATTTCTCCTCGTAAGGCGATAACCATTGTCATTGAGATATCCAAAGCCTTTCGGTCAAAGGTAATGCTGAACTCTTGAGCTAGGGCCTGCTGGAATTGCTTGCTGGTTTCATCTCCCCTAGGACCTTGGATATAATCGGGCATCAAGTATGGATTGGATTCGTCTATTACACTGGTAGACCTGCTCTGAGATGAATGGGCGTTGTTCCTTTTGGGTTTGGTTGTTGATGTTCAACCTTTTGCATCTATGTCCTGCAAAGGTTTTAGTAAAAGAATATAGATTGAGTGATGAGGTTCATTGATAGGCAACGTTGGACTGCATTGCTCTTTACTTAGCTCTATAAGTTCTTGTTAGGGGCTCCTAGCCATGGGAAGGTCAAGGGGAGTGATCACTTTTTCTAAGCACTGAAATCGGGGTCGTGATGCAAGCCAGTTGGCGTGCACCACTTAGCTAGCGATCTTCAATATGCTTTGATTGGTTCTACCCGATTGATTCCTCAGCGTCAAATATTTTACAATAAAGCATGTTCTAGAAAGTAAATTGAAAGCTGGAAGTCTTAGTGAAGCCCATTGCATTAGTTCGAGGCCTAGAATGGAGTCGACATCCCGCTTCGGCTGGAGGGGCTGGTTGTACGTACAGTAACGGTATTCACGCGCCACGAAACCCCCGCGAAGCAGAATTTTCCTAGAACCCCGCGTCTGAATCGCTTCCAGATGGATAATTATTGAGGTGTTTTTGACCTGATTGTATGTCGCTTTCTATGAAATCTAATAAGGGTCAAATCCTGATAGATACTCATTACATGTCTGAGCCGATGCCTTGGCATTGTCCGGTATAGATGGTAGCCTCTGAGTTCATACGTTCACACATACTTAAGAGAGGCACTCAATTCAACGATAACTTCATTCCCAGGTCATCTAAATGCCATTCACCGCTACCGAAGCATACCTTGAAGAGTCCGTCATACTGCATACTCCGACTCGCGTGCCTGTCACGATCCACTCTTGGGACCACACGTGACTTCAGACGCGACCGCGATTTGCAGTAGACCAGTCCATTGTATAGAGCTGTAGATCTACAGAGCACCAACTAGCTTCCAGACAAAACATACCTGGGTCATTCGCATAATCGTGATTTTTCTTTACTACCTTGACCATTTTTCCCACTATCAAGGGCTGGGAAAGGGTGAATTAACGGTGTGAAAGGATAGTGGAGCCCCATGAACCCTCGTCGGCGCCTATCGAACGCGTCTCGGACTGTAAGCGTGCTTTTCCGCGAAGGGCGAAAGAGACTCCGCCCCAGGACATTCCTCCACCACCACACTCTTCACCTTTTTCTCCCCAAGGCCACTCCCTCCCTTCCTCTTGGCCAATTCCCCTCCTCTCTTCGTATCCGTTCCATTTTGAGAGCCCTAGTTCATCTTCCACCTCTATCCATCTTTCCTTCACATCTACCCTTTTGTCCCATAGCCAAACGCGGTGACGCGAGTCCCTCGAGCCCGACTCCGTTCCTACTTACAACTTCACAGCAAAGGGAGAGCTCGCGTGGGTTCAGCACCTGGAGGGCATCATGGATTCCTCTCCAACTAGAGTCAGTATGGCTCCTGCAGCGGGCGTGAAGCGTCCTGCAGCGCTGCTACCTGCTTTCGAGCCATTGAGCTCGTCCCCCTCCCTTCCGAGGCCTACCAAGCGTGTTGCACGCGAACCCGCTTATCCTACCCCCGTGCCAACCTCTTCAACTCACATTATGTCGTCTTCGCCGCCTGGTATCTCCACCGCCGCTCGTTCTTCCGCGCGTCGGACCTTCTCCGCCGCCGTCGAGCGGTCTCCCTTGTCCGCGGTCCCGACCATTATGCTGCCCGAAAATGGCGAGCCTATGCTTATGGGTCGGTCAAGTGCTTCCTGCCATCACCAGCTAGCTGCAAGCCGCATGATTTCACGTATCCATGTCAAGGCTACCTACAAGCCGGCGCCGAACCCCTTCGACCGCGACAGGGTTGAGATTATGTGCATGGGCTGGAATGGGATCAAGATTCATTGCCAGGGAAAGAAGTATGATTTGGCCAAGGGAAAGACTTTTACGTCGGATATCAAGGATGCGGACATCATGATTGATGTTCATGAGGCACGTGTCTTGGTGCAGTGGCCACGGAATGAAAATGATAGAAAGGATTGCCCATCGACCGATTCGGAACAAACTTGGGATGAACGAACCCCGACCCAGAAGAATCCCCGCCGCTTGCTCCCGGACAGTCCATTTGTCGAGAATCAGCGTTTGGGTTCCCCTGTCTCGCCCTCGCCTGCCGTGCAAAATGTCATCCCTCCGTCGTCGCCAATCTTCACGCCCTCTCGCGCACGTGGTTCAGTTGTGGTGTACGAAGATGAGCCTTCTCCTTTGAAGCGTCATAATACAGTTGGTGGGATTACGTCTCACAGTGCTCGTCGTGCCAGTGAGATGCTGCAGATCTCGCAGTCTAGTGATATCAGCAGACCGGAGGACGAGTCTGATAATGACGAGGAAAACGACCCTATTGTCCACTCATTTGGTCCATTTGGCGAGAACCTGCTTCCTCGGATGGCCTCATTCCACACTGGAGAGTCTCCTAGTCGCCCCGCGCTGTCGCCTCTCAACCTGCTGCCTCCCCAGCCTCCCCAGCATCTCAAGTCTCACAAGCACCCGTACGCCAATGAGCCAAAGGAAGATACCGAGGTCAGGCAGAAGACCAAGGAAGAGGAGGAGAGCTTCGAAAGAGTCCGCAACCACACTGTGAATCAGCTTGCTTTCTCCCGTCTATCATCTACTCCTTTCTCCACTATTCTGAACAGTCTCCCTCCTTCATACTGGAAGTCGAACGCGAGCAACACTTCTGGTCCATCTCGCGCCGACATTCGCGCCATCCTGGAAACCACCAAGTGCATTGGCAAGGTTGCACGTGAAGGGAAAGATGCCGCTGGCCAGCCCCTGGAAAGCGAGTTCTACTACATCCCCGACTTCGATGAAGATGTTGGTCGCCGTGAGACTGTGGTGAACAACCTCCGGAAGCCTGGACTCCGCAACTGCCGCAAGCAGCACAAGGTTGGTGACCCCAATACTGCAATTGATTGCCGATTTTTGAATATAGTAACTAACGTTTCTTAAGCAATACTTCTGGAAGAAGCCGAAATAATCGAACACCTCACGGATCCGATTCCCCGCTCTTTCCCTCTCTCGAATTCGGATCGGCACCTCTCAGTACATATTTGCAGTGTTCTTGGCCACCTAGATACCTCTAGGTGTTTCGCATAGCGTGGCGTGTGGCATACCCTGATTTAATATTGTTTGATGTTTTACCCCTTGTTTTGTGTTTACGCCTTTGCTTTTCCCTTTCATATTTCCTGCTTCCGTTCCAGCATGGTGGTGTACGATGTGTGGTACTTTTCGCAGCGCGCTGTGTCTCGTTCTTTTGTCCCCAGTGGGACTTGTCCAGTGTTTTCCCCTGATGCGTGATGGTTTCCCCGAACTCGACGGCCGCTTATGTTCTGCTTTTCTTTTTGTGTTTCCTTTTGCTCTGACCTCCGATCTGCTCGGACTCGATTATCTCTGTTCGATTATACTGCCTGCTTGATATGGTTTCGGCTTCAGTTGTGAAGTGTCTTTCGCAATTCTGGTGGAATGTCGCATGATACATCATGGACCGTGCTGTGTTCGAAGTGTTTTTGCGTTTCATCCGTTCCACTCGGCCTTGCTTCCTTCGGAGTGCAAGATGCCGTCACGATTTGTATGGTTAGCTCGTCGGTTTTCAAAAAAAAAGGGTTATTTAATCATTCGGTGTTCCGTGTAGCTAATGATGTGTAATCATTGCCAGTAAGTGCCCGCCATTGGTAGAATAACTATTAAGACTAGTATTTGACACTCCTCTTGCTTGGCATACTGCTAGTCTTTCTTGCTGGAGACTGCGGGCAAGTCTGACGACACATCCAAGAACAGAATGGACTCGCTATACCATGAGCCTCTCGGCCGTCAGTACTAAGTGTTTGGATGTGGGCCAAATGCGAAAATCAGACTTAGAGTTGGCTCGTTTTGTATAAAGTCATTATTGTGGAGAAGTAGTGACCTTCCCCGAGTGTCTAGCCATCTCTACCTCATCCTGCAGGGAGTCGACCTGCGCTTTCGCCACCTTTGCGTCACCCAAGCTTCTCCCATCAAGCAATCCTGATAGCCTGTGCGTATCCAACGAAAGGCTATCTAGCTGGCTAATATCGTGTACCTACAATAATTGGGAGATTAAAAAGATGAGAGACTCTGTGGCTAGGGCCTGGACAACTAGACAGGGCTGTATGTTTACTATATAGCTCTTTTCCAGTCTCTGGTTCATAATCGACGAGTCATATAGCAAAGCCAACCCTACAAACCCAAAGCTGTTCCACTGATTTGACCCGATCATGCAATGCATAACATTGCCACCCTTGTCCTGGTGGCCACTGAGCGAACTCCCAAGAACCGCCTCTTAAGCAATCGACCCCGCATCTAGACCATCATCATCATCATCAAGCCCCCGATTTCTTCTACAAAAGCGTCCTCTCATCCTACCAGTCCTCATTGAATACAACAGAGAAGCCCGATACCCATCGTTTGATAGTGCTACAGCTCCCACTCGAATCTAACTCATCATGCAATCCTCCATTCAACAGAACCCCATCCCAGACCGAGCCAGAGAACCTATGGCACCTGCAACACAGCCACGGGATTTCTCCTCTAGTGACTGCCACCAACTACCGGATCCCAATCCGGATACAGCGTCTGGCCAGCCCTGGCAACCAAAAGTCAATCGTCGCCAAAGCTGGAGCCAGGAGGACCAGAAACACCAGCAGCAGGAACGACTGCTAGATATCGAGCAAGGTCGGGAGACCGGGTTTACGGAGACGGGACTGGATCATTGAATCAGGTCGAAAAAATCGCTGCAGCTTGTGGTTTCTGGCTAGTCTTTGACTCTTTTGTTCACTTGATAATGATCTTGGCCTGTTCTAGTGGGGAAAAGCCCAGCGAGTGATCTTCTAGAAAGAGTGGGGTTCTCGGGGATTGCTGTATGCGCGGTGACATGCCTGCAATGGGTGCTGTTGTTCGCTTAAATAGTCACATAAATCAAATTGTGTGGGGAATTTTCCATCTTTGACAACTGTAGACAGTATGCAGATCGATCGAAGATCAGATAAATAAGAGATAAGAGATAACTAAGAGAGGAAGATATCAAAAGGTTGGTTCCAGACGATCGTCCAGGCTTTCCAACCTCCGCACCGCCTTACAAACCAGCCCGCCTTCTCTCCTCCGCCATCGCCATCCGCCCGCACGACCACCGCAAGGAGCTTCCCACAACGACGAGCTTCTATCTAGCTCCCAGCCATTTTGGATCGCCTACACCTCCCCAATGTGGCATTCAAGTCACTCCTGCATTCTCCTTTCGGACGTTCAGAGAGGACCCCGCGATTGAATCGGCTCCGAACGCACACACAGCCATGGATCGCCAGAAGAAAAGTACGCGCCAGCCAGACCACACTTGCCTCTCGCTAATCCCCTCAACTGACCTCATTCTCAATACAGGAGAGCTCCGCGATCTGAACGAGAGGGCCTGGGAAGGCGAAACCGGTACGTCAAAACTCCCCCTTCGAAACAACTACTGCCAATGATAAGGCCCGCTCTTGGATTCTGACCGACCACCTACCCACACAGACGTATTCCCTGTCAGCAAATCCCTCGACTCAGCCCTCAAGAAAAACACGGCTTTCATCAAGCGTCTGCGAACTGGAATCAGTGCTTCCGCCCTGTCTACCTTCCTGTCCGATATCCGCACCCTCTCGCTCCACAAGTACCTATCCGAGATCATCTCCGCCTGCTATGAGGGGCTGTGCAAGCTCAAGTCGCCCGGGGAGATTGCTGCCGGCGTGGAGATTATCTGCGCTTTGCACCAGCGCTTCGGCCCCGCGGAGTTTACTAGGCAGATTGGATGGCTTCTTGGCCGGGGCATGAGCTCCATGGACAAGGCCTCATTGAAGGCTTTGCCACAGGAGATGCGCGAGCGGGAGGAAAAGGAACGCTTGTCGCGACACCGGGTCCTTCTTCGCGTTGTCACCGAGCTGTGGCTCGTTGGTGCTCTTAGGACTTTGGATGATACGGAGCGGCCGGAGGATGCGAGGAAGGATGCTACCACGGGCAAGCTGCCTGACCTGGTTCCGATGAGGGCGACAAAGTCCGCCGCTGCGCTGAAGGAATTGGAGAAACAAGCTGAGCCGTTTCCTCTGGAAGTACTCAAGGATTTACTGGGACATGACCGCGACCATACCAACTTGCCGCTTGCTGTCTTATTCGTGAAGAGCTTTAGCTGGGATATTCTTGGGACAAAGCTTGTGGAAGAGGGCCGGAAGACTGTGGAAGCGGATGGCGCGACGTCAAAGACAACCGTCACGGACCAGGAGAATACAGAAGGCAACGCAGACGCTACAGTCGAGGCAGACCCGCCATTGGTCCCGGAGAAGACTCAGCAGCGATTCAGAAACATCTTGACTCGCTACCTGGATGACGTCAAGGCACATGTGGTTCGTGATCAGAAGGCGCTGGCATCGCAGAGCCGTCGCAACGCCGAGGCCTATGTGAAGAGCGGTGAGATCTTCGAGGACCGCCAATCGAATTTCGAGAAGCAGTCGAAGACCCTAGAGAAGCTCGTGGCCAATACGCAGGTTCTGTGCGAGGCTTTGGGTGCGGAGATGCCTGATCTGGTCGAGAAGGAGACCGCCGATGCTGGAGGCAGCAGTGGCATTGGCCTAGTGAAAACCACAGATTATCTACGTGGCCAAGGCGACGGTGCTGGTATCTGGGAGGACGAAGAGGAGAGACGCTTCTACGAGAACTTGGTTGATTTAAAGGGTAAAGTGCCCGCGGTGCTTCTTGAAGACGGCAAGAAAAAGAAAACCGAGGGTGAAGAAACTGGGAAGAAGAAGACCGAGGGGGACGAGACCGCCGCAGAGAAGCCCGAGCCGTCCGAGGATAGAGCTGCAGCGGATGCGGATGATCAGTCAATGGCAATTGCTAGCAAGACTGTCGGTGCCCAGGTAGATGCTCTACTTGGTAAGCTCCCTGAACTGCAGACCAAGGACCAGGTCGACCAGTTTGCTCTTGATTTCTGCTTCGTCAACTCGAAGGCCTCTCGGAACAGATTGGTGAAAGCTGTCTCGGACATCCCGAAAGGTCGAGTCGACCTTCTGCCTCTGTACTCGCGCTTGGTGGCTACCCTTGGACAGTATCTGCCCGATATTCCACAAGGCTTGACCACGTATCTTGATGAAGAGTTCCGAAGCCTGCAACGCCGCAAATCGAAGGAATTCCTTGGCCAGGTCCGTATGAGCAATGTACGGTATTTGGCCGAGTTGACCAAATTCGGCGTGGTTCCTGAGCACATCATCTTCCATTGCTTCAAAGTTTCGCTCGATGACTTCTCCCGCATGAATATAGAGATTATCGGTAACCTCTTGGAAAACTGTGGTCGCTATTTGCTTCGCAACCCGGAGACATCGCCCCGAATGGCGTCCTTTTTGGAGACTTTGAGCCGGAAGAAGACTGTGCAGCACTTGGCTCAGCAAGAACGGATGGTTATTGAGAATGCCATCTACTACGTCGATCCGCCTCCAAGACCTGCCATCCAGCAGAAAGAGCGTACTCCCGTGGAACAGTACATTCGACGACTGATCTATCTCGATATGAACAAGCGCAATTACACCAAGATTCTGAAGACTATCCGCAAACTACACTGGGAGGAGCAGGAAATCGTTGATATTCTGGAGCGTGTGTTCAGCAAGCCAGTCAAAGTCAAGTACGGCAGTATTCATCTTCTGGCTATCCTCGTCAGTGCTCTGTACCGCTACCACCAGGGATTCGTCATCGGCATTGTCGACAATGTTCTGGAGCAGATCACGCTGGGCCTGGAACTGAATGACTTCAAGTTCAACCAGAAGCGGATCGCCGAAGTCAAGTACCTGGGCGAGCTCTACAACTATAAGATGATCGACTCGCCCGTCATCTTCGACACGCTGTACCGCATCGTCACATTCGGTCACGAAGGCGGCACTCCCGTCCCTGGAAAGATCAGTTCTTTGGACGCGCCGGATGACTTTTTCCGACTTCGATTGGCGTGCACGCTTCTCGACACGTGTGGTCACTGCTTTGATCGAGGTTCTGCGAAGAAGAAGCTGGATTTCTTCCTGACTTTCTTCCAATATTACCTGTTCACCAAGGATCCGTTGCCTATGGATGTCGATTTCCTGGTCCAGGACACGTACTCTAGTTTGCGGCCGCAGTGGAAGTTGGCTACGGACCCGGAAGAGGCTACTCGTATTTTTAGCGAGGCAGTTGCACAGAATTACAATGTTCAGGACTCCGAGAGACCTGTTGAGCTTGACGAAGAGGATGCGGAGAGCAGTTCGTCCGATGAGGGTCTGGAGGACGACGTCATTCCAGAGATTGAAGATGAGCAGGAATCTAGCGATGAAGCCGAGGTATGTCTTTTTCTACCTGACCTTTCCCACGCGCACCTTTCTGACGTTTACAGGCATCCGGTCCGAACCCCGAAGCGAACGACGAAAGCGATTTCGAGGACGAGCATATTGTCGTCACGCGCCAAGAAGAGGAGCGTGATCCAGAAGTCGAGGCCGACTTCGATCGTGAATTTGAGAAAATGATGGCCGAGAGCATGGACTCCAGGCGCTTTGAGCGTAAGGGGGTATTCGATATCCCCCTGCCCATGAAGCGAGTCCCTCGTGAGAATCCTCCAACCGAGTCTTCGACTGAATCGGCCACGCCGGAGCCAATGCCCACCAAGACCGTGGCATTCTCGCTGATGACGAAGAAGGGCAATAAGCAGCAGGTCAGAACCACTTTCCCCAGTGATAGATGTAATACCATGCTGATGCTGTTTAGACCCGCACCATCGATCTTCCATCTGATTCTAGCTTTGCTGTTGCTATGCGCAGTCAGCAACAAGCTGATCGGGAAGAACAGCAACGTATCAAGAACTTGGTTCTGAATTACGAGGCTGCGAACGAACCCGAGGCTGCAGAGAGTAAGTCTATCCCCGTTCTGGGGGTCAATTTTTGGAACATGGATACTGATACTTTGAATTTAGACTTTGAGAAGCGCATCCCTGCGAATCAGCGGGTGGATAAATCTGGCGCTAATCGCTCGGCCTTCCGCTCTCGTAAGCTCCAGCTTAGCGACGTGAACTGGTAATGAGGGCTTTGGACTATGAAAAGACTTTCATAAACTCCTGGCCCTGTCTGGCCATGTGAAACACGTGCAGCTATACCAACGAGCCTTGGTCCGTCTATCTGCCTGAGTGCAGCCCTGACCCGTCGAGCCTGGCATTCCTTCGATGAAGCTAAGACGTTTCCACTTGGAGATCGGTCTTTCATGTCTTGACCAGGTTCTTGACGTAGGTTCAACTCAACGGGTGCGCTATCGATGCTACGTGCGATATTTTCGTATCTTTTAACCCGATGCGCGATGGCCCCTACCATCCAGGAGCTCAGCACCCCTTGGCGGGCTACATGCTTTCGCCGGTAGCATCGGCTACCCAGAGACAGGGGACTAGTCAAGGGAGTTTGGAGGAGACCATGGGAATGAGATATCAATATGAAACCCATCTAGTCCCGTTGGATGGCTTTCCCTGAAATTTCTGCCGTTGGGATGCTGATCACAATATCCCGTATTCTCGTTCCATTATTTACACCCTCCATCCAGCAAGAAGAATATTATGATCTATTTACCAAATCTGATAGTAAAATCTCTAGCCAGTCAGGTTTTTTGCTCGTGAATAGGGAGAGTTGGGGACGCTGTAGAGCAAATCAGTCGCTCAATGTGGGCTTCTTCTTTTATCGGCCCTGATGTGCAAGCATGCGTCGCGCTGTCTGTGAATTGTTCTCGTGTCACTCGGCACTCAAAATTGCATCCTCCGTTACAGGCATAAAACTCAAGCCGCGCATGATCCAAGTCAAGTGTAGCTCTGGTATACTTTCACACATGAAAGTACCGAAAGTTGATTGCTCTCTATATTATCCGGTCATAGTTGTCGTATGAATATTTACCTATGCAGTCTCGGGCTCAGTAAGCCGTCCAAGGGCGTTATCTTACTTAAACCCCGAGGTTGCCTAAGAGAATATGCGAACTTGACTTTCTACACAATTAAGGGGGAGACGAGATCTAATCGACTCCCCCACGCGCATATTGCGCGTTTCATACGATTGTCTTTCTCATGCCCGACCTCGCGTACCACCAGGATGAAAGTCCTCCTCACCAACGCTATTTTACTGACTTTGGCGGGATCTGCCTATTCAAATCATCAGTCCAGGAACGTGAAACCTCCGGCTATTAACTTGAAGACTTTTCGTTTGGCCTCAAGGGCGAAGTATGATAGAGGTGTATGGTATACGTCCTAAAGCGGTGAAATCGCAGATATAAGAGAAATAACATAAATAAAGAGATTAAATAGTGATCTTATTAAGTAATAACCATAATGAAGTTATTAATAGCATAGTAATGTTGGCAACAGCATACCGGCTTAAGGGCCGGTGGAACGAGGCCGGTGGGACGAGGCCGAGCAGCTCTTCGGGAAGGTGATGGAGACTCGCAAGATGAAGCTCGGCGAGGATCATTCCGACACTCTGACGAGTATAGCCAATCTCGCTTTCACTTGGAAATATTCAGGTCACGTTGCTGAAACCATCAGTTTGCTACGAGATTGTTTTGTCAGGAAGGAAAAGGTACTAGGGCCGAACCACCCTTCCACTCTATCCGGTTCCACAACTTTGCTAGAATGAGAAGCGGAGGGCCTCAGCAATGCCTAGATCGGCTTTTTGACTTTAAACATATTCATTTTTCAGTTGCACATTCTCCTCTTTTAATGTATCCGAAAAATTCCCCAGAGTTATACTGCTGTACTGTGCTGAGGGAATTGACTTTACCCCTTTAGTGAACGTTCCTGCCGAGAGTCCTGGATAATAATACCGGAAACATATCGGATTGATAGTAAGAGTATTTCAAGTACTCTATCTGGTCTGTATCACATGACTCTATCTTTCGATACGATTCACTCCTTGAAAGAAGGCTAGGCGAAATAAATATTAGCGTATTATACGTAAGGTTCAGGCAAGAATTCATGCAAGTAAAGTGGTGAAACTGATTTCAATCCATCCCGTAGTGTAACGAAGGAGAAAGGTCCGTGATGCGGGTGGTTAGTCAATGCTACGGGTAAAATGTAAGTAAAATTTGCTTTACCTATGAGAGGTAAATTTATGTCTCTTACAATGGAGCAAGTCACATGCACCTTAAGTACCAATACCATCCTATTGCTGCAAAAGACATCAAGTTTATACGGCCCCGCTTTGCCTTTCAGCCTAAACTAAAAGGCTACACAGAAATAACGCTTATATTGCTATAGACTTGTCTGCTTGTAGTTTTCTTTCGGGTTCAAATATGCACAGAAACTTCCATGAAAAACATAGCTAAGCAAACTCTTGGAATCGTCACTTAATCTTGCCCAAGCAATATCTACTGAGTCCAAAACTCGACGTTACTCCAGGTGACGGTGATGGCGCCTGAGCCGCTATCGCTCGTGTAGGCACCGCACTTGTCATAAAAGCTGCCGCCAGGGGCACTTGTCGTGAACGACTCGTTGCCGTTCACGTAAACAACATACGTTTGCTTGTTGGCATCGTGCACAGTGTTGATTTGCACTGTAGAGCCGACCTTTGCGACGCCGCTGGCAATGGTTGCGCCACCCTCTACATCGTAGATGTCGCCAGTGCTCTTAATACCCATGATGAAATACGGTCCAGTGCTACCGTTAAAGGTCTGCTTAAGCGCGATGCGGTCACCGGTCAGGGAGGTGATCGTGAACTCGCCTCCAAACTGGTGAATTCCAGAGGTGTAGTCGTTGTTATAGCGACGCTCGGCGCGCAAGTGGCCGTTGGAGCAGCCTGCTCCGCTAGTACTGCCATTGGGAGATGTTGGGAGAGTAAAAGTATCTCCAGACACACTGCCTCCAGCACATTCCTGGACACTGAAGCTAGGGCTGACCGAAGTCCAGGTACCGCTCCCAACTGGGCTGAGAGCAAGAGTAAAGGTTGACGAAGCAATGGCGAGGAATATTTTCTTAGCAATCATTTTTGCCTTTTGAGTGCAACGAAAGTTTTGTATGGTTTCAAGGTTTGTGACGTGAAGTTGAGTGATAGTTGAGTGAACCCATCAACACATTTATATCTCTTTTCTGCTAGATGATGCTGCATGGAGTAGTCTGTGAAATTCCACCTATCAGACGGTTGAGACACAGATAGTCGCCCTGACTTCTGCACTGTGCACGGAAGCAAACCTACGAGGTTACACTTCGAGGTTACACTTCGTGACGAACTTAGTGCTAGTTATGAACAACACTACTATTGACCCCCCTAGAGACAATTGAAACAGTTGTAGGGGATCCAATGCCTAGTCGTTGTCAGTGTAGGTAAGGAGAAACTAGCCTCCTATGCCCCCGGATCGACGAGCTGATCACTGGGCTCGGATGACCGGGGCAACAAAAAAGCGCGCTTCCAATACACAATGAGAAATTGGCTCGCTAGGATGCCGTTGCTCATCCAATCACAGTCCAAATTATAGGTTTCAAATTAGGCTTCCGGGTAACGGCATAATCCACACCGGGATGCGGGGCTGGGGTAATGCGCCGGGAACGGGCGTCGGGGGAAGGGCCTGTCCGGTTGGAGACCAATTCGCTGGCATCCCTATATTGCAGACAATATTCTTCCTCTCTAAGTTTCATCATCCCTCGGAAATTTGGAGGATTTCTTGCAGCTATAGAGATACCTATTTTTACAATTTTCCACCAGTCTCTGGAGGATATCGAACTATCGCACAAGGATCTACTGCTGCCACACTGAATCATACTGTTGAAGACTATAGCCATCCTACACAATCTACAACAGGTTCCCCCTGGGCAGCGCTTCGATGCGGCGATTGATGATAGCACGAACACGGTTTTTGTGACATTTGGCGACGATCTGGCTATAAATGAAGAGCCAGTGGATTCCATCACACGGGCATTCCAAGTCGACCGCGATGATGATCGGCCGGCGAAACACAAACAGACTTGAAAAATGTATGATTCTTGAGATTTTGATCCAAATATTTGTGCCTCATATAGACTACAGTCAGCGGACTTGTGACCGTTATGGTTATTCATCTATACAGGCCGCCAGTAAACAGATTGAAGGCCTCAGTAGACCTAGAGCTGGGGACGTACAGTGGTGTTCCATAAGTTTGCAACACCCGAAAAAGTTCAAACCCATCTCATCAGCTATACTTTGAAAGACAAGTTAAAACACAGATGCCGGGAATATCTAGAAAGAGTGTTCAAAAGACATTCAGAAAGATCTGTTAAAAACATAAAATCGAGGCATATTTTGACGGCCTGTTTTCTTGGTCCCTGGTTTCAGACTTTTGAACTGCCACTGTACGTCCAAAGTGGATCCACGTCGGCAGCCTCCAGGGGTGTTTCATGTGGGGATAGATTATCCAATGATTTACACTCTGCTTAAGCTGAGAGGGTCAGTGCATGACCGTCGCGCGACGGAGGGTGATTCTCACCCTGATTCTCACCCTGATTCTCACCCTGTCTATTGCGCACTCACCTCTTCTCACTCACGCTGATGCAGCGCTTTATACATTGTAATTAGGAGTATTAGGGCATATATTATGTTTTGAGTTGGTTTCTAGTACATACGACCATAGGGTATGGAGAACAGGGCTTCCCGTCCGCTCAGCCGTACTTAAGCCATATATAGTGCACGGCTAATTCTCAATGCGCCCTGAGCTTTAAAATAGCGTCGGATTTGATCTTAGGGTAAGTATAGGTGATATAGGTAAGAAGTCTAGAGAGCGGGGTGATAGAGGTAAGAATAGGGTAAGAACAGGGTAAGAGCGGGTAAGAACAGGGTAGGTATTCTCACCTAGATTACCCACTCTCCTACTTTTACTTAAACCGGGACTATAAATATAAGCCCTAGGGCGCTAGTCTAGTTTGCTGTTCTCAATCTTTAGTTACCTTGCTATTAAATAGAAGATACTCCTAAAGGACCTCTAAAGGAAACTAGATAAAAGGATTATACGTGCTACGTCACGTAGTTTTACCCTTGAATACTAGAATAAGCGGGAACAAGAAGAGAACTCTATATACCTTAAGGAGCTAGCCCCGGCAACGCTCGAGAAGTATAAGAATATAGTATTAAATTAGGCGTTATAAATTATATTATTAATAGATATAGACTATAATACTTATCTCGGTAGATAGAGACTTTCTCGTAACGAAGCGCCTAGTGCTAATTTTTCTAAAGACGAACCTAATCTAACCCTATAACTTCTAAAATCTTTTACGGAAGACTATATCGTAACAAGAAAAAATTTACCCTTATAGAAGTCTACGTGTTAGAATCTTATTAGTTTTATAAACTACTAACGAAGCCACGAGAACGCTTTAAGGTTACGGTAAAAGACATTAATTACCTTCTTCGCGGCCTTTTCGGCGATAATTCGCACAATTATAAGCATAAAAGAGCACGAGTATATACTAGAAGTGCCCTTATATTATTTTCTAGCTCGGGTACAAAGGTAGGTACTATAGTAGAGTTAAATACCTACCGCGAATCTAACGAATATCTATATTATAGGGTCGGTTCTCATCTTAAGCCTCCCCTCTTCCGCGCTTTAGGGACCGTTAAGCTAATAAGAGTTTAATAGTATCTTACTTTTAATATGAAATAGAGTACTAATAGTCAGCTAAAACGTTAGGTGACAATTGATCCCGAATTTTTGAAAGGATAGCGCTATCGTGACGATAAAGACTTATAAGTCTATAGATTAGCTACTACAGGGTTTAAATGCTAACTCGGAGAATCAAAGACCAAAGAACTAGTTTAGAGAACATCCAATTCTCGGAATAAGCTTTATTTTTTGGGTAATAGTGCATAGCGTAGCCGACGGCGCTTTCGGCTCAGTACGGTGGCCGATATTCTCGCCGTGAGACCTCCGAAGGGGAGAGAATCATATACGCTTAAATAGAACGAGAATGAAAAGTGTGGATAATGCATCAGGAGATCTTCGTATTCCACTCTGGCTTGCTCTAGCTCAGCGCAATGACACCAGCGGGATGTTCGAGTCCACCTTGTTTGTCACTTATGCTGTCCCCTTCGACTTTGGGCTCATCCTCCTGAGACTCAGCTTGCTTGAGAAGAATATTGAAAATGGTTTCGTACGAAATGCGGTCCTTATTGTCCAATAGTCTCTGCTGTTTCACGAGATAATCGGTCACCGTCCCAAGCTTCTGACTTAATTCGTAGAGAAGTTCGGCCACCCTCGCAGTTTCTTCCAGATCCTTTGTGGTCTTTTCCAGGGTATGGCGTGTCCTGGCGAGCTCCTGTTTGTATTCCACAACACTTCGTTCAACATGGGCCGTCCGTGCTTCTTGTGACACGATAATCCTAAGAATTTCCTATGGCCAATCAGTGAACGCTTCCATCTTACAGAGCGAAGTCATACCGTGGCATCCATTGTGACGGGCAATGAGCAGCTTCATCCGAGACTGAATCTGAATGAATGGGATGCAAGACAGTGGTGCGCAATGTCCTCCGGCAGGGTGCCGATTTATAGCCATTAACCCTGGTTTGATGTTTATTTGTGGACGTGAAGAGATCCAGCGGGAATGCTGTTTTGATAATGAGGTTGATCTACAGAACAGTGTGAGAGATTTTTTGAACCATCGATCAGTGACAAAAGTTAGTGTCAATCTCGAATAAGCTTGCGTTGAAAAACGGATCGCGTATAACTGTATAGATTGAGTTTAGCAAGATTGATAGGCATCGAACATGCCGTTCCTCAGCTGCAGAGTAAACAAAATGACTGTCTATTCGCATTTAAATGGGAGAGAGACTGCTACTCGGGAAATTGAGATATTCTTGAGCCTCACAATTATGAAATTTGGTATCAAGGACCCGGTGCTTTACCAAGAGAAACTGTCGGAACATATCCTCATGTCAGGGCAGGCAAAGACAACATACTTTTGCTCGGTGTATGTAATCTTGCGCCGCCGTATGGGACTCAAAGACCTGGATCAATATGAATCAATTTACCTTTCTGCTTGTGAAACAAATATGCTGTCCACTTAGCTGTGTACATACTGCCATATTCGAATTCAGATTCCCCCGCGTCCACTCAGAAAGTAATTCTCTAACCCTATCCCAAATCGCGCTAGGCTACGTTCGGATTAGCTGCGGATTGTGGCTTGTATACAATACAGTCACTGTTCATTAGTGTTTAAAACATGGTACTTCAGTCCACGGGCATAAAGATTGTTGGGGTAGGTACTATGTTCCAAACAAATACGAATGGTGACTGTATTATACACACGCCACGATCTGCAGCTAACCTGAATATTCACTAGCGCTTCTTAGGATAGGGCTGGAGAATGATTTTCTGAGTGGACGAAGGGGAATCTGATTTCGAACACGGCAGAACAAAATCGTATGTTGGACAGAAGATGGGGCGGACACCGCCTTCGGCAGAAAGTTCCCCATCCGGGCCTTTCTGCCCACCCAAACCTAAAAGCAATCGATCAGCATGTATATCAGGACCAAGTATACGCCATCATATTCCGATAATCTCACCTCTATCCACGTGATGTCTCCTACACGCGTCCGATAATATGAACGCACAGCAGTGCTCTCAATACAATATCATTGCTATCATTTGCCCTCCATTTTGCGGCATATTGAAATTCATATGCCGAGTACGAAAATAGTAGTCGTGTAGGAATTCATGAGGAGATAGTGAGATGATCTACATAAACAACAAGCAATTGCGGCTCCTCTTGAGGGGTCAAATGTCAGGACCACTTTCACACATTAACCAAATATCCGCTTCCTCCATCGTAAACCGGGATCATATCAGCAGGGGTCACATTAGGACACATCTCCTGCACCGTGGAGAGACACAACTGAACCGCTGCCTCCCAAATATCGTCAAGTTCAACGCGCATGTACCCTTGGTACCCAGGCGTGTCATAGCTCTCCCCCGGTTCAAAAGTAGGGTCGACCATCACCACAAACGGCTTCAACATGATATACCCACCCTTCTCGATCACAAACCCTCTCTGAGGCCCTCCCCAATTTGCACTCTCCTCCGGATCTTCGAAGGCACTTACAATCGAGTTCAAGCATGATTCGTCTATAACGAGACAGGCCTGCGACCATGGAATATGCGACCCATCTTCCATCCCAAGAGACTCTGAATATTGTTTGAAATCCGCACGGATCTGTTCAAGGGACGCCCCCTCCCATCGCTCTCGATCCGCGAAAACAAGATTCTTGTAGGTTTCCTGCACAAACTTCTCGGGAAAAGGGTCGCTGTCCGGATATCTCTTTTCGTAGAAATTTCCAATACTCCAGTGCACGTAACGGTCGATTTTGGCGAGGCAGGAAGACCAGAGCCGGTCGGATTCCGCCGTGTAAACAGTACGGTAGATCACAAAGCCCCAGGGTAAACAACTAAGCCATTTGATAAACCTAACAGAACGGCGGGTGTTATGTTTATACCAGGGCTGCTCGCACCAGCGCTTCCGGAGGTCTCGAAGGGGACCGGTAAATTCCGGATGTGACCAGCGTTCAGGCCATGATGGGTGATGGAGATTGCCTTCTTGGAGAGCGTCAGAGCTATATCCCTCTTGTTGAGTCATTCTGATAGGGAGTCTGAAGGCAATAGCAACCCCGGAAGACGGAAGGTGTGTATTCCGGCCTGCCGATGGCTTACTGAAACTTGAACCCGGATTAATTCCCACGGAAATTAGCTATGATTCTAAGGTTGAGACTTTCGGAAAGGCGAAACCTGCGCTTACTCAGCGGACCAAGATCTCGTTTTCCAAGCCTTTTTAACAGAGCAAGCTGATACAGGATAGACTAGTATTCATATTGGCGAATGAGATCAAGTGGAAGATGGTTCATTGAATGAAAGTAGAAGATGCCCCGGGTGAGGTTTGAAATGCCCCCTGAACGGCTCTGTTACTCGGGGTTACGACTCCCGGTTTGCCGGAGAATCCAAATTACCTTACAAAACAAGGAATATACTGTACATACAGTGGCACCGCAAAAGTCTGAGATCACCCTTATTCACCGCTATTTTCTGCCATGATTCTGCCGCAACAAAATACTCCATGTGGACCCTAATTTTACAGCGGGAACCAGAGTACCAGCCTATTTTAAGAAGGCGGAGATGAGAGCGGTGAACAAGGGGGATCTCAGACTTTTGCGGTGCCACTGTAGATCAATCATTATTAATCTGATCATAGCGGTAAGTTACCACTCCATTTCTTTGACACTTTTACGGCATTTCATTTCAAGAACGGCAACCCAAGGACAGAAAAGATTAGATCTGCAGCAGCACCGCAACCCATACATTCCGGATATAATACAGATGTAGAAGCAGCTGGTTGTCGTTGTAATTTCTATAATTATTTAGAGACGGCCCTTTACCCCAAATCAGGTGCATCTTTACCATTGGCATATTACTTGGGTTGGAATTTGCTCCTTGTTCGTTTGCCATTTTTCTCTCTTGCATCACGCGCTGCTGTCGACGTCCTGACCCACAAAACGTGACACATCGCATCTACAGTGACTGCTGCACATTGCCTATCATGCCGCTCGTAGCCGCCGACACCTTGGAGGATGACGACCGTTCTGCGCAGGTGATGGGGAGCCGGATATTCGATGATCGTCTATCATCGTACAAGGATGGTTCTGATAGCAGCAGGGGACAATCTTCTATAACAGGGGTAGCTGGAGTCGAAGTTGCCCACTCGAGGGATGGCATTGAGGACCCAACGCGGAGGGCAAGCCGGGTCCAAGAACTCGCTCGCGCTTTCACTTCAGAGTCACGTAACAACCAGGAAGGAAGCTTGTTCATGGCTGAGGACGATCTCAACTCCTGCTTGAATCCTAATGGCCCTAACTTTAATTCTCGTGCATGGGCCCTCGCTATGGTGGACAAAATTGCATCCAGTGGCGGCTCCTTCAGGACCAGTGGTGTTTGCTTCCAGGATATGCGGGTTTCCGGCTACAGCACTGGCACACGGCATCAGAATAACGTTGCGAATCTGTGGCTCGAGGCCGTAGGACTTGTTCGCAAGACGCTTGGCCACAGGAAGAACCGTACTGCAATTCTGCACCAATTCGACGGCGTCGTGCAAAAAGGAGAAATGCTAGTGGTTTTGGGGCCTCTCGGTTCTGGTTGCAGTACCTTCCTCAAAACCTTGTCTGGGGAGACAAATGGCCTCTTTGTCGACGATCAGTCGTATTTTAACTATAAAGGTATAACCGCTCGGGAAATGCACAGCCAGCACCGTGGTGATACCATTTACACCGCTGAGGTTGACGTTCATTTTCCTATGCTCTCTGTTGGAGAAACTCTGACCTTTGCTTCTCGCGCCCGCGCGCCACGGCATTTACCTTCCGGTGTCACTCACTCTATGTTCTCCGATCATCTAAGAGATGTGGTGATGGCAATGTTTGGTATCCACCATACTAAGAACACGCGCGTTGGCAACGAGTACATTCGTGGCATTTCAGGCGGAGAGAGGAAGCGTGTGACGATCTCTGAGGCTGCTCTTTCTGGCGCCCCATTTCAATGCTGGGATAATTCGACACGAGGATTGGATAGCGCGAATGCTATTGAATTCTGCAAGACGCTGAAGCTGCAGACCGAAATCTTTCAAACTGCCTGTGCAGTCTCCATTTACCAAGCGCCGCAAAGCGCTTACGATCTCTTTGACAAAGCCTTGGTCCTTTACGAAGGTCGACAAATCTTCTTCGGGCGGGCGGACCAAGCTCGCCAGTATTTTATAAATATGGGCTTTGAGTGTCCAGAACGTCAAACGACCCCCGACTTTTTAACTTCAATGACCAGTCCACAGGAACGTCTCGTCCGTGCTGGATTTGAAAACAAGGTCCCCAGGACTCCAGATGAATTTGCTGCATTCTGGCGCAACAGTGAGGCTTTCCAGTTGTTGAAGGCCGAGATTGAGACATACAAGGTCGACCACCCGATTGATGGGCCTGATGCTCAGAGATTCCGTGACCTGAAACGAGAGCATCAAGCAAGTGGACAGCGGTCAAAATCCCCGTATACTTTATCCTACAGGCAACAGGTTGGCCTATGCTTATGGCGAGCATATCGACGCTTTGTTGGCGATCCCTCTGTCACAGTTGGTCAGCTGGGTGCGAACATTGTCATGGGGTTAATTGTCTCCTCTATATACTACAACTTGAAACTTACCACAGAAAGCTTCTTTCAGCGTTCTGCACTGCTGTTCTTTGCAGTCCTGATGAATGCTTTTAGCTCTGCTTTAGAAATCCTGACACTTTATGCTCAGCGCGGAATTGTTGAGAAGCAAGATCGATATGCTTTCTATCACCCTTCCGCGGAAGCTGTTGCATCAGCTTTGATGGATATGCCTTATAAGGTTACAAACACCATCATCTTCAATGTTATCATTTGTATGTCCTCTCTATGCGTCTCATGCTGTTTTGTGTCTGCCATCCTGAGCCCAGGAGGAGGAAATGGAAGATCTCGCTGACACATGCAGATTTTATGAGCAATCTTCGCCGTGAGCCTGGCGCATTCTTCTTCTACCTGCTCACGTCTTTCCTTGCTGTATTAGCAATGTCTGGTATTTTCCGTACGATTGCTTCTGCCTCCCGAACCTTATCACAGGCCATGGTACCAGCCGCCGTTCTCATCCTAGCCCTCGTCATGTTCACTGGGTTCGTCATTCCCATCAACTATATGCTGGGCTGGTCTAGGTGGATTAACTACGTTGACCCGATGGCATACATTTTCGAATCCCTCATGATTAACGAGGTTTGCTCCCTTTGGATATTTTTTGGTGTGTCCATCTTGAGGCCTAACTGGAAATAGTTTGCGGGTCGTCAATACCTCTGCACATCATTTATCCCCAGCAATACTGTTTCAGGATATGAAGCCATCAGCAACGATAATCGTATATGCTCGGCAGTTGGTTCTGTTGCAGGAAGCGAGTATGTCCAAGGAACAGACTACATCAAGGCATCCTTTCAGTATGACCCTAGCCATAAATGGCGGAACATTGGGATTGTAATTGGGTTTATCATGTATTTGATTTTTCTCCTATCAAGGTGGTGCTCTCGTATACTAACTGAGATTAGATTCTTCCACGCTCTGTATATGATGTTCACTGAGCTTGTCACAGCCAGGAAATCGGAAGGTGAAGTCCTCGTCTTCCGTCGAGGTCATCAACCTTCACAGTTGAAGGAGACTAAAGGGGATGTCGAGATGGAAATGACTTCTCCTTCAGCTCTCATCGCTGTAGCCGAACAGACTGACGGAAGTATGTCTGATCAGGAGTCTGGTGGCATTCAACAAACAAGAAGCGTCTTCCATTGGAGGTAAGCTAGTTAATGCTCCGCCTTACTCCTATCACGGTACCACGAGATTGCTTAATTATTCTCCACAGCAATGTCTGTTATGACGTCAATATCAAAGGAACAACTCGCCGCATCTTGGATCATGTCGACGGCTGGGTAAAGCCAGGAACTCTCACGGCATTAATGGGTGTATCGGGCGCTGGCAAAACAACCCTTCTTGACTGCTTGGCCGATAGAGTGTCAACGGGAGTTATCACAGGTGATATGCTAGTTGACGGTCATCCCCGCACTGCATCATTCCAGCGAAAAACTGGTTATGTACAGCAGCAAGACCTACATCTGGAAACCACAACGGTTCGAGAAGCTCTTAATTTCAGTGCACTCTTACGTCAGCCAGCACATGCTTCTCGGGAAGAAAAGCTTGCCTATGTGGATGAAGTGATCAAGCTCCTGGGTATGGAAGAGTACGCTGATGCTGTTGTTGGTATTCCGGGGGAAGGTCTCAATGTCGAACAGCGCAAGAGACTGACCATTGGTGTTGAGCTTGCAGCTAAGCCCCCATTGCTGGTCTTTGTTGATGAGCCTACATCCGGCCTCGACAGCCAGACTTCCTGGGCTATTCTTGATCTGCTCCAAAAGCTCACACAAAGTGGACAGGCCATCCTCTGTACCATCCATCAGCCTTCATCTATGCTCTTTCAGCGCTTCGACCGGCTGCTGTTGCTGGCCAGTGGTGGAAGAACTGTTTACTTTGGTGACATTGGCAAGAACTCTAAGCACATGATATCATACTTTGAACGGATGGGCGCACCTCCTTGCCCGCCCGGCGCCAACCCCGCAGAATGGATGCTGGAAGCAATTGGAGCCGTTCCTGGCTCAGCCAGTAAGATTGACTGGCATGCGGCCTGGCGTGAGAGTTCAGAATTTCAGGCCGTCCAAAATGAGCTCCAACAGTTGCAAACCAACAGAAGAGGCGCTCAGGATCCAGTTGAAACCCATGAAAGTTTAACTGAATTTGCGGCTCCATTCGGCTTGCAACTTTCAGAGGTCACCCATCGGGTTTTCCAACAATACTGGCGTACTCCCTCTTACATATACTCGAAGGCCTCCCTCGTCACTTTGGTATCTGCCTTCATAGGTAAGTGCTAATTATGGTCCAGCATCCTTCCATACCAAATGCAACATGCTAAAGAAATCATGTGCAGGGTTCTCATTTTTCAAGGCCCCTAATACCGTCCAAGGGCATCAAAATCAGATGTTTGCTATTTTCAATCTCCTTACAATATTCGGCCAACTTGTGCAACAGACAATGCCATATTTCGTCATCCAAAGGTCGCTCTATGAGGTCCGTGAGCGTCCCTCTAAGGTTTATTCCTGGAAGGCTTTCATGTTTTCTCAAATACTCGTGGAAATTCCCTGGAATACATTGATGGCAGTGATCATGTTCGTTTGCTTCTACTACCCAATCGGGCTCAACCAAAATGCCGAACCAGCTCATCAGACCACGGAGCGAGGTGGACTGTTCTTCCTCTTCCTTTGGGCATTCATGATGTTTACTTGCACATTCACCGACTTTATCATCGCTGGCCTCGAAACCGCAGAGGCTGGTGGCAATGTGGCCAACTTACTGTTCATGCTTTGTCTGATCTTTTGTGGCGTCCTAGCTAGCCCGAGCACTTTCCCGCACTTCTGGATCTTCATGTACCGCGTGTCACCATTCACGTATATGGTCCAAGGGATGATGACGACCGCGGTCGCGAATACGGATGTTGTTTGTGCCTCTAATGAGCTACTGCATTTTGCACCACCTACAGGACAGACTTACGGCCAGTATATGCAAGACTATATCAATGCTGCAGGCGGATATTTGCAGGACTATGATGCGCGAGATGAATGCACATACTGCACTATTGGACAGACCAATCTCTACCTGAAGAGTGTTAATGCTTTCTATGATCAACGGTGGAGAAACTTTGGTATCTTCATCGTTTAAATTGCTGTCAACATCGGTGGGGCGCTATTCATGTATTGGTTGACCAGGGTGCCAAAGAAACCATTCCATGCAAAAAAGACAAAATAGCGTTCTGAAGGGAGGTGCGGGAAGGGAGGGAGGTATAATACCTTAGCTAAGCGAGAGTTCAGGGAGACCGGTTTTTGAACACGAATCTTTTTTGAACTCACACCACCGTCGGGTTGTGACCATTTCCTGATTCCTCGGACAACTGTGAAGCTATGCAATTACAGTATGGGCTTGTACGCATTGATGGAGCCTAGATAAGCAAGGGGAACCAATCCTGTTGAGATGACTGAATTGATTGAAGAAAGAAAGATAAGATAGGCGTGGGGCAGGTACAAAATACCGAGGCGATCAATGAAGAGGAGGTGGAACAACGAGCTAGAAACATGTTACGGTGGCTATCAATAGAGGGTAGCTCACGCTGGCTAGTCATCCTTGACAATATCGATCAATACTCTCCCGGCAATAGCGTGGCTGGTGATGGATATGATATCAATAAAATTCCGTATTCGGAGGCTGAATGAGTAGATGCGAAACAATCATATAATGATGTCCGGTTTTCGTTGTGATGTAAGATGAAGTCCAGTAAGAGCCAATTTGGGTTACTTGTGAGGAGGTCACATTTAGCAGGACAGGGAGCGCAGGCTAAAGTTTTGTCAAGAAAATAGGTCCACTGGTATTGTCCAGCTAGTAACTAGCCAGATTTGGTTAGATTCCTCTCACTTCACACCGCCTCACACACCTTCATGTGTCCCCTTTCCTATGTTAGATAACCACCACCAATTTACACATCTTCGATCCTATTCGCTCTGTCGCATACTAGTCTATACTGTTTTAGCTTGCTCTGACAAGTTTGTTAGCTGTGTAAGGCTGACGTAATGCAGACAATCTTACATCTTCCACATCTTCTGGCAGCAGAGCATCCGGTGAGAATATAAAACCTCGGTTTGTATGGCCTTGGCAAACGAAGGCAAACGAGAAAAACAGAAGCGTAATCAATAAAAACATTTTCCTCTGCCACTGTTTGTGGTGGTTCAACTATATTAGCTCGATGCTTTTTCCAGGAAAGAGGATCAGCGACAATAAAATATTATATGCAGTTTGTAGGACAGTTGCCCGCCGGAAGGTCGCGGATGAATCCCCTGATAATGTGGCATAAGTTATCCCCTTCACCGTCACGGGAAGCCATTTTAGCGCATACCAGTTAGTGTATTATACTAACCAATCAACTAGCAGGATATAATATACGATCCTTCATTGGTTATAATAGCTCCACTACCTACCACGCGTGTTTCTCACCACGCGTTTCTACCCCTCAAAACAAGAAGCCCTCACCAATTCACCAATCCAACCACTAATCACACTATCTATCTATCTATCTATCTATCTATCTACTATGGCAAAGAAGAAATCGACTACATCTATACCTAAGCGTAAGCTTGACGAGATTCTCGCTGAATTACCTACCAAAGACGAGCTCTCTAGCCGGCTACAGCTACTAGTCCCAACCTCCCAACCTCCACGCCTACAGCTACCTGATGGGCTAGACCTAGAGAGTCCATACGCAATCTTTACACTCTTTATTAGCGAAGAGATCTTTGAATATTTCAGCCATTCTACCAATCAATACGCACAGCCAGCCAGAGATTCAACCGATTCAACTACTACCGGCCGCTCTTGGAAGGACACTACACCGGCCGAGATTAAGGTCTTCTTTGGTATCCTTATCTATATGGGTATCAACCAATCAACTAGTGTTGATCAGTATTGGAAGCGGAACCTACAAGAAGGACCAGTACATACACCTTCGCTCTATATGGCCCTTACGCGATTTGAACAGATCAAACGTTATCTACACGTCAACCGACCAGATAATCCAATGGCTACTAAGCAGTGGTGGTATAAGATCGAGCCATTAGCTTCATCCTTCGAGAAGGCAAGCCAACGGTACTATCGACCAGGTTCTAATATCTCTATTGATGAGACGATGATTCGTTGCTTTGGAAGAACAAATCATAGTGTCAAGATGCCAAATAAGCCAATTGAGAAAGGATATAAGATCTTTGTCCTTGCAGAGCATGGCTATATATGGACGTTCACCTGGACTAGCCGTATATGGGGGATTGCGGATCTATTCAAAGTTAATGGGCTTAGCCCTACTGGATCGATGGTTTTACAGATGATCAAGAGGCTTCCTGGCCTAGCCAATTCGATGGCTAATCAACCTGGCCATCAACCTGGCCATCAACCTGGCAATCAACCTGGCAATCAACCTGGCCATCAACCTGGCCATTAACCTAGCGATCCTCTAGCTAATTCAACCGGCGATCTTATAGCTAATTCAACGGCTAGCACGCCAGCAGAGTATATTGTCTATATGGATAATTACTTCACGTCGGTCGCCCTTTTTAAAGAGCTTAGAGATCTACAGTGTGGCGCTTGTGGTACTACACGCCCTCAGAATGGGATACCTTCTCAGCTTATTGAGCTAAAGGACTATATAAAGGTAATCCAATGGGGTACTTTATATAGATCTGAAGCTCAGGGAGTTCTCTGTCTTGCATGGCAGGATAATAATATAGTATTACTACTATCTACTATCCATTCGCCAGAGCTATTCATCCCTACTAAGCGGAAGCGGCCATCAACAACCTCTACCAACGCAAAAGTTGCGCGTCTTCCTTTTGGCGATGAGATTCTAAAGGAGCTCTAGATTCCTATTTCTATCAACGACTACAATCACTATATGGGTGGCGTAGATATTGCAAATCAATACCGAGCTACCTATGAGACTCATCAACGAAGCGAGCGTAATTGGTTACCTCTTCTATTCTTCTTTATTGACGCTGCGATTGTTAATGCGTGGCGTCTTCAATATCTCTATAAGAAGCAGGAAGGTAGTAGGCTACCTACCCACATAGGTTTCCGCCAGAAGCTCTATCAAGAGCTCTTTACCTTTGGTCTACCACCAAAACCATCGCCCAAACCAGGTATAAATCACCGGCGAGTTCAATTAGCACGAAGGGCTTGTATTTGGTGTCAGTATAATAGAGAGAAGGGCAAAGGGGGTCAACAGGCTAAGCGAACAACCTCTGGTTGCCTACATTGTGACGTGGCTCTATGTATAAAAGGGCCTTGTTGGGATGAATTTCATAGTCCCTAATTAGGTTATATTAATACACTAGATTCTGATTACCGGATCGTTACCACAGCTAGCCAATTATAACGCGTTAATACAATATATCGGTAAAGTGCGCTAAAATGGCTTCCCGTGACGGTGAAGGGGATAGGCTCGATTTGAGATATGTCAAAGCGAGCTGAATCGGTATAGACTAGTATGCATATGGACGAATGAGAACTACCGGAACCATCAGAAAAGAGTGATTGATTAAAAGAAGGAAACTATTCAAACGAATGGGAAAAGGGGCAGGTTGAGCTGCCCCATGGCGGTGTAACCGAGTATTCGAGTGACAATACCGATGTCGAGGTGTTACCCGCATATTACATACAAACACACAGGAAATACAGTGGCACCGCAAAAGTTTCCGACAACCCTTTACTTACATAACATTCTGCCGTCTATAAACAATTCCAGATTTCCAACATTATCCCCAAGTTTGAGGCAAAACAATTGCTGATCTCTAATTGTACATTTCATCTGGGAGGATTAAAGGTAAAAGAAAGGAATTCTACCTTTCCCATTAGTGTTTATCATAGCTAGTAATTTCTACTGAAGGCGGTGTAGGTCAGGCGGTGAACGGGGGTGGCCGGAAACTTTTGCGGTGCCACTGTATGGGCTAGTTATGGACCAATCCCAGGTCACTGTAATAAATCTCTCCACTTTTCCACGACATTATATTAGGCGTATGAAAAGAGAGCCGATGGAATTCCATGGAACTCTATGGTGGATCTCTGCAAATTATGTGGAAGGCCACCTGGCACAACGTAACTTATGATCTGCTGGGAGCCTCCTTTTGTGCGGCGTGTGCTTGTCATCACTTGCGAGGGTGTCTCTTTGGCCCAGAGAACCTCAACAAGTGATACAGTATTAGCGGCCAACGACCATCCTGACCAGTTGGCAGTTGTTTGCAGGCGAACAACACCCTCAACGGCTCTTGATGGTGTAAGCCTCAACTAACAATCACTAACCCTTAGTCGTTACAGTAGGCCCAAAAAATGACACCCAGTTCTCTCGTTAGCCATGATAAATATGGCGTTCAACAAAGCATGGCGCTTGACCCCATGAGGCGATATATCCACTATATACACCAACACCTAGCAACTTACATTGGTCACCCGCCTCCCCGTCCAACATAAGCTGCACCAATATCGATCCCATCTTCCCTATCGGATTACGCCCCTCCACACAAACTGCTTCGCAAAAGAATAGTGTTCCGTTACTCCAGTTCGGTGACTGGGAGGAAGGTCGAACATATGAGGATTGACCGAGTGGAAGGTCACTCTCAATAACAGGACGGTGGCGAAAGGTACAGGACAAGATCTGGTTCTAGCCCCTCGATTTCACTGGAGGCTCTTTTTGCATCCAAAGCTCATTAAGCTAGTTAACTATACGAAAGTACCCACATCGAAAACTTGAATCGGATGACACGTCTGTTGTCGTATCCGCCATTTGGCAGAAGCGCCTCACTCTAAGGTTTGATGGAACCGACATTGATTGGACCTCTATAGAAAAGCAGCTCCCCGTTACATGACCCTTAGTCTCCCCTGGTAGGTGAAGTCATCCATACCTTTTATATTCCTATGAAAATCTAGACCGTTTCAATGCAAAAACCAATAAATGCCATTACGAGAGTCTTTAACCTAGGTACTATCGGGATGGAGACCGTCTAGATTTCATCAAAATTTAAATGCCTGAGGCAGTGGCGAAGATCAGAGACAATGACGTTGGGTTTTGACGTTTGCGGTATCGAAGGGCTTCGAAGCTGACACGCCTACCAGATGAACCCGATGACCAACGTCAAGACGTCAATCCCGGTGAAACTAATTAAATATAAAATTCTTGATTCTAAAGAGTCTAGATATTGAAGCTAGTGTATATCAAGTCTGATCATTTTTATTATTAGGCCTTTTCACTAATCCTCAAGTCTCGCATTAGCCTCTCTCCACTTCTCTCCCGCTTTTCAACGATATAGGAGACATATCTTTCCGACGTATTCTCATTTGATCCTTCGCAACCCAGAGAGTTCCTCACGAAAATTAGCAACCATGACGTCCTCTAGCACCGAACAAGCGCCGGTCAAACTTCTTTCGATAGATGGCGGGGGGGTTCGGGGGCTTTCTGCCTTGGTACTCTTGGAGCAGCTGATGGATTTATCAAATAACGAGCGAGAAAAACGGAACCTCCGGCCTCAGGAACCATGGGAGATGTTTGATATGATTGGGGGTACTAGCACAGGAGGGTTAGTTTCCCTTGTGTAGCTTCTCCACTGGAGCAGAACTAAATAGCCTTCAGCCTAATTGCGGTTATGCTTGGACGATTGCGAATGTCCATCAAAGACTGCAAGGACGCATACGTGAATCTCGCAGAACGTGCCTTCACAGAGATGAATTTTATAGATCGAGTGAAGGGTACTATCAATGTCGGACCTCGATTTGAAACTCAGCCTCTGGAGGATGCTATCAAAGGAATTATTGGTGACAAATGGGCAACAAGCCTCCTTAAAGAAGATCCCAAGAACATTGACTGTCGAGTGTAAGCTGTTTGCCAGTTTATTTCGAAAAGGCTACCAGTACTAACGACCTATAGCTTTGTCGTAGCTCACCTTCAACAAACCAATGAAGTGGCCATATTGAGAAGCTACCGAAACTTGCTTCGACCGAAGGCTGAGTAAGAAATACTCCCAGCTCTTTAAATTTGTTGTCTATCGCGGCAATGCTGATCATTGTTATGTGCTCAGGCTCGAAACAATGCATATCTGGCAAGCCTGCCGGGCGACATCAGCAGCGCTAACCTACTTTGAGCCGATCGAGGTCGATGGCACCACATACTCTGATGGTGGCCTTCTATATAATAACCCTGTCCAACTTGTTCATATTGAGGCAGGTGAAGTGTTTGAGGGAAGAGACCAACTCATCGTCAGTGTGGGCACTGGCCTTGAGAAAATTATGAAATTCCAACCGTCTCTTGCCACGGTCGCCACAGACTTAGCACGTCTCGCATCGGAAACAGAAAGAACTGCCGATGATTTCTTCCGGAAGGATGGGGCAAAGGCTGCGGAGGCTGGCAGGTATTTTCGTTTCGATGTACCTGGGCTTGGCGATATAGGACTCGAGGAGTCCAAGAAGCTGCGTGACATAAAGAGGCTGACCGAGCGCTATATAAACTATGGGGAAGTGGGGCGTAAGATCTATCGGTGTGCTAAGGAAGTCGCAGGTGCGTATGCTCTGTTTAAAGTTCCCATGGTCCCTAAAGCCTCCACAAATAAAGATTCAAGCTCTCAGGACGAGATTCTGAATGAACGATTTCGGAAGTTGAAAGCTCCTCCCCCGATGTCGAGCCGAATCCAGACCCGAACACCGACCCGGGATACGTCTCCGTTCTCTACGGCGGTTTCCGAGGGCGCGCAGGCTCTTTCCGGATGTCGCTAGCGGACATCGAAAGTGACAAGCAGCTCTTCCTTCAGATGCGTGCAGCATATGCCAAGCGGCAGCACCGCCTGTGGAGGAGAGACTTGCCACATCCATGGACGATGGCTTGGCTCTCTTGGTTCGATGTGAAGCGACTTGAATTCGTCGAGGTAGTTCAGCGCTAGTCCAGATCCGTTCTGGAGATACTAACGCATATAGTATACCATTCACCGCGATTCAATAGTATCTATCCTACGGACCTACAAACGATTTGCCAATTCCTAGGCTACTCTCGAATGATGTACGATTATTCGCCTGGCACCACCCATCGGAAACCGACTCCACAAGATGCGTCTCAGAGCTACGTGCTGTCCTTGCTAGGAGGCCACACTGGGGCATACTCATAGTTGAGGAGGTCGATATAATCAAATTCTCATTCAGCATGATAATAACCATAGGACTTTCGTGCTTGGTCGGCATGGTCGCTGATGAGTGTGGACGCACGACTGGCGGGTCGCTTCGAGCAAGCTTTATCGTTATGTTTGCGTCAGTGCTATTGCTTGGAGTGGCTCCCCATCCGGCCATGACAGACGTGATACGAGATACGTTAACAACGGGGAGGATATTGGTTTTCGTTTTCGGTGTCTTAGCCACCGCGATGACGGATGCGCTTGCGTTCACCGATACGATAAGTGAATCGCGGCGGCGAAGCTTGACTGCCTTAACTGCCATTTCGCTTTTCGTTGGATTATTCTATGAACCACTGAGACTTTGGCAAGTTGTTCAGAGGCTTTTAAGGCCGCAGCCGAGTGCCGGATACAGGTGACTGGAGTGGCGATGTGTAAGAAAATTCTTGATCACTCCTCATCTTCATGAATTAATATACTTAGACATGCGGGGATCTTCTCTACGGCGACTTTAAGGAAACAACGCCTGGATCGATTGATAGACTAGCGGCAAGGTTAAGCGAGCACTCTGGACGAGAGTCGCAGCGTGCAGCGTCAACATCACGACAAACCTCAACAAAAGCGCATTCGAGACTTACCCCTTCGCTCGTGGGCTGGAACTTGCCACAAAGTGGCAGGAATAGTGACTCGAATGACCCAGAAAACCGTGCGACAACCGGGGATCCTTCCGCTTCCAACTCTCCACAGCGACAAGCTCTTCAGCTCTGCATAGAGACTGCAAAATTCACATTAGAGCTGAGCGAACTTGATTTAGACCAACCCATTAGTGACGGACTGCTGTTCGAAAAGATCCGGGAAAAGTACGAGCGTGCCCGCCATTCACTGTTCCCAATGCGATTGCGGTTCAGAAAACCTGAGAAGGCGATATTTATGAAGGCAAGTTGCATAAGCTTAACATACCCTCGAGTTCAATTATCTCTCAATCTGACTTTTTTTACACAGTTCCGGCTCGGAAAAAGACCACTTGTTTCGTCAATCGCCGGCTCAATAGACACGCCTTCCATTGGCTTCTGCTTTACTATGTTATGCTATCAATATAATTTTTGTATCACATAACCTGCCTCGCCGTGGAGATTATATTACTGAATTGAGTGTCATTTCTTGAATCGATGAAGCCAGCCAGAACTAAATGAAGGTTCAGGAAGATATTTATATTATGGAAAGGATCACCAGGTTTCATGGGCTTTCTCGACCCCTTCGTCACCATACCCCTAGCTTCAAGCTCTTGCCAAGTGCCACCTCGCTTTCGATATGACGTGGTCGTGGTTGTGGAAGGTTCCGTGGCTCATCATGGTGTTTGAATCGATCACAGAGAGATTCAGAGACGGTAGATTGGCTGATGTGATGGTGGAATTGGTTGTTGATCTTAGGGATCTTCTGTCAGGAGTTTCCTACTTTGGATGAACTATGGCGATACGGATCATCGGACATGATTGTGCAGGATTGGGTATGGATACCCCGCCGATTGGGCATCGATTTGGCACTACTTTTGCTATATCAAGCGGGGACATCCTGTATCTACTTCTGATACCTCAAGGATCAGTCTTGTATCCAATCTAGTCAGCATCCTTGGTCCTATCTCTGCCATCATTCGGTTACCCCCCTTACCTAGTCGACAAGCTGATATGCCCTGTTCCATATATCGTAACAAGATCAGCTATAAGGAAAGACACACATGAGTTTGCAGTATTATAGAATTATCCGCGTATCCTGTCCATTGTCTGCTTCTGAATGGTAGCTGTGAAAGTCGTGATGTTATGCTTGTTTTGACTAAGCAGTCTCCACATTGTTCGAGAGGACTGAGAAAATAGAGCCGTTTCCCCCAAACCACAGACGATGATTATTTGTGATATCTAAGACCGATATCAGTGATCAAGAAATTCACGAAATATTATGATAGGATGGAGGATGTAACAAGGGTGGTACGGATAGATCCAAATGCATTATCGTGATACCACAGTGCAAGCCAATTAGATTGCATCGCTGGCGTTTACTGATGTAATGGCTAGCCACGGAGCGTTCTGGGCTCGGCACTTTCGAGATATGCATAAAGTCGTTCGATTACAGTTTTCCATGGTTTTCCAGAGGCCCGATTTGGCTTTTGGCAGAGATTACCACGCCACGCAATTCGTATATATTGAATAGGAGTTTAAGGTTCATTGCGAAGTTTGGTTGTCCCAGAACCAAAATTCTACATGGCCGAGACCAGAACCGTACCAATAAAAATAGGTTCAAAGGTACTGCCAAGCTGCCAAGGCGATCTTCACAATTATGGATCTAAGAAATGCCTATGGATTAATCTGACCTAGGTTGGGCTTCTCCGCCCCGCCTCCTCCGTGGAACTCTCGGCATAAATCCAGTAATAGACCATGCTATGTTCGTGTTTAGCAGCATCATATGATAGGACATCTCACAGCCGGCTTAATGATGCAGAAAGAAAGAATTGTGATGGTTTTCTTTCTACTGTTGGATGGTAACTTTGCAGCGATGGAACTATTTTTCGTAAAGATGTTTAGCACTATGCATGCAAATCAGTAGAGGCGGATTACCCTCACACGATAGTGAGGCACATGCCTACCCTTCAGGGTAACAAGAGGAACAGATACTGCTGAGACTTCCGCATGCGGCTACAACATAAGTCATGTGAGTGATATAAAATTAAAGAACGGGGGGGTTGAAAACACCTGTCATTCGTCGGAGTGTAGGTTGACGTAACGACTGCGCTTTTAGTTATCTTGCTCTCTTTGCCGCATTAGGTGGTCTTCTGCCACAGAACTGCCGCAGGTTAATGCGAATGGTGATTTAACACGGAGCTATCTACTCATCTTCTGGTAGAGCAGAGACCACCAAGTTGATCAATAAAAGGCCAAGAGGAGCGCTGAGAAAGAGAATAGAGAAAGAGTATAAGCAAGTAGCTGTGAGTCTGAAGGGACAGCGGATGTTGAAGAATGCATTTAGCGTGAAGGTACCCGCAAATGTTGAAATGGGCAAAACTATATCTGCTACATATAGGAGAGCCTCTTTCTCCCCTTTTTCCACTCATTGTTTGACAGTTGAGTATCCTGGGGAGCGTGTAGCGGCTGAGCGACGTGTGGCGTCCGAGTCAACCCATATGACTCAGTATTTGTTAACATTTGCGAAGAGTGAGTTCTGTTTTCAAATTCTGCAAACAGTTGGAAAGATGATGTGTAATCTGGAATTGAAAGAAAAGTGGTCCTTAATTAAGCTGAGCAAATTAGGTCAATTTCAGAGCAGTCTAGAACTTAGTAGTTTATGATGACGAAACAGAACCAGTTGACATTGGAAAGATACGGCTAGAATCCAGACAAGGTTAGAGGTTACGCTAAAAGTATACTTCCATTTCCTACATAGAATGCCTAGAATACCATATTTTTGTTCAACCAACGCTTTACGACAGGTGTGAGTTGAGTTTATTGACCTCCATATTCAGCTGATAACCTTATTAGAATTCTTGGCCCAATTGAGATGATGTCATCCAACTTCTAACTCGGCTTGTTGACTCTTGACAGATGCCTGATGCTCCGCTGACGTACGTTGCTTCTGTGACCTACTAAGCTGAATGACATATGTCAAGGCTTGCCATTTTTCACCACTGAGATATGTACATTTAAATATGGTCGCAATTTTCTCATCTCTCATATTGTGATGTTTTCCATTCTACGTCGAATCATTACCAGGGGATTCGAAGATACCACTCGTCATCACTGATACAGACTAGGCTCGGTTCGCAACTGTCTTTCTGCCCGCCAAGGGTCAGCTTGCGCGTAGGTCACAATTCCCCCTAGTGATTTCTACTCGGACAATTGGTGTCAATATTTTATCAACCGATCAAGCAGCCTCTTTACCTCTTTCGCATGTGCGGAAGGTGGCCTGGCTGCCATGGTCTAATTGCACTTCTCCTAGGCTGAATGCCGGAAGCGGAATTCTCTCATCCAATGGCAGGCGGGGTAAAAAGTTTGTATACTGCGGAAGTTAAGTTGGCATGGGAATCTAGAATGAACACTAACAGAACCCAAAATATGATTCTCGTTGACCCAAGGAGGAGTATAAATCAGCCAGCTCCACCTTTCCTCAGTAACGGCTCTGCATGAGGACATGCAAAAGTTGTTCTTGCCTACTAATTATATTACTAAGAAGTAGGATGGTTGGCCCTTGGTATTTTAATTCAAAAATTACATACTCCACCGACTGGTTAAGATCACGTCCCGAGGGCAGCGAAATAATTTACGTCATAATTAACAAGTACAATCCCTAGAATTAAAATCTAGACCTTCACATGATTGTTCGTCGAACTCAGTCCGAGTGGCTCTCAAATGGATGTCACCTAATTGGCGCTGCTGAGCTCTGTCACTGAATATATGTGGCTTGCTGACGCGGGAACTGTGAGCAAAAGAGAATTATATCTCTCTCAGACAAAGGAGATTTTTGGTCACACTTTCACTTTATATTGCTATAGCGTGCAGCAATACAATACCAGTCATTATGTCTCTCAGATCCAACGGTGAGAGCGATGAGGTTACCGCTCAACAGACAATCCAAGGCTGGCTCGAAGATATCGGAAGTCAACTCGGTCGCATTCCCGAGGATATAAGCGTGCTGCAAGGCCTCGTAGGGGCTACATTGACCCGTGGGACGGTCGATGACCGAAAGTGAGTGCTACTATTGAGCCCGAAATTCGACAATGGATGTTACAAACGCTGACGCACTTGGATAGATACTTAGTATGTGTCCTCGCCGTTCACGTCTCCGTCACCGGCTGATCTTATTGCCTTGTAGCTAGAAAAGATTATCCAGCTCGCCTGCTCGTTGCCGCACGGATCCCCGGGCGAGAAGAAACTGACAGGAGAATTACTCGATAATCTCTGGAATAATCTAAGGCACCCGCCTCTTTCGTATATGGGTGATGACTGGAGGTATCGTACTGCCGATGGATCAAACAATGTAGGGCCATCTCCAGAAGCTCCCCAGTTTGGTAGCTATGTATCTCACCGCCATCTCCCTTTAGAACATTCTATACCCAGACTTGGGCAAGGCAGGATCTGCATATGCCCGAAGCGTTGTGCCGCAGCATGCTCCACCAGCCGCCCTTCCAGATCCAGCCTCCATCTTTGATGGTATGAAACTTGAAAACTCTGTTTCGTTATGGCTATACAAGTGCTAAGACTTTCCCAGCTCTATTTGCTCGGAAAGGACCTGCTCGTGAGCACCCAGCGAAGTTCTCAAGTTTGGCAATTGCCCTAGCGACGATTATCATACATGATATCTTCCGCACGGATGATGTGGACCCTAGCAAGCATGCTTCCTCGGCCTATCTGGATCTCGGCCCTCTTTACGGCCACAATGCTGAGCAACAGAAGACCATCCGTACGTTTCAGGATGGCAAGATCAAGCCCGATGCATTCGCAGAACCTCGACTTTTGGGACAGCCGCCAGGGGTTTGTGCTCTCATCGTCTCCTTCAATCGATTCCACAATTATGTGGTCCAGCAACTGGCGTTGATAAATGAAGCTGGAAGATTTAGTATTCCGGTGACCGTTGACCCTCAGAATATAACCACATATGAGAAGGCCTTGGCAAAACGTGATAACGATCTTTTCCAAACCGGAAGGCTGTAGGTTCTCATTCTCTCTGGAGTTATTTTCCAGAATGAACAATGCTGATACCAGTTTTTATAGTGTTACTTGTGGACTCTACGTCAATATAATTCTCCACGATTATGTGAGAGTTATTCTCAATTTGAACAGGTTGGTGGACAAGGCGAGGTACCGTGGTTGGCGGAAACTGTACTAACTTTCCACGTTTTCAACAGATCAACTACTCAGTGGAACCTTGATCCTCGTGTTGACTCGGTCAATATTTTTGACCCCGAAGGCACCCCGAAGGGTGTTGGCAATCAGGTCAGCATTGAGTTTAATCTGATATATCGATGGCATGCTACCGTCAGCGATAAAAATGCGAAATGGGTTGAACGTTTCTTCGATAAAGTGTTCCCAGGCATTGACCCGGAGACGATGACGCAGGCGGAGCTCCTGAATGGCCTAAAAGCCTGGGGCCATGGCATTGATTCCGACCCAGGTAAATGGACATTTGGTGGGTTGCAGCGTACAGCTACTGGTGATTTTGATGACGGTAGCCTCGTCAAACTATTGACAGAGGAGACCGAGGATGTGGCCGGCGCATTCGGCGCCCGAAACGTAAGTTAAACGCCCAGGAATCGACTAGATATTCTCTTAACTGATTTCTTTTATAGGTTCCTGCCATTCTGAAGGCTGTCGATGTGCTTGGTATTAACCAAGGCCGCGCCTGGGGAGCAGCAAGCCTGAATGAAGTGCGCAAATTTTTCAACCTCAAGCCCCATGAAACGTTCTTGGAGATCAACCCCGACCCCGATGTGGCCGCCTCATTGGAAGCCCTTTATTCGCATCCGGACAATGTTGAGCTGTATCCTGGGGTTTCAGTAGAGGATACCAAGCCTCCGCTGGTTCCGGGGTCTGGGCTTTGCAGCGGCTTGACCATTGCCAAGGCCATCCTTTCGGATGCTGTTGCCTTGGTTCGGGGTGACAGGCGAGTTCAACATGCCCAAATGTTATGGCAATCGCTAATTCTGTCACAGATTCTATTCGGTAGACAACAGTCCGGCGAATCTCACCGCATTTGGATCGGCCCTGGTTGCCTCCGATCTCGATGTAGGTGCTGGGACGGTCATTTACAAACTTTTCATGCATGCCTACCCAGGATGGTACCGCGGTGATTCCGTGTATTCCCTGTTCCCATTAACTATCCCCAGTGAAAACCGGAAGATTGCGAAGGACCTGGGTAGGGAGAGTTACTATACCTACGATCCGCCCAGCTTTGCGCCTCAACCAATACCCGTGAGGACTTGGCAAGGCGTGGTTGATATCCTCAAGGATCAGGTGAACTATAAGGTCCCTTGTATGTTTTGAGAACCCCTGTAACTGTCTTTCACAACGTCGCTAAACAAACAAAGGGAGACCCCACGTTTACGAACTGATCCATCACGATTGGGTAGGACAGCCCGGTCCGAAATTTCCAATCTTGAACTAATTTGATTCTCTCCAGATGCTCAGCGGAGACAAACCATGGAATGCGGAGCAGAAGAGCTACTGCCAGCATGCCCTTTACGGACCCTCCAAAGGGCTCGACCAGATTCGTGACTATTATAGAATTGTGACCGAAAAGCTTATCCGCGAAAAGAGCAACAAGATGCGCAATACCTACCAGCTCGACGCTGTCCGTGATGTCGGAAATCTGTCGCACTCTATCGTTGTCGCACGGATCTTCAATATCCCAATTAAAGAAAATGGCGGCGTGGGCACCGTGACGGCCAGGCAACTTTATGACGCGATGGCGGCGGTCTTTGCATATACCTTCCTCGATATCGATCCGGCAAAAACTCAACAGCTCAAGGTTGCTGCCAAAACAGCCACCACGATTTTGCAAAATCTCATCACGCCGGCAGTTGAGGCTGTGAAAACCGAACGGTTCCACATGTTGAAAGACATAATCGGGATCAATGCAGACGAATCGACGCTGCCCGACTATGGCACCCACTTGGTCCAACGGTTGTTCGAGGGCGGCATGAGCCTCGACGAGCTTATCTGGACGATTGTTCCAACGGCATCTGCCGCAAGCCCAATTCAAAGCCAAGCGGTAAGTCTGTATTACCAAGTCTCTTGGTTCGATCGACGAATGTTCAGGCTTCTGACGGATGAATGAAACAGTTCGCGCGCCTCCTGGACTTTTATCTGTCGGAGAACAAAGGCCATTGGGCAGAGATTCAAAAGATTGCCCACCAGGATACCCCGGAGGCATTCGAGAAGCTGCGTAAGTACGCTCTAGAAGGCTTGCGCCTAGCCACGCCTGCATTCGGAGTTCTTCGAGCCGTGAACATTGAGAACGCCATGGTCGTCGATGGGGAGAGGCAAATTCCAGTGAAAAGGGGCGATACTATTTTTGCCGACTTCGTCACCGCCAATGTAGACGCAAAAGCCTTCCCAGACCCGCTGGAGATAAAACTTGACCGCCCTGATAGCGCCTACATTCACCAAGGATATGGTGGACACACGTGCCTCGGTCGACCTATCGTCATGATTTCTATGGCAGTGCAATTGGGTGCCTTTGCCAGGCTGAAGAACTTACGTCGCGCTCCAGGGCCCGCTGGACAACTGAAGGCTACAACTGTCAACGGGGCCTTCCAGGTATACATGAATGAGGACTGGTCGAATTGGACGCCCTTCCCTGCCAATATGAATGTTCAATTCGACGGATTTTAAGGGGGCCGTTGGCTCATGCGATGATATTTAGCTGTTGTCCGAACTGAAGGGAGATGGGTTGACTAAGCGAAAGGCCATTGAGAAGGGAATTGATAGGGACACCACAAATTGAGAAGCACATGATTTCTTATGTAACCAGACTGCTCATCTAACTAATTAGTTAGTTAACTATGGTAAAATATTGACTTTTGTGTGGGAATTCGTTTAGTCAAACCAAGCATGCTCAGTTCTGACAATAGTTATTCGTGTTTAAGTTTTAGTTCAAACTCTAGTTCAAACCCGCGCTTCACGTCCGGCGGGTCAACCATTCACCCGCCGGGGTAAGGTGACTGTTTGGTATAACATACCCATGGGAATCGGGATGAGATCCCGTCCCGTTCGAAATAGGGATATAATTTAGCATTTCTATGGGAATAGGAATGGCATGGGAACGCCAAGATTTTCCCAATGGGATCCCGATTCTAGGCTTCTAACTGCATCCCAGAAAAGGGAAACTCCGACATTCCCGTCCTTATGGGATAATCCCAGATGGTAAGTCGGGAGCCGAACGGGACAAAGAAATGATAAAGGTGAGACTAGGAGACGATAATGTGAGTCTTGGCCCTTCAGTGCAAGGCTTTCACTTGTGGGATAGATCTATGATCGCATCCAAAAGAACCGTCATGCAGAAGGCCGGGATGCCTGCTGCTTCCATAACTGAAATTTAAACTTGCCTTCAAAACATCACACCAGTTTACGTTTGAAGTTGGGACCCAGCTGGGTTCACCAATCAATCGAGACTGGGGTGACCCTGTGGTAAGAATCGGAGGTTTGGGACAAGAGGAAGCGTTCCAGATCACAGCCTCCAAGTGGTTAGTGGACAGTGGAAGTGGCGAAAATCAGATCTCCAAGACCGCGAGTGACCTTATCAGATAGTGCCAATACTTCATTGGGTAGGCCGATTGTAGAAGACTTTCGACGGTTGCCAGACAAATCGATCTGAGATCGCTTCTGGACAGTCCGAAACACGTCATAGACCAGATCTTTGAAAAGTCAGTAGTAAATAGGTCCGGTATGTGAGTTAGGTGAACAGTCTTTCAGGTTTTCCTGGACCGCCTTTGTCCCGTGTTTGAACCCGATGAACCTCAAAGTTTTGGAGTGGGACTCATAATGTCCAAAACCAGATTTTTGGGGTGAGCATGTTCCCAGCACATGTGACTTGTCTACCAGATATAGAGAAATGGAGGATAATCAGGCGAATAGGTCGCGTCATCGACATACCCACCGCAACTCGCGTAAATCGGACAGGTTTAAAAGGAACTCAGAACAGGGTCTCTTCGCATTGGAGACTTTAGCTTGCTCCGCGATCTGGAGTTACATTTCCACTACTTCATTGCACGCGTCAAAACCTTGTCGAATTCCTACATTCCGCTGGAATGAAACACTCGCCACTACAATGATCATACAATTTTCATAGTTGCACTTCTCAAATCATGGCTCTCCAATTCCGGCCCTCTCAGATTGGTGGTGAAAATTTACCACTCCCCTATACCGCCTCTCCAATCAGCCTGCTATGGGATGACTTCCGTCTCATCCTTCGCTCCCTTGTGTATGTCCCTGGGATTTTCCTCCCGCTGAGACCATTGCGGTCGAGCGCCCTGGACGAGCTCAGGCTTACGCCTAAGAATCGTACTATACTGGTTACCCACGGAGCACTCATTATCGGCCAGCTTGGGTTCATTATCTCGCTTCCGTTTTGTATTATGTTGCCGATTATGTCCTTTATCGTTTATTTCATGGGGGTCATACTGGTAAATTTTGCGATCTGCAGCTACCTGAATGGGTGGAACAGGCTTCTCACCTCCAGGGAAACGGTCATACCTCCGTCGGCCCCTCAGGATGAATACTGGGTCTTTATTAATGGGGTGGCTGCTGGGTGAGTTGGACATCAATCACAATCTCTCCGGCCAATCCAATTCCCCTTTGAGATATTTTGCCTAATAAGTAACTTTCCCGGTAGGCACCTTTGGCTTCAGGATAACATCGACCGACTGGCTCAAGCGTTTGGCCGAAAGGTCGTAGGCGTTCACAATCCTACGTGAGCTCTCTGCATCTGGTACAGATGAACCCCTATCGACTAATTTTGTCTCTATTGGCAGCTGGGGAATCGTGTTTGATTTGATCCAGTGTTTGGTCGAGCGCGACTTCACTTATCCCGTGCAAGATGTTCGAGATGCCTACCCAGTGATCAAACAGGCCCTATTAGAGGACAAATATAAGAAAGTGGTCCTCGTTCTACATAGCCAAGGAGGCATCGAGGGTGGGCTAATTATCGACTGGCTTCTCGACGAGGTACCGCAGGACCTGCTAGATCAACTGGAAGTATACACATTTGCTAGTGCAGCAAACCACTTCAACAACCCGTACACTCAGGCATCTCATCTTAAATCCGCGCACACCCAAGGAGGGTCATCCCGGAACAGCAAGGTGATACGGTACATCGAACACTATGCGAATAGCGACGACTTCGTGAGCCGATTTGGAGTGCTCAACTTCGCTTATGTCAGGAACCGGTACATGGGCCGACTCTTCGTGCAGGATGCGAGCGGCCACATGCTCAACCAGCATTATCTGGATACCATGTTCGCCTCAGATGCAGATGGAAGGACGCTAGATGAAAATGACTTTATGGACTCCGAGGTCCGATTTCCGATCGAGCATCTGGGGGAGAGAGGAAACGAGGAGGGAGTTATATCCACAATCCGTTGCAGCCATGGTAGGTCGGAGGATGATATTCGTGACAACTACGGTTGTGATAAGCGGCCGATAAAGGTGAAAGATCTGAGTCGCTTGTGGTTGTATAGGAACGGCATGTCTCCACCAGCAGAGCAATGATGGATGGTGAGGTTTGAGACGAAGAATGGCCGTATGGTGTGTAAGCACTAAAGTAGTCAAAATTGAGAGACGTTAACTTCGATTTATTGGTGACCTCACGCAGTCAAGAGAAGCAGGAAGAGTATAGTTTGGCCATAACAGGTCACCTGTCGCTGCGGTAGTAGACCGTAGCGTCAGATAGGGCCCAAATGACCCGGGCCAAACTAGGATGGTAGAGGGGACGGTGGGGAACCAACAGAGACAGCGGCGCCGGTGAGCCTGTCTAGAACTGGTGGTTGAGCTTGTACAGAACGGACGCGTTCGTCGTAAAAGACACCCTGAATACCTCCAAGGTCCATCTTCCTAGCATCTGGTTTCTTTTGGAGTACGTGTGTACAACCCGACCTAATATAATAGGTGGAATCGCGTTAATATGTGTGCCTTGCTGGTTCTTGCGCTGGCCACCCAAATGGCCTCTTCAGTATATTGACGATCAACACATTGGTTTGCGGCTGAGACACGGCCACGTTGAAAGAGCAGTCAAGCCTGGTCTCTCATGCGTAAACCCGGTGTTTTCCAAACTTATACGTCTCGACACACGATACGGAACTCTCGAAGTTGATAAGACGGACTGTTTGATTTCAAACGGGAGGGCGACTATGGCAGCAACAGTTTGTTATAGGATTACCAGGCCCCTTGCCGTTTATCAAAATATCACAGAAGTTGAGGACTTTATACTATTCTCATTGATGAATTCACTGGAGGAAGAGTTGACTGCGGTGGATAAAGACTGTGCCTTGGGTCTGCTCGACAAAGAGGCAGAACCGGTGCCAATCGAACCAAAGCTCCCGCGACAAAACCCTGAAGAGGAAGATATTCCGCTTGACGTCTTTCTACATGTTCCAAAGAACGTTTTAAAAGCTCTGTCGAGTGAAAAGTTGAACAAAGTGCCAACTACCGTGCTCAGAAATGTGCCCATCCATGTGCTGGAGCAGGTCCCAGTGGATGTTCTATCTGTGGCACCAGCCTCGAAATTATTAGAACTGGGTGACATACCATCGTACGTGCTGCAGTCAGCGCCGGCAAAAGTCCTGCAGACCTTGCCACTGGCAAGGTTGAAAGTGCTGAATGGCGTACCTTGTTCTGTGCTTCAGTCGGCTCCGACGAAAGAGTTAGAGGACATACCAGTGACAAGATTAAAAATGCTGGACGGCGTACCCTCTGCTGTGCTTCAGTCCGCTCTGATAAACGTATTGAGGAAGGTACCAGTGACAAGGCTCATAATTTTGAGCGGTGTGCAATCTTCTGTGCTCCAGTCAGCATCGAGAATCGTTCTCGAGAAGGTTCCCGTGGCACGGCTCAGGCAATTTGCTGTTGTGCCGCCGATTGTCCTGCAACGCGCACCCTTTGATGTGCTTTACAACCCGCCAAACGATGTTCCTGTCCATGTGCTGGAGCACACGCCAGTGGAAGTTCTACTCGCGCTTCGGATTAGTTGACGATAACCTGGAATAACCTATTATGCACGCATGACTTGCTCTCGTTCAGAGGAACCTACAGATAACAGAACGGAAACGCCCGCCCACGCTAGCCCTGCATGCATAGGATCAAGCGCCGCCCCACTGTTTCCTAAATTCCGAACCACTGAGACAACTTTAACAATGCGATCGATCTGCTCGCGAATCCTAATGTTCGTCCCAGCCAGTTTCATCTTCCACTGTCTCGACTTCATTTGCTCGAGCCTCTGATTGATGACTGCAAGCATTTGCTGATCGCGACAGGCACGCTCGGGCGTGTCTATGCCCCTCAGTACGCGCGCGTAGCTCTCGAACAGTTCACGATCGCCATGACGAAGGTTCTCGATAGCCTGGTCCCAAAGTTGGACATCTTCCTCTGACGTTTATTTAGAACGGCGATCTGAGTTAAAACAGCCCTAAGAAGACCAATGAACAAAAAAAAATCATTTCATCATTGAAAAATAAATTTAGTCATCGTCAAAGATCTGAAAGGTGTTGTTGAGGATCGTCTCGATGATGCGGATCTGCCAGACGGCGTCCGTGATGTTGCCCCCGGAGTGGGCGCTCATGAGGGTTGGTCTGCGTGGCATGGATTAGCGAGATTAGGAAGAAAAGGGAGGATATAAAAATATACCCCAAGAAAATGGCTAAATCCCTTGCGCCCATACCGTTCTGGGCGTAGCGTTCCTGGACCTTATTAAGATGCTGAGATATAGTTAACATTGTATTGGATCGCATAGGAAAAGGCGATTTTAAGACGTACAAGGATAATAGCACGGAGAGTAGCGTAGTGGGTATCGGGCAAGATGTTGATAAGGCCATGTAAAGAGTCTCGGCGTTCAATATCATCACTAAGACCTAAGGAAATTCTTGGTTAGCGTCTCGATAATAAGTATAGGATACATAGTTTAGTCCTTACGGGCAGCTTCAATGAATTGGGAATAGAGCTTTGAAGTAAAGAGGGGGCTAGGCAAATCCCTGAAGAACTGCTTCACTAGCCCAGCAACGCTATTAATATCATAATAGAAGCTCTCGGGGTTGGTAAAGTCGATAGAAGGCGTGTCTGGGCGGTGAAAAATACCTTAGATGCTTCACACTATTCAAGGAGAGTTGGGGTCAAGCTCACTATTGTCGAATAGAGCCTTTAGATAGCTGACATAGTTGGCGCGGCCGGAGACTCGATAAATACCCTTTACATTTAGACCAAACAGCTCGATAGCTTGGAAGCACTGATATAAGAGGGATGGTACAGCAGTCCCATCTCGGTCGTACAGGTCGTCCAGAGACACGCCAAACACTGGTTTTAAAAGAGGAGGCAGGTTCGACTGGAAGTCCTTCTTCATCGAAACTTGGCCAGCCATTGGTGAACGGGTCATCTGTGGGGACCGCCGAGGAGGACGAGTGGAAGGCGGCGAAACGGAGCCAGACAGTGGAGGTAGAAGAGGGCCAGTCCTTCCAGAGGGTAAAGGAGGTGGAGATAGTGGAGGTAATGGGGGTGTAAGAGGCCTTCGTTTATTGACCATCTTTTGGACGTTCAACGTGACTCTGCTGTCCATACTAACAACTCGTTGGATTATTGACATCGCTGATTCTCGATTGTTGTAATGCCTGTAGATTTTGCTCCCCTGGATCAACTGTCAGCGGATCGTATTCAATGCAATGCTAGGCCCCATTCTCTAGCCTTGGACACCTAATCAATCAGCCCCGTAAAAGGTAAAATTGACACCGTCAGCAGTCAACGAAACATTTCTGTGTGAAGTCAAGAAAGGGTCATTTATTGGTTGCGTGGACTCGACACCATTCGGGGCAAGATATATCAAAGTGATGTCTCCTGTCGCTTTAGTCGTATTGAGCTGTGGAATCGGTGTCCAAGTATTGGCCTCGCCCGCATTCGCAAAAATAGCGCTGGCAACAGTTAGCACCAGGCTTCAGTAAATTACTCTGATGCTCACTTCAAGTCATATCCACCGCCGAAGGTTGATTCAATTTCATGATATTGGAATGTCCATTGCGAAGTACCAGAAATGGGGCCGTAGAAATATTGATAGATAGGCCCAGCGCTGGTATTTGTCAATCCATACCGGCCGCGTTTAATGACAGAGCATGTGGCAACCCGGTGATACTTTACTCTGTCTTCTGGAGGCGCATTGATGCCCAAATCTTCATGGGAATCAATAAAACCAGTGTTCAACTCTAACGCCGCGCTGTCATTATACCAGCACCAACCATCAGCAAACGGACAATTCGCGTCAGTCCTGGATGAGAAAGGGATTTGTTGCTTGATGAAACTTTTGCACCGCGGGTCATTTGTATTGGATCCATAGCATAGTCCAGCATAACTGGCAGCTGAAATAGAGTCCGAGAGAAGCTTAAAACCGAAATGCGGAATAGAGACATTGCTAACACTTGGGATCTCCCATGTGCCACAGTTGTAGGATCGAATTAAAGTGTCTGTTCCAGCAGATTTTGAAGCCTCAGATGACAGTATGCCAGCTGCTGTCCAGCCAATGAAGACTAGAAGACCCCAAACAGACAAGCTCCAACATCGAAATAGAATATTCAAGATGAAATGTTTTGGCGGTGTCTGGAAGTGTCGTCCTACAGGACCATCGGCAGGTCTCTTAACCCACGCGCAAGGTAGCATAAAGAACTCCCAGAAACTTGCCCAAGGACTCTGAGAATTGCGTAAGATCACCTGGTGTTGAAGATGTAGGCCATCGACCGGTTTTTTTGTAGCTCCGATTTCGAAAAGGATGAAGGAGAAAATCGTCCAGAAGCCACCGCCTACAAAGACAATGAAAATGCCGAGAAAAGCTGTTAGGAAACCTCCACCACTCTCAGTTAGAGTTAAAGTAGCACCGAGGACACTGTTCCGATCATAGTTAATCCATGGACCGGTAAAGGTATAGGAAGACATCGTGTGAAGAAGACAAGGGTAATAATTTGCGCGTTTTACCGCTATCAAGACCCGAGGCCAATGATTCTCTCATAGTCGCCGATGAAGGGATTTATATGTACGGATCAGTGTATTATCCAGTCGTGACGAAATACATAGAAATCCATACGTGTGATTGTCAGGTAAACTCTTTGGCGACATATCATACTTCCAGGGAAGGGCAAAGTATGGTAAAGGGAATGGTGGCTCAACACTATAAATACATGTGATGAAGTATAATAGTCTGATGTTCTAGACACAGAGGTCCCAATGAAGTAATAAAGAGTATCTGGACAACGTCACAGCTATGTACCTTTGCTCATATTGTGCGTCACCTTGAAGGGACCCCAGAGGTATGGTACCGTATCTCAAGGCTTGGAAATTTTCGTGTAAATACAGTATAATATTCTGACATTCTAGACGCATAAAATGGAATGGATGAACACTGTAATGTTAATTTAAGAACATACATATCTGAGTCATCCACTACATAATGAAATAAAAGGCTAAAGGACAGCCAAATCTGATATATACACGCTAATCTGGGCTCAGGTAAGGGAGTGGTATTGCCAAAGTCAAGTAATGGCCTACCTTAGAGATACTCAAATGTGCGACAAGCCTTAGGCGCTTATAATAATATCTATCGTTTTGTGGTACACGAAACCGTATTCAGGGAAGTTATGGTTAAAACAATGCTACTGGTACTCCCATGGTTGACGCATAACTTCGTTGTAAACGTCGAGGGCTAATAGGCCAGGATAGCTTCATTGTAGTTCCTATGACCAGTTTTAGGTACTCTGGTTCATTTAGGGTTAGGGTTCGTTTCCCCACACGTCCTTTCGCCATGGTTATACCAGAAGTATTTTTATAAATTTAACTCTGGTATAAATTGTCGAGACATGGAACGGCGATTTACCGCTAAGAGAGGAATTTCCTGAATGACACTCTTCCCTGTCTGTTCATATAATAATTTGGTATTCTTATCATTACGGTTGTCATAAAACCACATAGCTGAGCCATCCTTGGGGTATTTCAACCTGCCCCATAATATTCATTCTTTCTTTTCAATCAATCATCCTTTTGGTACAAGGTTGGTTCGTTTTGACCTTACCCTCTATCTCATTCGCATCTCTAGGCTACTAGTACATATTGTCGTAGCTTGCTTCAACATAAATCAATAATCATACATTAACACCTAGCAGAATTTATTCCGCTCGTCTATCTGTTAACTACACCAACGTCCTTACTTGAAGAATACTGGAACTCGAGTCAAAGATAAAAGACGCTAGACATTGAAACAACCTATAATGGCACTAAAATACAATTTCGTCGTTGATAAGTCAAAAATCACGGCGGATTATTTCAAACACGTCGGAGACATAGTATGGCTTGTACCAAGAGCAACAAATACACAGGCAAGGAGATAAGTGTTCTTTTTCAATGGAGACCTTACAAGAAGTAGCTATGGAGTTGCCGGAAGTAGCGCTGCAGCAACGCTTCTCAAAATCACATTTGGGCCCCCTCATACATTATCTAACTGCAAGGCCCTTTTGGTGCAGTCACGCACTTTCCCAGGAGCTGGCCCAGCATGTATGGCTCATTTCCGGTGCCAAGAACATACTCAGGCGGAAGAATGGGTACGAATGAGGTACCATTTGGTGGGAAAATGACGGGTTGGCTGAAGCTTGCGATATAGGTGGAATGGGTACCATGCTGAACAGCCAGCCAGTTAATGAGTTCTGAAACCTCAGCTGTCTGTGTATATCCAGATAATTCAAGAAAATCACCTGTCAAACTGGTTTCTAGATAAAGGGCTTCGTTCAGGAATTCCGTAGCATTCGCAGGGGTGAGACTTGTGAAGTTGCACTTGGGAGATTTGAAACCCGTGATGTTAGAGCCAACTATCTCGACGAGCAGAGCACCCCTGTAGTTCTGTTGTGCCATACGCTGGATGTTGATAAAATAATTTGCATTAGAGCTGTTTGAGGCACTGGAGAAGAAAGTTTGATTCAATGGGATGGAGGAGTATAAGAGGTAACTGTATGCCTGGATAGCCGAGGCGTATTGGACAACTTGGATGTCGGTAGAATTCGAGCAGTTACTGTTAGATACGGCAATGCTGGTCGATACGCCGCTGAGGAAGAAAGTCGCGAAACGTAAGAAGTGCATAATTGATTTGACATATGGGTTGACCGTACTATAGTGGCTGTACTCCAGTATAACGGTATCTGCAACATCGAAAGTAATTGTATGTTAGCACCAGAGAAGCCCTTCTATTTTATAGTACTCCATCCCCTTTCTTGCAATTTCGAAAAATGCCGCCTCAAAAGTTGAGTCAATGTTCTAGATTCTGGTGTATGTTGTTTAGACCTGAACATAACGGTCCGACGTAAAAGCATGGCAAAGCTGCTGCAGGATTGCCTCAACGATGCCATCATTATCATTCTAGTCAGATGTTCATTAGATAAACTTCAAGAGTTTAAGCAGGATAGCGCGATTATTTTGGGAAAGTGAGCGGAGTTGGGGGGATTTCTTGGGACACTGAGGCTGGGGCATGATGTCATACCGTACCGATCCCGCAACGGAAATTTCAGCCGCCTCATCGTAGGGAATTGTGAATGGTTAAAAGCAGCCACAAAGTTAGCCGGAAAAAGCTATAATACATGTACAGTGCGAACAGTAGAAACGTGCCGTACAAACCTTTGTTCTAGAAATGTCTGTGCCCCAGATAAAAAGTCTCTTTCAGACCGTCAAGTGGAATTTTTACATTCCATACATGCTAACAATGGTTGAGACGGCGTTCTCAATGTAGTAATTAGGCGGATAAACCGGTTTCTAATCTTGCCGTGGTTCTGGTGGCTCTAGTGACACTGTAGTCTGAGAGGAATCCAAATAGCGGTGAAGAACACTAGCTCCCAAAATTTTAGTGTTCCACCAATTAATAGACCCTCAAAGTTCTCGGGGTCTATCTGGAAACCCGGAAACTTTTTGTGAACTGATTAAGCATTATCCTGTTCCGTGGTTCATAGTTCGACGATAAGGTTTGACAATGCTACAGGTGCAGCGTCTATGAAGGCCTATAGCAACCTACCAGCCTATGACTGGTATGCTATTGTGCTAATGGTTCGAAATGTTGTAGACAGGACTCGTGGGCAGGTCTAGATCGTGGTGAAGGGAGTGAGATCATTTTGGTGACATGTCCTCATCACGCGTCCCCCCTTCTACGAAGCTTTCTGCGCCGAAAGCTGAAGAGTAGCATCTTTAGCCCTGCAATTGAAACCCAAGACCTACTTGTACAGCAGTGGGAGCCGAAAACAGCGAAGGCCCATAGGCAGCCTTGGGACTTATCAGGCATATCTCACAGGTCGCAAAGCAGCTCAAGCTCATGACTTGATTAAGGTCACTAGGATGATTTTACCGTCCAGTGGTCTTGGACAAGATAAGCTAGAAGCACCCTGAGCAAAGTATATTTAACCAAATATATCGGGTAACAGCAACACGTATTACATCATCTTAACAAGTGGCAATCTTCAGTAAAAGGCATACCACCTATAGCCGAAGGCTCGTTAAGGTAGTCGATTTTATGATATTTGGTCGGACTCTATTGTATCTGTTGGGCTATCTAGATGTGGCTGGGGCGGAGATCTCCGGCGTTTTCGTCAGGAGGGGCTTGTCTGCTGGAACGAATCAACAGACGGGTCAAAGGGATCCTTCGCAAGTGGCGGAAACCAATGGGGGTTTGTATAGCCACTGATCTCCTAGACCTGCAGTCGAAACAACGTATTACACCAGCTCAAGCAGGGAAAGGATTCACACAGTCATAGCAAGGGGAATAAGGGGGATCAGAAGCACGCGCAACTTCATACCCCGCTGTGCGAGGAGCAGATGAGTCTGCAGGGATTGGAATATAGCGGTGCAAGTAGGGACGTGTTTCGAGCGCAGGGAGTAAATATGCGAGTCGACAGGCGGGACCGCGGCGGCTGAATAGGTATAGATAAACGCACTTGCGGGCCGTAATTATGGAAGGACCGATGACAAACATTGCGGAAAAGAAACAGGAGGATGCTTGGGGGAGAAAGGTCGCGAAGGATAAAATGACTGGAGACATTAGTGGTAATACTAGACAGAGCGTCGTAGTTAAAGGAGGGGCGACACGCAGGATATGAATCAATCAAGAAAGGAGAACTTGCCGATAGATGCAGAAGAAGCCCTAGAACCCTAAAGCCAAGACAGGCCAGTCCGAGGACGATTAGAACTATGCAGGAACAGGAGCGAACTAGGGCGAATGGGCGGAGAGCGTGGCAGAACAGTCCATATAGAGTCAAATACGTCTTTTTGCAACATCTCGCGCACACGCACATCCATGTTTACTAAACTGGGGGGCGCGCGCTGACGCACGCTGTAAGCCCTGAAACGACGTGGCACGTGGCAATTGTGGAAAAGGAGGAAAGTCGTGGTAGTATTAAGCACTGCGTGCATGCATTATGAAACCAAACCAGACAAATCAGATTGAACACCCCAGGCAGCGAGTGTTTTTGCTTGTAGATCGCGCAACCTCTCCATCTCCACCAGCAGATCTGGGTCGGGCGAAAAGCGAAGATCGTCAGTCGTGATCTTTTGGAGTAAATAGAGGCCTCGAAAAGATCACAGTCTGGAAAGCTGAACGTAAAGCGAGCAGTACTTCCGATAAGAATCTTACCCTCGCCGGGTAGTATCGTTCTTTAGAACCAGGATTACTGTAGAAAGAGTTGAACCTTACACTTAATAATCGGTGAGGTAAAATGCTGGGTAAATTGGTATTTACCTCCTCCGCACTGATAAGCCCTTAACGGAGATAGAACGGTCTATAGGAAATATCGGTATTAGGGAAGTTAGAAGTTAATCAAAGTTAGTTACGAATGGTTTATCTGGTTTGAATAGAACAGAAGTAGGCGGTCTAGTGAGATCCCCGGAGCGGATCATGGTATATAAACCGCGTACAA